GTAAAGCTTGGCAGTCTCTTACCATGGCAGGTGAGCCACAAAGGTAGAATTCCGTCGTATCAGGGTTGAATTCATGCAAATCAAGCGCCTTTGTCACCCGCCCACCAAACACACCGTCACCCCCTAGCTCACCACTGAGACATAAAGTCGTCTTCGGAAGAGGTGAACATCCTCCAATTATATTCTCTGCTGCAAAGCGGCACCCGAAAAATAGCTCAGCAGATGTCAGCTTGCCAGCCTCTTCCATGGCTCTGAACATTGGGAGAAAAGGCACGACACCTGTCCCCGTTGCTACAAACACCTTGCGGCAGTCGTTGTTCTGTAGCCTAAAACTTCCAAACGGAAGTTCTACTTTTGTTTCGGCCCCAGGCTCTACTTTCTCGACATAAGTTGAACCATATCCTCCGGTCCGAGTGCTGATGAGTAGTGTCAAACGACGATTCTCAATCTTAGCGATCGAGTAGTATCTCCAGTCAAATGGCGCCACCTTGAGAAGGGCATACTGACCCGGAACGAATGACACGCTATTTTCCAGTTCGAGCTCGAGTTTCCAAATGGTCGGGGTCAAGGCAGTCTTAGCAATCACAATTGCCTTCATCTTGTCGAGGCATCGTTTTCCTTGCGGCAAAATACATAGACCACCCTTAGCCTCACTCTCTACTTGCTTCATGATGCTAATGAGGCCAAAAGGCCCAAGTACTCGACTTGCAGTCATGAGACCCCCGACAAGCGCGCCAGCAATGCCGAGAGACGCTGCATCTTGCCCGGTCAAATAAAGCCCGGGCACATATGATTTTGCCAAAAGTGCAGAGCCATGATATCTCTCCGGTGTCCCCTTGAGGCCATAAATATCACCAGAGGGGCTTGAAATATAATCAATCACAGATAGTGGTGTTGAAAGCTCAGAATACTCGACCAACGACTTAAGGCCGGGCGCGGCAGTCTCAGCAAGATCCAGTAGACCCTGAGAGATTCGATCCTTAAGATCGAGATATTCTTTTCCACGATTTCCGTGTTGTGTAGCTTTCCAAGTCGAGAAATGCTCTGCCTTGACCAAAGCCAAGACTTCAGCTGTGTGTAAACGGTCTTCACCACTCTTGGAAGACGGGAAAGACATGTAACCGAAGTCCGGGTTTCCGGCGATAACAGACTTTGTCTGGGAATCCAGATCACTCTGCTCGATCCTTGTATTGATCCAGTAGTTCTCGCCTTTAATCCCAAAGGTCGATACTGGTTTGCTGAGGCGAAGATAGAGAGTTACTGAAGATATTCCACTACCAATTCGTTCGATCAGTTTGCGGACAGCCGCCGTCCGACGGCCAATCTCTCCATCCGTAGGTAGCAGCTTTGTGTAAGTGAGGCCAGCACCAACGTTAGAAATGACAGCAGGCGCGTAGTACTCGACCTCAGTCAACTTGTCGCCGCTGAGATCAACAGCCTTGACTCCGCACACCTTCCCATTCTTGTCGGTAATGATACTCGTCACTTCTTTGCAAACCTTGATGACTCCCCCAGCAGCCTCGATATTGGTTTCAAAAGTCCGTGATATTCTGCTAGAGCCTCCCTTAGGATACCACGCTCCATCCATGTAACTCTGAGTCACGAGGGCGTGAATTGCAAATGCACTCTCTGACGGGACCATTCCATAATCTGCCCACTGCGTGGAGAGAAGTCGCTTGAGCTGGGGTGACCTGAAGCGGCTATCCAAATACTCTTGAGTCGTTTGCGTCGCTTTCTTGCTTTTGCGCCGGCGTGACAGGTTGGTCAGATCTTTGGCCGGCCAAGGTAGAGCGAGTTGAATTGTCCCGTTCACATGCCAGTTGTAGATCTCATCTAGATCTGTGAAGTAGCGACGAATTGCTGTCGCCTCCTCGGGGTAGATCTCTATGAGTCGCTTTTGATATTCAAGGGGGTCCGACGGCACCAAAAATTCGATATCGGGGTAAATAAATCTCTCAAAGTCGTTTGGCATTTTGTTCCACTCGAGCGCACTGTTTGACATGTAATCAAACAGAGTTCGGATTCTCGAGCCCTTGTTCAATCCGCCAACATAGTGAAGGCCGACGTCCCAGGAAGCCCCATCACGTCGAAAGGTTTGGGTCAAGCCACCGCGTTCAAAATGCTTTTCCAACACAAGCACCCTCTTGTTGGCTGCTTTGGCCAGAAGCGTAGCGGCAGTAAGGCCACCAATACCCGATCCGATCACAATAACATCCCATGATTGAGCCATGTCTGTTGAACGCTCGGCGAAAGTGTTGATCAATTTGTAGGAACAGGGCAGGTGAATAGATAGCACCGTTTGCTAGAACTCACAACATAGATCATATTCGCTTGTCTCGTGCTGGAGAATCTCCAACTTATGTAAACCCTCTGCCCGGCTCCTTAATCTCGTATGAGGAGGCCTTGTAGTACCTTGTGACAACCAATATAACCGAGTGCGAGCTGCCTAGTCCACATTCATCCATGTCATCAACTGATGTTGCACCCAACTCTACCGGAATCGACAAGGGTTAGCTGTAAACTTAACTAACTGCGGTAATCTATAGGTATGGTATGCAAAACCGGATTAATGCCCAAAAGAGGTATCACAATGGTTCAAGCAATGCCGGTTACCATGCGGATGAGGCGGTGCAAGGCGTCGCCCGAGGCTTGTGGATTACCCCTGCATGGCGTTCGACAGGGCTGCCATGAGTGTAACCCCGCACTCCTACCGAATTATATATTACGCGTCTCAAAGTCCTTCTCTATAGAAGTGCTGCATGCTTCAAATGGTGAGGAGGCAAAGTAGTTGACAATGGCCATGGAACTTCTCGACTTTCCCAATGAAATCCTCACGGAGATTGCGGAATGGCTTTGGGAGGAAGCCGACTTGAATGCTTTTCTCCGCACCAACCGCCGCTTGTACAACCTCCTTGATACATACCTCTATTCACACAACCTTCACCGCATGGAACTTGATGAGATATGGGAAAACAACGCGGCACTTGTGAAGACAGCCGACAAATCCGGCCCGGAAGCTACATATCGGAAAGCATTGGAGGCGATCAACGCCAGAGATACAAGCCGGTCAAGAAAGCTTGCAGAACGAACACTTTATAGGGCGATGAATGCTGGCCAAGCCTACTTGGTCAAGATCCATCTTGCCGTTGATGATGCCTTCAACCCAGAAAAGCATCCGCAAATCAACAAGAACCCATTCATCCGCAGCTGTTCCCAGAGAAATACGGAAATATTCTGGATCTTGGCCAAGTCGCCCCTATTTGATGCAAATGCTGAAGATCCAGGTGGCAGTACTCCACTAATGGGGGCATGTGGCCGGGGACATATCGAACCAGTTCGCTTCCTCCTTGAACACGGTGCCAATGTCAATGCCCAGGATGATAATGGCTTCACACCATTATATAATGCGGCAGAAAACGGCGAGGTTGAGATCCTTAAGCTTCTGGTCGCGGCTGGCAATCTCGAACTCAATGTTTGCACAAAGGGTGGTGCTACGGCCCTCTGGCGGGCCAATTATCTCAACAAACGAGAGGCAACCCTTTTCCTCGCTAAGCAGCCAGGTGTGAATTGCTATATTGGAGACCGACTAGGGTATAGCCCTATCCAAATAGCTGTGCTGAACGGGGATATTGAATTACTGGAAGCAATGGTCCAAGGAGGCGTGGATATCAACTATGACCCTCACGAGTGCGGAAACACGATTGTAACATTTGCTGCTGCCAAAGGGTGTGTTGAGGCTCTCAAATTCTTTCTCAGCGTACCAGGCGCCCAGGTGAACCCCAAACCAGGTATCTCATGCTGGCCGCTTGGAGTGGCGGCTCACCAGGGCCATGCACGCGTTATCGAGGTGCTTTTGGAACATCCCGACACAATTGTTGATGCCACAGATGAGAATGGCAACACCCCTCTCTTGATTACAGCTCATCTCGACCACGAGGAGGCAACTGAAGTACTTTTAAAATCTGATAAGCTTGATATCAACAAGAAATGCAGCCGAGGATACACAGCTCTCGGAGCTGCAGTGGAGAAGCAGAATGTTTCCATGGCTCGTCGGCTCCTAGCCGTTCCAGGAATCGACCCAGAACTACGAAATGATTTTGACCACACGACTCTTGATATCGCTGTTCGCTTAGGGGATGTAGAGTGTGCCAAGGCGCTACTCGAATGCAAGCATGTTGCAAATGGCTCGGCAGTGAGACTTGAAGACAACCCTTATGAGAAGGCAAAGGCAGAGGGGAACACAGAATTAGAGGCCCTGTTGAAACCATACTATGACCGACGTGTAGGCTAGTTCCTTCCCTTGGGGGCAGATCAATCCTTGCTAGAAAGATGTAGTCCAGAATAGCTACGTTGTCTAAGTCCTAAGTTTACATATCATCGCTACTTACTCGGGATTTTCAATAATACGGGGATATGGCCTATTGCCGGCGAACTTGTGTTGTGCTTTTACCACCAACCTACGTATACCTTGAAGGTCTTCCCACATCATTCCAAGGCAAAACTTGTGGCAACAAAATAACTACGAACTATTACGTGAGAGACTACTATCAAAGACGCTAGTCCATGCTCTAGGTTTTCGTGTTTACGAGTCTCCATTCGAGATCCACCAAATTCGCACTTTCGCCTATAACACTGTTCCTTTGGTCTCGGTCTGCCCGCAAAGGATCCCAATGCTTACCAAACCAGGATACCACGATGGCAAATTCGTTTGTTACCCGCTAGATGTGATTGATAAGATAAAGCGCCTCGGAGGTCCTCCAATCCCAGAGTTACAGCTCAAGAAGCGAACAGGGGAACGACCAGGGCCGTCCCAGACAGCCAAGCAATTGGGGAAAACTATGACAACATCAAAAGCATTCCTACTAGATCAAGCCCTGTTCAAGACTTTCTGATCAGGTATAAAGCTGGACGTTGCCCACTTCGATAGAATCCCTCGGATCTCATCCAAAAAACAGCGCCTAAGCAATTTGCTCCTCAGAAGATCCCAATCTTAGTCAAAAATGCGACTCTCTCATATCTTCACCCTTACTTCTGTGGCACTCGCTGCCCAAGGCGCGCCTCTAGACGACGCCCCCAACCCTGTCACACGCCAGGCTCCATGCCCTACCGGCTACAAGCCAGTCCCTGGACTTCCCGGTGTCTGCGTGCCTCTCAACTCCAAGCGGGACACGGAACTCGAGGCTCGCCAAGCTCCATGCCCTACTGGGTATAAGCCCGTTCCTGGACTCCCGGGAGTTTGTGTGCCCCTCAACTCTAAGCGTGATGGCGAAATGGAAGCTCGCCAAGCTCCTTGCCCAACCGGCTACAAACCAGCTCCTGGACTTCCTGGCGTCTGTGTCCCGCACAACTCTAAGCGAGATGCCGAAGTCGAGGCTCGCCAAGCACCATGTCCTGCTGGGTATAAGCCGGTAGCCGGACTTCCTGGTGTTTGCGTGCCTCAAAACTCTTAGGGAGATAATGTCTTCATTAAGGAATAGCACACGGTCTAGCAACGCCGAAAAAATGTTGTAAAAGGCATACCATTTCTTAGTTTCTCGCAATATGAGCTCAAGCTTATCTGTTCTTTATCATTAAGAATACATCTCATCCAACTAACAGGAGGCTGCATTTGAAATGTCAGATAAGTAGCGAAGTTCTGATAGGACAAGAAATTCTTTAGCCCTCCTAGTCAATTGAAAAGTGAAGTGAAGGCAGCCTAATATCAGGAGCGTGTGGGCCTAGTTGCGTAGATGGATGGATATAAGTTTAGAATTTCTCCAAATCGTGATCTTTACATAGTTATCCTCATTCGATTAACCAAACACGGAACTTCCTACCAAATAACAAGACCACATGAAGTATGTGGTGGCATGTCGAGGGTTCTAATTCTCTCACTAAGATCCTGCCCGTCCGACGAGAATCCCAATCTTGTCCCCAACAGATTTTACATGATTGTTTCAGTTAATGGCTTAATAAAGTCATCATTCTTGACTCTATTTCTACTGATAGTCATTTTTCATAAAAATCCGATGTATGCTTTTGACCCAAAAGCCCCTACCTAGTGGCAAGTAGGAATTATATAATCCCGAACAATTATTCAAGCATCATCGGCAAAAGACGCACTTAAGGCAAAGGCTGCTTCAACGGCATCAAGATATCACCCCAATCAGAGAGTAGTCGGTAGCTAGACTACCCTAAAAGATACTGTACATCTCTAAATTTCAACATCCTTTTAACTAAATGACTTTCAAAAATATACCATATCTTTGTCTCTCCAGTGGTGGAGCTCGGCAATTCTATCTATGACATCCAAGAAGCCTTTCAAGAGGAAGAGTGCTTCAATCTCTCGCCTTGGTTTCTTCCATGTATTACATGATACATTTGGTTCATGAGTGACAACGTCAGTGGGTGGTTGGGCCCCAGTACCAGTTGACTCTCTCTCATGACCTGGATCTCCAGTTGCTCCGCTTCTCCCAAGCGCCCCTGTTTGTAGTATAACCGAGCTAACTTGGCCTTCACATCTAATGTGCCTGGATGTGTCGCTCCCAGCGTTTTCTTTTTTGACTCAATAACTTTCAACAATATTGGCTCTGCTTCCCTAAAGCGTTGTTGGTCTTCATACCTATCCGCTATTAGTTCCATAGTAATCAAGGTCACGGCGTGGTTCTCCCCAAGACCCTTGGTCTGAGTTTCCGCTGCTCGCAACATCAATGTTTCGCCCTCCCCATCTTGGTTTTGGCTCCAAACAGCCCGAGCATGGTCAAATAAAATGCTCATCGTACGCAGATGAAACTTTCCCAAAGTCTTCTGCCCAATCTCTAGAGCCTTCTCCAAGAGGGCCTCTGCTTCGTTGAAGCGTCCTTGGTCAAAATAGGTTGCTGCTAAGTTTGACATGCATCCAAAGGTTTGGCGAGCATCTTCTCCATATATCATCCTTGTTCCTGTGAGAGCTTTCAATCCCAAGACTTCGGCCTCTTTGAGACGTCCCTGATTCCTGTATGCTACTGCCAGAGCAGTTTCACTGGTTAGTCTGGTTGGGCTTTTATCCAACTCTCCCTTCCTCATCTCCAAAACCTGAACGAGTAGCCATTCTGCTTCCTTCCAGCGAGATTGCTCTAGGTATATCAATGCCAGATCATCCATACTGGCTAATGTATCAAGATGGTTTGAGCCAAGGATCGTTCTTCTGAGGCTAAGTACCCTCGATTGAAGCCCTTCTGCTGCCGTCAGTTGGCCCTTGTTGCGATATGTTCTTGACAGACCAAACATGGCATGCAGAGTCTGCGGGTGATCTTGGCCCAAGTGATGTCTGCACCAGTCCATGACTTCAAGTTGAAGTTTCTCTGCATTTTGCCATTGGCCTTCGCACGAGTCTATATCCGCCAAGTGGCCTTTAACACTGACCGTGAAAGGGTGGTCTGTGCCATATGTTGCTTCAGAAGTTTGCCTCAATTGAAGCACAAGGCCTCTTGCCTCGCTGTACAGACCTTGGGACCAAATTATCCGGGCTAGGGTGGCTTTCACCCTTAAAGTCTCTAAATGGTCCGGCCCAAATTGATTCTCTCGGCGCCCGAGAATATCAGTTTGCAGAACTACAGCTTGGTCGAAGCGTCCCTGGGCGAAGTAGGCTTCTGCGACTTCTTCGGCGGCCTTTGTTGTCTCGTAGCTGTCGTCTCCGAATAAAACCTCGAGCGTCTGTTTGGCTCTTTTTGCCATATCTTCCGCTTCGCCAAAATTTCCCAGAGCCCTCGCCATCGACGAGGCTCCGACCATGGCCAAGGCCCATTGCTTCCGCAGTGGCTCGGCATCCGGAGGATGATCAAGCCGGTCTCTCATTTGTGAAAGTATCCATGTATGTGTATTTACTGGTCCGCCGCTTTGATGACCACTAACGATGGCGTACAGACTGGCGTCAGAGGCATCTTCCTTTCTATCCATATTGCGTTCGGAAGAAAGCCAAAGCTATATTGAAGGTTGAAGAGAGAACATAAAGATGGCTCAGTTGCTAGTATTGGAAAAGAAACCGTGTTTGGGTCAGGTAGTGTTGACAAGTGTCTATCGAAAAAGGCAAGATCGCATTACTTTATAGTTGCTGCAAACCTATCACAACATTGACTAACATCGCTAGGAATGCGTTGGCAGACATGCTTCAACAAAGCCACGGAGATTCCTTGTCCAGGAAGAAACTCGAGGGTTATTAAACATCTGTAGCGGCCTTTCAAGACTTATGAACAAATTTAAAGAAGCGCTTCCATTTAGTATACACAGGCACGGGGACAGTGGTAGCCTCATGGCGTTGTTTAGCAACCAAGCCGTATTTTTTCAGTCCTCACAACTGGAAAGAGTTCCAAGACTCTCCTACCGATATGCTTCACTGTTACGCTCAGTTTAACACCAGAAAAGACAATGATCAAAGGTAGGTGACTCAGGAGCTCCACGGACTAAATAAAAGCCTCTTTGTCTCCATTCGTACAAAGCCTCTTTCTTCTCGAAAAGAGAGCCACGCCTTCATGTAGACATTATACATGTACCAACATCAGTAATATAATTGACGGAGCATATCGGCAAAAAGCCGCTTCTTCATGCTAGTCATCATGATTCAGATGGTGCTTGATTATCTTTCGCTTGCAAACCGCGCTTTAGATGCCATATACTACGCGACTTACAAGACCAAGCTATCCCCTTCCTTCTCAGTTTTTTATTGTTGTTTCTAGCCGATCTTTGTCTCGACTTTAGAGACAATGGACACTCAATGCTACCCTCGGGAGCATTGATTGATTGATCAATGTGTCAAGCAAAAAGAAGGTCTCGGAGGGAGTCGAACCCTCGCTGACAGGATCAGAACCTGTAGTCATGACCGTTAGACCACGAAACCGATTAAATTGTGATTTCCGCTAGCCTCAATTTCACGCCAGATGGCTCCATTTCTCTAGCGCTACAGTATTCAACATCCCTGCCTACCGATTTTCGGGCATCAGGAATGACTCTGGACGGACGAAGGGCGTTTGTTCAAAATGTCAATCAGAATATGGTCCTCATTTCCCAGGAAAATCCTTCCAGGGGCGAATATTTCACATGTAATCGGGCTATTATATATGATCTCAATTTGCAGGTGGCCCCCTTTACCAGATGGATCTCAAGATTGATATGTAATGGAAAAAGGCTGGGTCCAGCCAATGTCCCAGTCACCCTCCGTCTCTTCATCGCCTCTTAATTTCAGTGCTTTGACCTTGAACCGGTAACTACCAGGTGCAGCGTATTCTCCATTGTCCAGTTTACCACCCCAATCAATGATATGTCTCCCACGCGACATCCATACTGTGGGGAACCCGCTATGCTCGCCAATAGATTCATTCAACTGTGTTCCGTTGCTGAATGGGACAAGTTCAGCGTGGACAAGACGCGTACCAAGAATGTAATTGGTGATGAGTAGCGGCACGTTGGCGCCATCTGAGGACAAGTCCTCTGTTCCTTTAGGCGGCAGATTGAAATGTGTATGATTTGGTACCGGCCCGTAGCTTGCCACATTGAATCTGCTGATCCATGCTCCTGACTGCGCGTTCAAGACTGTAGAGTTATGAAGTGATGCCGCCAGTCCTTGATATGGAAGGGACAAGGAAGTCCCATCTGTGCCGTTGATCGTGACCCATCCTGACCAAAGCGGAAGACGACGGGCATCAACTTCGGGGAGTGTCGCGGAGACATCGACTGTAGCAGACTCCCCTGGCTTGATTGTCACTTGAGAGGAGCTAAACTGAAGTGATGCCGCTGATTCTACCATCTCGTTAGGGAACGCAGCCGCCTTTCCAGATTCGTCAAGAGTCAGAACGGTTCTTGATGACACATATGACAGATCATAGCTAACTTCGCTTTGGCCCTCATTCTTCAAAGTAAAATTCAGTGACTTTGGCATGAAATCCGTGTCATTGAAAGACAAGTTGGATGGTTCCAATAGTGTAGTAGTGAAAGCAGCATCATACGCCTGAATAAGTCCGGCACCCTGCTGAGCAACTGGGGCGAGAAAAGAGTGGAAATGGCTTCCATCATGGAATAGTTGAGGGTTGGCCGTGGATGATAGGAGATTCTTGACAACTTCGGGCTTCATTTTACCGCGAACCTCGTTGAGCAGGGCGTAGATTGCCGACGTCAGAGGCGTACTCATCGAGGTTCCAGAGAACACTGCGTATGCGCCACGCCTAAGAGGGTACGTGGAGAGGATCTTCCCTCCAGGAGCTCCAAACGTCGGCTTTGTGTCCATTTCCCAGGTAGGACCCCAGCTTGAGAAAGTGGTTACTGCACCTCCTCCCTGGCTGTTTTCGATTTCTATGAGGGTGTTGACTTGCTGCTCTGAGTTTGGAAGATTCACCACGACCTTTTTTCCAGCTTTTAAATCATCAATCCAAGCCTTTCCAGTGGTTGATTGGACAACTATGTTAGTATTAACACCCCATACTAGGTCAGTAGGGACAACGGGGATACCGGCGTGGCTGTAGTAAAGAGCGATCGAAGTGGCGCCTTTTGCGAAAAGATTGGTCGATTGTTGCCCGAATGTGCACCCTCCAGCTCTCACTAGAACCATATACTGACTGAGGTCGGGAGTGTCGTCCGGTAAACCCTCACAGGCGTCATTGGTGGCATTTGAATGCAATGATGGAGCCCAGAGCGGCAGGGAGCCCTCTAACGGTGTCCGATAGGTGACGCTATAAAGTAAGTCATTGGCTTTTCCGTCGACAGTGTAGTTTGACAGCCGCATGAATACATCGGTCACTGTGTTCTCAATGGCCGAAATGGCTGCGACATGCTTGCCGTCGGCCGGACTGCTATGATAAAAGGCGCCGGCAGCACCGTCATTCCCAGCCGCGACGACGGAAGCAACGCCAGCTTCAGCAATACGAGATATGACGGCAGACCAAGGGTGTTCAGACCAACCAATTGGGCTTCCCAGTGACAGACTGATGACATCGGCTCCATCTTCATACGCGCGAGTAAAAGCCGCAACAAGAATATCATCTGTTACAGAACCATAGCAGCCGAAGACACGATAGGACGCGAGGCTCACCCCAGGGGCAGCTCCTGTAAAACCCATGGTGTTGTTCTGTGCCGCGATTATCCCAGACACATGTGTGCCATGGCCGTCACAGTCCATAGGGTCATCATCAGGAACTGGATCATTTCGACCATTGTAATTGTCACCAACAAAATCGTGGCCACTGGATACCAGACAGCCTTCGCCAAAGCATCCCCCCAGAGCTGGATGCTTGTAATCAACCTAATGGCCGTTAGACTTTTGTTTTCACATGAAACATCTTGAAGAATACAAGCTGGTAGGGGCTTTTCTTTCTATAAATGGTCTGGGCCGGAGAGTTTAATGAACGTACCCCAGTGTCTATGACAGCTACCTTGATGCCTTTACCGGTATAACCCTTGGCCCGGATTTTGTCCACTTGGGTCATCGCGTGAGGGGTATATGGCTTCGAGGTTTGATTTGTAACAGTCCGCGCTTCAAAGCTGTCCGTGCCATTTCCAGTCCAGTGGATCGTGACATTAGGCATGCTGTGCAATGAAATGGGCCATATTTTCTTTGCTGCAGTGGCCGTCGACAGTATTTGAACCGATCCCTCCGCATTTTCAACGTCGTTGAGTTGGACAGATAATCCTTTGAAAATTGGACTATCAAATCTTCTCCGCACATAGCCATTTGCTTCAACAAGGCTCTCTACGCTCGATAAGTCCTAACAATGATCAGCCTCTCATTGCTTCAAGTTTCCATAAATCATCTAGTCGGGTAAGCCTACTTGAGAATCATCGAATTCAATCATGTAAGCACCCGGGATGCGTTCTGGCGTAAAAGCAGCGATAGAGAATGCTGCAAACAGCAGCTGAGCTGCCAACGAAACTTGAACCATCTCGCCTCAAAAAGCAGCAAGAGCGATTATACAGCTTTGGTACGAGAGTATTTCCATTGGAATTTACAGATAAAAAGGATTGTTATCTTGAGCTATATATTCGGAGAAGGATCTAAGCAGCAGCCTAGTTTGGCAAGTATTAATTTGCCCGGGCCCCTGATCAGTGGATAGCTCGTTGGATTGTTACATGATTGCTTGGCTCCCACAAGCCGAACACCATACAGTTTGGGCAGGTCGGAAGGATGATACCATCGCCTCTGACTCTTGAGGCCTACACTTCATTGATCAATTAACGGGCTTTTCCTCAAAACTCTCGTATAAAGCTCCAGCGAGTGAAGGTGCTCACTTCATTGTAAACGGCATGTCTCTCCTCACCATGTTTAATCAAATGTTTTTAAATCGACCGTAAGATACTGTTTAAGACATAGAAACGCTTGATCAGTAGGCAACTCCAAAAGCTGAAGCAAGTCACAAGTTCCACAAAACAACAGTTGACTGAGATGATATAATGGGATTCCCTTCTAAGCTACCCCTAAGTGACGCTGAAACGCCCGTGAGACCGCCTTCTCTCTTAAGACGAGATTCTAGAAAAGAGAATCCCACGTATCGAAATAAAATAGCCCCGCCAGCATGCTCACTCCTTCGCAGATCCCACAACGTGGCGTAAAGTGCCCCTGCAGATCGAACCATACCGCGCGCGTCCAGCTCAAAACACCCAACCCAGACTATTCATAATCGGATCATGCAGTTCTCAATTGCATTCCTTCTCCACCAGTCCTCCATAAAAGCACACTGATAGCAGATTGACCATTTTCAGTGTGCACATGCCACTGGTCAGAAACCCTGTACCCTCCCCTCATAAATACAAATAAAAAAGTTTAAGGGTAAGTCAACAAAACCAGTTTTGGGACGAATCAGATAAACATGTGGTTTGGTTCTATATAAATATAAGAAATTCATATTCTTCCATTCTTAGACTTGGCCACAGGTCAATATTCGGATTCAAGACTCTCAGACAAGAAGTGGTTTGAAATATAGATGAATTCAAGGTATTACATTTCTCCCTCGAGTGCATCGAGGGTCGTTTCCTCGAAGAGGCGTTTGAATACAATTGTATATTAGATTACTATTATGCTTCTTGGGCTCTGCTATTAGTCTCGGAAACAACCGAGAAACGGCTCGTATACTATTTACACCGAATGAAAGAACCATATGCATACATATATTAAAACCCTTATGATCACTTGTCATGCCCATGCAGAATAATGGCAAATCTAGTGAGCTGCACGCTCAAGATGTGCTCGCGGAATACCTGGTCCACCCCGGCCGCAATGCACAGAACCGAACTGGTCCTCAACCCAAACCTGCCCTCTCCCCAACATATCTTGGACCCCACGACCGTGTGCTCCTTCTTGCCCGTCCTGCTGCGAGGCTTCGGCCGTATCTCGCTCACCTCGTAGAGGGTCTGGGGCACCCACTCGTTCGTGCCCTCCGTCACCCACACGAAATTCCTGCCGCCGTAGACGAATCGCCGCGGCCCCCACCCGGGCTTCTCCAGGCGATCGGGCTGCTCCTCGATGCGGCCGCCCATGTCGTTGTAGACGGTCATTGGTCGGCCCTTGAAGGAATCCTCAATCTCGGTGAATCCCGGCTTGACCGGGGTGACGACGACCTTTTGACACCGCTTGGTGAACTCGGTCGCGCGGTAGAGACTCGTCTTGTCTATTGAGTGCTTGGTGCGCTTGTGGGCCTGGAGGGTGTAGAGCGTTTGTCGCTCCGGCGTGTCGCTCTTGACTTTGATGTAGTACATGAAGGAGCCCACCTTGAACTTCTCCTGGCTGACGGAGATGTGATATACTGTGGCGGGCTCCTTGGATGGGAGAGTTGGTGAGTAATAGGGGACAGGGGTTTGCAGCAAATGGGCCATGGTTTGTTCTGGGGCCAGCCCAGGTTCCTCCTCTTTTTGCTTTTGAAAATTGGCGAGCCAAATGTCATCCTAGTGAAGGGTGAGTTAGCGCGTTAAAATTCGTGGAGATGGAAAAAGAAAAGAAAAAAAACACAATCACGATGACCACGTGAGTGAAAGTGATGGAGTTGGTGACATACAAATGTGATCGCCATCAGGGATTGGCCGAGGGGCCCGGTGCGCATCTCGCGGAATTCCTCGCGGGCGGTCCATACCGAGGGCAGCATGACGAACGAGGGGTTGGTGATTCCATCTTTGAGCGGCCGCACGACGTCGAGTCTGGCCTGGTGGAACTTGAGCTGCTTCTTCGCGACTCTCTTGCGCTCGCGGTCGAGGAACCTCGAGTCCTCTACCAGGGTGTGGAGGGCGGCGACGGCCTGTGCGTGGCAGTGATATGCCTGGACGAAATTCCCCTCAAACTCGGCATGGAAAGCCTCCTCGCACAGCTGGAGGGCGGCGATGTCTCGCTGCGTCTGGGGGCCCGTCACCGTCGCAGTCCCCGACGTGCCCGACGTTGAGCTCAGTGTTGAGTCCATGTCATTATTTTCCCGTAGTCGTTGCACATGCAGAGGAAAATGGAGGCAGCCAGGGCAGAGCCATATAAACCCCTTTCGGCTGCACGAAAGGCGCCTCCCAAATTTCTCGATTGAGCTAGAGGGGAGATTTGGCGACATGTTTTATTGGTTTCCCCATTGGCTCATTGGCCGGCAGCACACGCGGCGGTGAAACTGGGCCGAATCAGGCAAAGATGCGAGCGCTATTCATGAGATCCCCTCCTGTTCATCCGAGTGCTAGACCCAAGAGAGCGGTGCATGACTAGCAGACCATGGCGGGATCACGGAGCCAGACAAGGGCTGTTGAGAAAGTGTCGTGCCATGGCTTCGTTCCCGAGTCATGAGCTGATATCAGACGCGTACCTGCTGCTGGGAATTTGGCCCATCCTCTGCCCCGGGATTTGCATTTACGTTGTGGGACGTGCAGTAGTAATAATACGGCAGATATATGCCCGTCCATTACCCCGCATCGAGCCTAAGACGAAGCCAAGAAGCCTGCAAATGCGAGTAAGGACGGTGGCTTTGATTAGCGATGTTCATCCCAATTTCAATTGACCAACTTTTTTTCATCATTCAGGTTACGCGAGAAAGACCGATGCTGAACTGGCTCATGGTGCATATGCCGACTCTATTCAATTGATACAAGACTTGCCGACAGTGTTCAGATGTATCAATTTATTGAACGAACGGTATTGTAAATGACCTTGGTATAGGGTAGTAGATAGCTTGAGGGAGCTGGAGAGCTGAGTAATCACGGGAGAAATATCGGAAAAATTAGTCGACGGAAAAACACAAACGCCACATCACGTGATACCACAGACCCTTCCTTATCTTGTATGCACGTGATTCTAGCCGGAGATGCAACCCCGGGGAAGACCCACATTTGATTTTGAAGGGTCTTCTTTGGTGGCCAATCCAATTGCCCAAAAGTTCCAGCAGAAAAATGCTGCCCTCGGCTAATCTCACTGTAAAAAGGCCGAGGCCCACTAAATGAAGATTTTCGTGCGGGATTATGATATTGGCATTACTGATTCATCCCATGTCTAGCAGCCGGCCTAAAGCGAACAAGGGAGGTCGATAGTAGGGCTGGCTTCAGCTCTTGTCCACTTGCTAATCATGGAAGCAGTACCATGTGCAATCCGCCATGTGCTGGTCGCCTCTACCGGCGCCTCTCCCGAACTTTGTCTGTCTGTCCGTGCTATGTAGGCAGTTGAGGACGGCGAACCGTCGCACATGACAGACGGTCGTATTCTCGAGCGTCGTACCCGGGCGAATTGGTGGACGGGCAAACTTGGCAGACTCCGGTCCCTTCGCTTACCCGAGGGAGGGGTCGAGCAATCCCAAGATTGGGGCTGCTGTGCCGCAATCGTCGGTGCCAGCGCATTATTAGATCCACGAGCGTTCAGAAGGATTTCAGCCCGGAGATCTGTCTTGCTTTGGAGGAATTAGCCATGCACGAGGCAGCCCCCAAGGCCTGATGAAGGCATTAGCGTGGTGAGCAAATGGCTAGCTGCGATATTAATACACACTCTCTTGCTCTGCACAACACCTTGGTCAGCACGCATGGACCAGTAGGCCGGGGCAATCCGACGCTATACAGTCAGCTTTCATGCAGGCTGACCGGGATGCCTTCGGCGTGGTTGCATCTGATATGTAGTAATTTGGGGCCATGTATGACAAACGGACGGCTGGCCGTACCAATTGGCAGCTGATTGCCTACTTACTTTGCCAGCGCCTCCCCAGTCCTTTTGTCTTCGATTTCTGTTCTTTGATCGTTCGTTGAATCTCCGGCCCCTTGTGTGTGAGTTGGCGCGCGCGTGTATCTTTGACTTGGCGAACTGCGCGCGTAAATAATAAGTTGTTCGATACACCATGTTCGGCTCGACCATCGTCAGCCTGCTTCTTGCAGTCACCTACTTGCCCGTCTCCGTTTCCGCCCAGGAAGTGAGCTGCTTCGCGCCCGATGGCAAGACACTGGCCGACAATGAGACCTACGTGCCCTGCAACAAGCTGGGCATCAACCAGGAAGGCGTCTACTCCAGCTGCTGCAACTTAGATGGCAAAGCCGACGACCGCGACCTCTGCACGGCCACCGGGCTGTGTCTGAACAAGGGTCTCCTGTTCCGTGGATACTGCTCGGACAAGACTTGGGAGAGTGACGCCTGCGTCAAGGTGTGCATGGATGAGTCGGTGCGTATCGCTTCCCAGCAGCCTCCACGATGCAGCAACTAACGATTGGAATACAGGTTGGCGGAAAATCAAATGGCACAGTCGAGATCACGCCTTGCACCGACGGCAAGTACTGCTGTGGACACAACAATCTCACCTGCTGCGGCACCAGTCGAGCATTCGAGCTTCCCACCTTGGTCAACGTCAAGGGGTCATCATCGGCAGCAAACGTGACGCAGACCGCCATCGTTACCGAGACAGCGATTGCCGAGTCGGCCACCTTCAAGAACGCAACAATCGGCCTCGCCGTCGTAGTGGGCGTTATTGCCTTGGCCGCCGCCGGCGCCGTCTTTGCTCTTCACCGGAAGAACCTTGCTCTTCACAAGCAGCTCGACGAGGCCCGAGCTGCTGCCCCTCCTGCCCCAGCAATGCAGGAAGCGTCTCACGGAGGACAATACCACCGGGACGAGATTGATCCTTACCAAGACTTTGGCGGCGGCTCGACAATCACTTCGGCGTCGGTGTACGGAGGTGCCCTATCGCAGCATAATAAGACCTTCAGCACCATCCCGCCCTCCTCTCCTGGCCCGTCCGAGGCGCCTACTCATATGCGCTATTCCGAGCTGGATGCGACTCACACATCCAAGAACGAGGCTCCTTCATAATTTGTTTCCAAGGCGACTGAGATAACTAAGTTAGTCGTTCGGATTTCCCTAACCTCCCCTCCACATCACCTTATGGTCGGGAACGGTCGAAGCAAGAGATGGAGAACAGGCAAGGGAAATGAAAATGCGCTTTGATGTTGGAATTCGGCGTGGCTATCGATGCATACGGCACTCTGCAAATACATGGGATTCGATTTAACAGCGGCGTTAAAGAGTCATATACCATTCCTGTTGTTTGGGTAATTGGACCGGTTTAGCTGGGAAATGAATGAGGAAGTCAGCGTGCAATTGGTTGATGGACTTTCTTGGTGTTTTTTTTTTTTCGCATACTTCGTGCTTTATTCGTGTATATATATTATATTCAAAGCTTCTGGATAATAAATTAGTGTTTATTACAATATCGCTTCATCATCGTGTGTTTGGTTCAATTAGCACTGTGGCATCGTGGAGGTCACTCCGTCATCCATCCATGGCCGCCTCGTTTGAATTTATATCTTCCAGCAAAGTTGAGATCTAAATCCAAGTGATAGTGAAAGCTTCTCCTTAAGAATGAAAAAAACCCCCAATCAGACCCCCCATCCGCAGTTCGTGAGTCAGTTTGATATTCATCCGCATTTTGGGTCAGTCTGATATTCTCAAGTTTGGGATCTCTGGAAGATCCAGGTAAGCCAGCTCGATCACTTCCAGCATTCGCAGTGGCCAGTCCAAATACGAGACATGCTCTGGAGCCAGCTTTGTGGCGAGTCTTTTTATCCACGTCCGAAGCATAGTTTCTCTGAAGGAGAAGGCTGACATGAATGAGGCAAGTACTTTTCGCCCAATTACATACTCAAGTATAAAGAAATGGGCAACCAACAGTTGAGCGACGTGGTTTTGGCTATCCATGAAATGATTAAAATCAGCTTGGTCGGGCTCTCCAAATACATTATATGCAGAGGATATTGCCAATAACGCTGGAAAAGGGCAAGGTCAGAAATTTCACTGAATAAGGAGGAAGGTGACATACTATCCATGTTGGAGACTGAGGCCATGCTTAGAAGGTTTTCTAAAATACCGAGATATTGTTTCTCGAACCTAGTATGACACAGATCCCGCAATAATTTGAGTGAGGCGGAAGCATTGGTGAGAAATAAAGACGTTGGCTGTGAACTGTTTTCTGTGACTTCATGGAGTTTCTTGTCACCTCCCCCCGAGGCAAATTTCGTAAATAACGACATGGCATACTTCGGCAGCGTGGATTTGGTCAGAACCATGCAGCCGCGGATCATATGAAATATCTCGAGCATTCCATCTGGCATGTAGGATGACTGGAATGTAAGCACCATGAGGGTAGAGAATCTAGCATCACTCTCAGTCTTCGAGGTTGGGGGTTTGCATAGTGCTTGGTTCAACAGCTTGATCGACTTGACGCGATGTTCCAGAGCCTCAGCCTCGTGGTCTCCCCCGCCACTAAGACAAAGATGCGAGGCCGCGAGGCCAAGCATAGAATGGACGAGAAACTCATACTTGGTATAAAATCAGCCATGGGCTTATGCTTTCTTACTACATCGGAGCTTACATTATGAGAATATGATGTTATATCGTCCCACACAGCTTTCCCGTGTAGCGGAAGCGGAGGGTATGCGTGGAGGACAAAATGATGGAACAGCCTGAGGTCTTTCAAGTTGAACTGGCCCCCCGTCGATTGTAGAGGAGCAGATGGATTATTCTTAAGCGGATATTCGCAAGTCAAACCGAGCCGTACACAACTGCTGCATTCGGGCTGGTCTTCTGGGCATTTGACCCTTCTCCGCTTGCACGTTAAACACCCTCTCCTCGATTTGGTGTGCCCTCTGCGCGTCAATTTGTGGATTGAGCGAATCTGCCCAGCGCCGCCGCCATTTTTAGTTGCCGTTTCGCCATCTCCTGTTTCTCCATCATATATTTGCAGAGCAGTCGATGAGTCCTCCATTTTCTGTGAATGAAATACAGACAACTAGTCTTGCTTGCTGGGTCCTACGTAAGATTCCAGGTCATTTTGGTCGGTGTCGCGGATCAATGCTCCTCCATTCCGACCGACTGGAACATAATTACATGTAGAATGCCAAGCATCATATGTTTCTCAGCGTGTAAGCACCAATTCCAGTGCGATCATACACGAGGCCAAATGTCCTTTCCCCCCAATAAAATTGTCAGATTACAAAAAGTGCGTTCCTAAACATGAATTACTACTACCCGCAAACAGTAATGGCCGTTAGAATCACGGCGCAAATGACACTGATCTACTGCCAGCCGACCACGAATGTCGGATCTCACCCCGAAGCCAGTAGTAAGACGGTGAGGGTGGGCGATTAGTGGTCGGTTACTGGTCCATGAGCGTGAGGGGACAAAGGAGCAAGCCAGGCAAGGGTGTCGTGACACATGATTGTTACCATTGACATCCACTGGTCCGGACGTGAATAATTAATGCCCTCGTCCCAATTGGTGCTCCGATGACCCAATACCAAGCTGACGCTGCTCTTACGGAGAAATGTTGGAGAACGCGGGGTGGGTGGCCAAATCGTGGGGAAGTAGGCAAGATACTGTCGGAAGACGGGTCACGATATCCAGGTTCGCAGCCATCTTCTCTCCCTCTGACCGTATGAAAATCGGATGCCGGGATCGGATGACGGTTCTGTGGGCCGGAGCAGAGGCACCAATCGTCATGGGGATCCTGGAAATGAGCTGGAACCACACCAACTACTCGTTAGTATCGACGCCAGCAGCAGCCGTGCGTTGCTGCTTTACGAAGTGAGTAATGCCAATTGGCCAACACAAGACAGCACAACCTTGACCAAGAGAATGGGCGGTTGGCAGTGTTTTTGATGACCGCCTCTTCCCCCTGACGACGGGCCAAACTGAACATTGACTCTTATGAACTTCCCCCTGGCAACCACGTAGGACAGAGCCACAGGCCCATCGAAAGGAAAAAAAAAATACACGCACGACTGGTATCTTGGCCATGCATCACAAGCAAAGGTAGCCGGTGTCGATAGCCCCTGCTGAGAATGCCCACGAAGAAAGTACGTGACAGCGATAGACGGCGCTGTGCTCAGGCTTGCGAAGCCTGTAAGCATAGAAAGCAGCGATGTGACGGTCTGCGTCCATGCCGGCGATGCGTGAAGCGCGGACTAGGGCGTGAATGCGGACAATCCTCAATGGCAACATCCCCATCAGCCCCCTCTGGCTTGGTAGCATCTTCTCTTCCAAGCCCAGACACCGAGCATGGAGGGAATCCCATGTCTGGCTTGTCGAGTAAACAGGTTGATCTGGATCAATCGTCCAGCAGGGACCTCCCGCCTCATGAGAGTTCCAGGCAAACCGTGCCTGGCGTGGCTTTTGGATCACCTTTTCCCATGTCCGTCGAACAGGCACCGCCTACGCACGATACGCCGTCCTCACTACAGCTTCTCCAAGAAGCACACCGAGCTAGAGTGCCACCGATGTCCCGGCTTGTCAAGGACACCAAGGGACTCTACATGTTTATAGGGGACTCGGCAACCTTGTCCTTTCTTCAGAACATTCGCCGCATCGTTCGCCGCTCACTGGAAAGCTGCGCGTTTGTGAGCGACCCGCTACGCCATTTGATCGTGGAAGCAACGCCTTGTTCTGGCTCTGGTTCTGGCCCTGATTCTGACCGAGGCTGGATAATGTCCAGTGCGAGAAACCCGCCACCAAGACCATCTGTTGCTGAGGCTGAATACCTCCAGACTTGGTATCGGCGATCAGCCAATTGCGTGCTGCTTCTTTTCGACGACCAAGATCTGGATCACCGGATTACAGAGTGGCTTCACAATGGAAATGACGCTGCTACCCCGGCCAGCTCCGTTTACTATCTCGTGTTTGCGATTGGTGCTCAAACCGGCCCTCATGACAAGGACGACCTGGCGCAGGCGTTTTTCAACTACGGCCGATATTTGACTGTCGACACCTTGATGGAGGATCCTGATATTCCAACCATCCAAGCCTTTGCGTTGATTGCCATGTATCTGTTGGGAGCATCGCGGCGGAACTCAGCCTTCATGTATCTTGGCATGGCTGTTCGCGCAGCATATGCGCTGGGCCTTCACCGCAAAGACATCTCGGCACTTTACCCGCCTGACGAATTTCAGCGTCGAGAAAGGGTTTGGAAAGCCATCCGCATCTTGGATCTGTTCATGAGCGCATCTCTTGGCCGGCCTCCTTCAACTGCCGAGACACGCAACACATCAAGCGTAGAGGATTACTCTGCGTGCAACGATCTCTCCAACATCTTCGAATCCGTGCTGCTAGATGTCTATGCCAAACGCGTAATTTCTACAGAGGTCTTAGACAGGATCAGCAAAGAGCACCGACGCTGGGCTGCACAGTCCTCTCAAGGCTTAGAGTTGGACGGTATCCCACTTGGTGGCGAGACTGAAATCAGTGGTCAGGAGCCAAACATTGGGCTCTTACATCTCAAGCAAACGGCTTACTGGACCATCATTCTACTATCTCTGCCATTTCTTCTCAAAATGGTCTCATCACACGTAGACTCTACTGTGGGAGACCATCTCATACCGGATCAAGGCAAAGCGTTGCCCTCAAACCAAGCACTCGTATTTGCCTGCCTCGAGTCTGCGATTGGGAGCATCGATCTTTTTCAGCCACTGCTGGAATCTGAGAGCCTCCCAAAACGACTGCCATTTGTGATGAATTCCGTCTTCGTCTCCGGTCTGGTGATTGGGGCGGCGATTTTCGGAGACCTGGACACGAATTTCCCGCTCAAACATAGCTTGAGGCTGGCAAGGAGCGCCCTCAAACGTTTTGGCCAACATGACGCAATCGCCAAGCGCCACTCAGTCATTCTCGAACACTTGCAAGAAGCCTGCGATGAATACATAGAAATGAGAACTCGACGAAAGATGGAGCGTCATGGCCATCTCGTCAAGGGACTCTTCGGGTGTATCAACACCATCGGAGAGGATGCTTCAGATAGTGGACCAAGGAGCACTGAGAAACAGCTGAAGGATAGTAGCTCTGATGACATTTATGCCTCGTTTCTACCGGCATTCTGTAACGTAGGCGAACAGGGCATCAACATGGGACTAATGAACCTGACAGGGAACGACGCGCAGAATGAAGCAGCGAGGAGCATTGCGCAGACAAATGACACACGAGAGTCGGACAGTGTGCAGACAGAAGATAACCTGGCTACAATGGTGCCTTCAATGTCGCCAAACATGCTGTGGTTCGACTCTTTGGGTAATAACATGTCTCTTTTCCCTGTTGTTGACGCACATGCGATTGACAAGGATGCAGTGGACTCAAACTCCTTCACCCCTACCTTTATGTATTAGGCCGATTAATAGCGATCCTATTCGTCAAAAAGAAGATTTGAACACACATATATTTGGTTCAGCTCGAGTAAGACCATGTGCCAGAAATGACACCATTGGAGCTTCTAGCTATCTACTAGTAGGTATCACTAATGTCCTCCACCTCCTCAACTACTACTACGTTTATCCTATCTTGGCTAGCTAGACCTTGGGTAGGGTCAGATTGTTCTGCGGTAGCATGAACTCGGAGAAGAAACGATCAGCTGACTCATAGTCGTCAAGCTTTCCCACGTACGAGATGTACTGGTCTGGTCGGAGAATAACAAGGCATCCTTCATCATGGCGGATGTTGAATGTCTTGTAGAACTCCCCATGACCCTCATGGTACGACTGATCATCCACGAAAATCTTCTCATAATCCCAACCATCAACTTCATGGAATGGTCGAAGAACTTCCGGGAAGTCAAAAACGTCGACACTCTGTCGTGGTGCTCCATGGATGGTGATGACCTCGATAACAGAGTCATAGCGAGCGGTGTTGGGTGTGAAACGTCTCAGAAATGATGCTGGGTTGGAGAGCTGGCCGCAAAGTTTCTCCAACCTGGACTTTTGACCCGGCTGGCTCACGTCACCGGGGACTACGAGGAGTCTCCAAGTGCCGTTGCTCGGAAGACGCTCCTGGAGATGCCATGGGCGCGCATCGGACTGGTTGAGGACCTTGACACTTGGAATCCTCTGTCCCACTTTCAACCCAGGCGCGAGATCTTGGATGCCAGTGACTGGCGTGGAGGTGGTTGCTGCGGTTGCTTCACTCGCACCATTTTCAGCCACTGGCTTGGTTACGATGAGACTCCTACCGTAGTCGACAGCTATAGTCAATGGTTAGCAGAATTACCTCGCAAATATCACTGAATCCGAAAATGTGCATACCAATTCCACTTGCAAACAAATTTCCTTTTTGGAAAGCATCTCGAAATTCGTCCATGCTGATGCCTTCTTCATCCATAATGTCCTTTGCCGGGCGACCAGAGAACAGTCTCGAAAATTTGTGATCAAATTCAATAAGAGCGTGAGCGATGGCTTTGCGCTCAAACTCGTAAGTCTTCAGGATTGAACGGTTTGAATGCCCTTTGATGACGCTGGAAAGCTTCCATCCAAGGTTATATGCTTTAGATTAAGCCCATGTTAGACGTGATGTGTTATTTTCAGCGTAGAAGAAGCGCAACTCACCATCTTGCATGCTAACATTCATTCCTTGACCAGCTTTGGGGCTATAGCTAGATGTTAGCATTGCGATGCACCGACCATAGGAAATCACAAATAAAGCGCATACCTATGGGTGTGAACAGCATCACCCGCCAGGAAAACTCTGTCATGGACTCCAAAGCTCGAACCCACACGTTGGCCGATCTGATAGGCTGTCCACCAGTCAAGCTTTCGGTATTCTAGCTTGTACGGGGAGAGAATTCGCTGTGCCGACTCCAGAATCACTTTAGGTGTGATCCATGATCTGTCCGTGCGTGAATCCTGGCCTTGGATCTTGGATGTCGTGGTGAGCTGGATGTAAAGTCTGACCAGCTTGTTTTCACGAGGAATGACCATGATGCTGCCAGAGTTGGCCGAGTGAACAGCACATCTACTCCTGATATCCGGGAAATCAGTGATGGGGACGATGTCGAGGACACCCCAGATGTAGTCGGTGGACTCTCCTTCTAGCTTCAGGCCGATTTCCTTTCGCACCCAGGAGTGAGCTCCATCGGCACCGACCATGTACTTGGCCTTGATGGTCTCGGTGGTGTTGGCCTTTTGGTTGAGCTCGGACGTCTTCAACATGTCGGCCGTGTCGTCTGCCATCAAGTTGCTTCTGAATAGACCGTCCTGCGCCGAGATTCCATTCGACATGGTCGAGCTCTGCTTAGGGGTAGCGTCCTCCTCGCTCAGATGTCGAAGATTGACCGTGATTGGATAGGCCTCGGGGTCTTCCACACAGCTCTGGTCAATGTCCAAGCTTGTGGGCAAAACTCCCCGCTCTACTGCAACGCCACCGTTGCTGAATTCGTTGATGGCATCGAGAAAGAAGCGCTCAATTCGCCCCTGGTGTAAGACGACCTGTTGGAAGCGGCTGATGCCAGGGATCGTATCGGGCAGACGAGAAGAACGATGAATGACGCCGTTGCTGTCGGGATTCCAGAGGCAAATCTCGAGCATGTGGTTGGATTCCCTCCAAGCTCGGTGGCCAATGCCAAAGGAATCTAGAATTTCCAAGGTGCGGCACTGGAGTCCGTCTGCCTGGCCATTGAAAATCTAACCGATCGAGTCAGCAAGTGATAGAATCCTCCCACCGTATGTCCCTGCTCACCTTTGTTCCTCTCTTGTCCACGATTCTCGCCTTGACACCGCACTTGGCTAGCCATGTGGCCAGCATCAGACCAGCCGGACCGGCTCCCACGATGAGCACATCAACATGATCTTCCGCCATGTTGTATCTCTTGAGTGAAAAATGGAGAACAATGTCTTGTTAAATAGTGGGCACGAATAAAAGCGTAGTGGTTGATAATCGTCGCTAATGCCTTGACGTATTGTTTCTGTTGGAGGACTGAGAGACGAAGCTGAGGGGGTTAAGCTTACATGTACCTAAGACGCTTTATACATTGGTTAGGATGGTGTCGGGCCAAGACATGTTCTCACAGTGGTTTGACTATGCAAACAAATCCGGGAAAGCCATCGGATCAACCACACCATGTTCTGAAATTACCCCAAGGAGTTGGGGATCCCGACATGGGGTAACACGTACCGGATTCGCGGAGGAAGTGGGTGGTGCGCATGTCGGGTAGCGGGTTCGGATGCAGGGTCGGTCAGTCGGATAGCAGCAGATGTGTAAGATGTGCAGCGACTAAAGACACGCTAGATCACATTGATCTCCTCCGAGGGCCTTCAACGTTTCAAAGGGGTTTTTCTTGACTTGGCCATGTGTGCTTACTTGGTGTCGACCACCCCCCGGTCACCCACCACGGGGCAGACCAAGTTTTTGGTGGGGTGACAATGCAGTTGCTTACGAGTCAATGAATTACACGTTTTGTGATGGGGTTGTACTGCAGATGTGATCCGGTTGTAATTCGAGATGGCTTGCTGTCGATATGTCCAACTTGGGCTACCGGCAGTAAGAAAATACAACCCGTGTGAGATTGACAAGCAAGGAAACCGCCCGACACACACTATGCATAGATAACAACCAGCGCTGGAAGGTAAGAGCCAGGTGCCCACGTAGTGATAGAATGGGAATCGTGCCTAAATGAGGCTGATCATCGTCTCAGTTCGGCGGCTCCTCCTCTTTGACTAGAAGCATAAATGGTTTCTTTTAGATGGTGCTTATTTCCTTATCAGACCATTGAAATGCCATGGAGTAATCTGAAAATCTTCAACAATACATAAGCAGCACTCGTAGATTTATCAAATGTCCGTATTGCCAGCTATTCTCCATTGAAATTTGGCACGCCGCAAAGATCCAGCCAGATCTTCTAGCATTTCGGTATCTGGATGATAGTCCAGGGCTGATTTCAACATGCTAGTTGCTTTTACGGTCCTCCGTAGCAGTAATACAGCAGCCAGTGGCATCCTTCTGATATTGTTGATGTCATCCATTCTCGTGATATCCCTGGTCGTGTTCAATACTGAATCAATAGCCAATGAAGAGAACGCTCTAGAATGAGAACAAGATTTGATGGCTTTTAGATGCAATTCGATTAAAGCTCTATATAATCATTAGCGATGGTTCGTTGGTCTCGGCATGTAACATACAATAATAGGATAGCCGTAGAAAAATAAGGTAGGATCCAATCATCCTCTCTCACCGCAAAATTCTCAGTGAGCTTTGTCTGGAGTAAGTAATCCAGGGCCAGCACGTCGCTTGAATTCGGGTTCTCTAACAGAGCCACACTCTCTAGTAGTCCACATGCTTGCGCCTGGTGCATGAGATGGACAAGTCGTCGGTGATACTTGCTCTTGGTTCCGAGCGATGCCATAGCCAATTCAATGGCCGGCGGATGCTCCATCTCGGCTTCGAGAGTGTAGAACGCGTGATTGGCAGGTAGCTTTTCCACTAAGTACGGCCTTGGCGATTCACTGAAAGAATAATGGAGTCTATCCAAGAGATAAATTGCAGACTGTAATATTTTCATTTCAACACTTTGTGGAAGACTGTCGGTCGTTGCGGCGGGGCAACTGCTATTGCTCTCGCGCCATATTTGAGCGCAGATACTCAGGGTATTGTATGCGTTCGATAGAAGCCCCTCTCCGATTTCGAAAACGGCGAGCAGGATGCCTGATTGTAACTTGGCAATTGGTGAGCCCCGGATCTTGCGTAGAAGCATGAAGACGAAATTGCATACACCATAGAGAGAGGATGAAGAAGTATCCACCTTGGCCTCTATTGCTGCTGCTTGCGCATCAAAGAGGGAGATGTGTAACAACAGAACAGCAGTCTCGGCAGATTTATGATTGATGTAATCCGAGATCGCTTGAGCGAGTCTTGCAGGGTCAATTATTGGTAGCCACCAGTGAACCGAGTCCCTATACAGCTTGCTCACGAATAGGCTAGGATTCCCGATGTCGCCGAGAACGAAGTGCGCACAGGAGACGATAAGTTTCCTGAGATCTTGAGGTTGGGACCAGAAGTTGGCACGAGACACCTTCGTTTGCCTGCGCGATGAGATATGCCGGACACTTGCTTCGTCAAACGCGCCTGGGAGCATGCTGCCATGATTGTACGAGCATTGGCCTTTAGTACTGGATCCAATCAGCGACTTCCGTAATGTAAATTAGCTTTCAAGTATCAAAGGGGTCACTGTACAGATTACAGCGGCTGCATCTAGGCAGTAAACGGTCACATTTTCGCTTCTTAGAAAAGCAGCTCACACAAGCATTCGGGGCATTGAGCATAATTACGCCTCTGACGTCAAAGTCATCAAACGAGAGAAATACGGTCAAACGGTCGGCAGCCTGGTGTCAATAGGTCAAAGATTTGTCAAGACATTCACGGATTTGAAATTCGGCATCGTTTAAGTCCGAGCATCAACATGCAGTCATGTGGATTCGAAATCAACCAATGATCTAATCTGAATTGACTGGGTTTCCAATGTTACGACGCTAGCGGACTAGTGCTGCAACTGTAAATTACCTTATACGTTTCTTGTGAGCATTGACATAGTCTCGCGGCCGGCACCAAGGTTACAAGTGAGACCGATAGGTCACCCATTTCTTCCGATTGAACAGAGGATGTCGGTTGAATTCTTGGGAGAAAATTACTATAAAAGCTATGCAACATCCGCAGGTCTATACATTGTGCATCCAGCTCACGCTTCCCCTTCTATTCACTTTCAACAAAACCCATCCTTGAATATGGCCTTCTCTGAGAATAACTCTAAGAATGACTCTAAGGAGCTCCGGGCTCCAAGTCTATTCATTTCTCATGGTGCTGGGCCAATGCCTCTTTTGAATCCTGATCATGAGTCATACAGGCAACTTCTTCGCGGCCACGGCCAATTACTTGATGGCGTCAAGGCCGTTATCCTAGTTTCGGCTCACTGGGAAACTGATGAACCACATATTACATCAGCCAGTGACCCGGGACTATTCTACGACTATGAGGACATGAGGGACATTCTCCCTCGCGAAGCCTTTGAATTCAAATATTCAGCCAAGGGTGATCCACAGCTGGCGGCAGAAATAGCCCTCCACCTCAAGTCAGTCGGCTTTCACCCAGTCATAGACTCCGAGCGCGGGCTTGATCACGCCGTCTACGTCCCCATGACGCTAATGAGACCGGACGCCGATATCCCCATTGTCCAAATGTCAATTCTCAAAGGTGAGAATGAACGAGAGTCGACTGAGAAGAATATCAAATTAGGTGAGGCCTTGGCAGGCTTCCGTGAGAGAGGTTATGCTATTTGCGGGAGCGGAGGCTCCTACCACGACTTCCACGCCGTGGCAAAAGCCGTGTTCGAGAATCAGCCAATTCCTCCGAGCGCAAGTGCATTTGAGAAGTTTCTGGAATCCTCTGCAACCGTTTCGGACGCTGCAGAGAGACGAAACCTACTGCTAGGCTGGCGAGATTTACCGGAGAGCTTCATAGCTCACAAGGAAGGAGAATCGGACCATTTTATGCCATTTTTGGTTGCAGCTGCGAGTGGAGGAGACCAGAGCGGCGAGCAATACGACATGTACAATTACAAAGGTGCTCCAATGAGTTTCTATAAGTGGTAATCCGCCATCGATGTGGACATATTGAATGCGCGGGCAGGTAACGATGAAGCGAGTTTGGCCTACTTTGCTCCGAGTTATATCCTGTTCGTTATTGTCATGCTCCAATGAGGCCATAGTTTGTTTATTCCTTTACTTCCATTCTTTGTGATACGCACATATGTTCTCCGCCTATAACTTGAAGAGTTGCCTGGTTAAATAAGAGGCCTAGGGTAGCTAAGTTGAGTGCGATCAAACAAGTGTTTGATCATATTTCAGAACTTTGGGCGCTACATTACAAGTTCGAGCGAATCTGAGGGCTATTCGCTGGTGTTATACTTAGTCCGTCAAGAGTCCCCTTGTTCCTCCATTGCTCCAAATAATCAATATATGATCTTGCTCCTTCCGACCAAATACTTCCCCTAGCTCGCTTGAGTCTCAGCTCCTCAGACTTGATAGCAGCCGCATCGCCATGCCCATTGAAGTAGCTCGGTGTGCATCCGGCAAGCGTAGAGAAAAACGGCGCGCGTCGAAGAACTTCTTTGGCATGGGCCTCCTCTCCGGCTTTTGTTGCCTCAATGATGGGTCGTGACTGGGGCCCCAACTTTGAAAATGCCTCGGAAATGATGAATGCAACGTGGTGAGCAATGAAACCAAGCATGAAAGTGTTGTTACCTGTTGCTGTCGCTTGCGATGTCCCAGTAAAGAACAGGTTTGGGAAGTCGCTTGTGAGATAACCGTGGAGAGTAGTTACTCCATTGGCCAACCACTTTTCATCAAGTGACTGGCCATTTCGACCAACAACAGTGATCTTGCTCTTCGCGCTGGGGCTTGCCGCTCTTGTGGTTGACAGTTGGTATCCAGTACTGAACACGATAACGTCGACTTCATACTCTTTTCCACCTACAACTATTCCCTTTTCCGTTATCTGGGACGGCCCTTGACCATCCGTGTCAACCAATTCAACGCTGGGCTTATTGAAAGTTTGTAGATAAGTGTCACTGAATGTCGGGCGTTTGCACCATGAAGGATACCATGGCTTCAATTTAGCCGATGTTTTCGGATCCTCAACCAGCGTTTCAACCCGGGCTCGAACTGCCTCCATGGTTGGGAGGTCCAGTTCATGGAAAGCAGTCACATGCTTTTCTAAATTATCCGGCGATGGATCAACAATACCGTGGGAGGGAGAACCGAGCAACGCAGAATATGCTGGCATGGTCGTCCAGCCGTCAGCCACGAGATTCTTCTCTCCCGGCTTGGCCGAGTTAGTGACGAAGCGGTTCCAGTTCAACTGACGCTCCCGCTGCCACCCGCTCGTGCTGGCCACCGAAGCTCTGAATTCCTCCGGATCTGTGATACGTTGGTTGCGTGGTTTCACATTAGCAGGAGTTCGCTGAACGACATATAGTTTCTTCGCGTATTTTGCGATTTCAGGAATTACGCCGATGGCAGTGGCGGCGGTACCAATGACGGCTACGCGCTTGTCGCTCAGCCCAGTCAAAGTCTGATCGTCCTGGGAACCTCCGGAAACTTTATAATTCCATCGGGCAGTATGGAACAGGCTCCCAGAGAATGACGAGAGTCCCGGGATTCTGGGGACTTGTGGTTGTGTAAGTCCACCTGCGGCGAGGTAAACATACTGGGAACGAAACCGACGCTCAACCGGGCTGCTCGACGGACCACGATTCTCGGTAAAGGTAATATTCCATAGTTTCGAGTTCTCATCCCATTCGACTCTCTTGACTTCGGAGCGGAATTGCGTGCTGTCAGCAAGATTCCACTTCGCCGCAATCCGCTCCGCCTGCCCTCGCACTTCTGCACCAGTGGCATATTTCTGTGAGGGCACATAACCTGTCTCTTCAAGCAGCGGTAGGTAGATGTAGCTTTCAAGGTCACAGTGAAGGCCGGGATACCGGTTCCAATACCATGTGCCCCCAAAACCTCCAGCCGAATCCAGAATTCGGATCTCATCTGCGGTGGCCAGTTTCTGTTCAATAAGTCGCACGGCGAATTGTAATCCTCCAAATCCTGCACCCAGGATAAAAAAGCGATGTGTAGAATTCTCTTTAATGGGCGAGGAGCGTTGATTGAGTTTCTCATGGTCTACCCAAGGGTCATCTCCCAAGGAGCGAATCCGACTCTCCTCAGCATCAGTCAAAGGGAGGTATTTCGAGGATGCATCTCGGCTTAATCGTTTTTTGGCTTCTTCTTCGTATTTCTTTCGAGTAGCGCTGAGCTTTTCAAGGCTCACTTTTGCTACCGAGTTGTTGATTTCCGCCATGTCGTAGGTCGGTACTGGAGTCGAGGTCTGTACAAGACCAGAAGAATTAGTATAAGCAATGACAGTCCGTACTTGAAATCTTCGATGGTCTAACTATAAGGGTGTATCTTTTTGGCTCAATTGATATATGATACTTTTTCCGATCATCGGCGGTCTTGAGCATTTGGGTGGATGAGGATAGACCCACCAATTGGTGACTTGATAACGGAAGATGTCGTGCGAAAGACGTGATTTCTAGCCTGTTATCTCAACGCAAATGTTACTATTGATTTTTAAGAACATAGTGTGATGGGCTTGCCCCGTCTTTATACTGGGATTAAATTTACTTTGACCTATCAAGTCAAGGGCTAACTGTACGTATGGGGTTGGAGAACTCCTTGGTATCATCAGCATTTAGGCATGCGGAGTTAAACTTCATGTCACCTAACGTTACACCATCCTTTATTCTCACATTGCGATTATCATAATGTCATGAATGTGTTGGCGGGGCTGGCCTCGCTTGTGAGAGGAACGTGACTTCCCGGGAGCTGTTGTCCGGCAAATGACCGACATAGCGGCTTCTGGGGACTGAATCGCACATCAGGATTCATCTCCTGAACCAGTGATGAGCAGTTCACGTTGCCTAAATTTGGCGCCATAAGGAAAGGTTGATTTGACTTCATTTCACTACCTCCATATGGTATTCTGATATGGGTTTGATGTAGCGTCTGATGTTGGGTAGCGTCCGTTGCCATACAGTGACTCTGTCCTTATTTCACCACCAAGAGTTATTCTTGATTTTCCGATCACCTAGAACATCTATATCCTCATTACCAGTGTACGCTCTACCCTCCCTGCGTGCCTTCAGAGTGGCCTTCCGAACCTGGTTGACACGACGCTCAATGTCACGGGTCAACCACCATGTCCAAAGATTTGTAAACAATGCTGCAAGCGTAATTGCAGTGCCTATAAAGAAGCTGTTACGGTATCGGTCGCTTGCCCATTTCTGCTGAAAGAACTGTGGCCCAACTGCGGCACCGAGCTGGGCAACACTGCTTTGCAAACCAATGGCGAACGCGGCTCCTGTCGAACCAGACATGATAGATGTTCTCCAGGACCAATATGGCACGTAGTAAGAAGACGTGAAGAACTGACTTAGTATGCATGCTGCGTACAGTCCGCCTGAACCGCTCACAGTGAAGAAGAGGATATAACATATGATAGATCCTAATACAACAAACCTAGAGGGGGGGACAGCTTTTAGTAAACAAATCTTGAAGGCCGAGGGGGTGATTTACTCACACACACAACAGGGGTCTTGGAGCCAAAGCACGGGATGTTATAAGTACACAAAGCACCATGGCCAATATTGCTGCAAAAGCTGGAGGAATATTGAGAAGCAGACTGGCAGGCAGTTTTGCAAATCCCAGCCCGGAAATAATTGTTGGCATATACCAATTCAGGGCGTACAGAGAGAGATTCATCAGTGTCTGGTCAAAGAGGAATGCCCAAGTCGTCGGGCTTTTGAATGCCACCCATGCATCTTTGGTCTTCCAGCTCGGATCGCCAGTGGCTGGCGCATTCGGCGGAAGGCGTGCTTCGAGAAACTGCTGCTCTCTGGGCGTAAGCCACTTACTACTGCGAGGTGATTTGGGGAAATCAGGAAGTAGGAAGAAGATGATGCCGGCGAAAATGATTGTGGCAACACCTTCCAGGATAAATGCCCATCTCCATCCGCTCAGCGCGCGCAAGCCATCCATGTAGCTTGCGCCGTAGCAGATAAGGGAACCGACTATAGTTGAGAATTGGGAGATCCAGAAGAACCAGAGTATTGGTCGACCGACTTCGTCAGTTCGATACCAGTAAGATAGTGTGGTAATGACGCCCGGAAACATCCCTGCTTCAAACATTCTAATGCTGGGTTAGCTGAATGCACTTGAATTCTAGAATTTGGGAGAAGGAATTACCCAACGAGCCATCTACACGCAAGAAGTTGGCTGGTTGTTTGGACAGCTGCACAACAGGCCGTGGCGATGCCCCACGTCAAGAAGATCCGTGACTCCATGGCATGGGGCGTCATCCACTTGAGGAGAAGGTTGCTAGGTAGCTCAAATATAATATATGGAATCTATGAGTGTCAAAAATCAATATCAGTCCGTTGATTGATCAGTAATGCCAGTGGGCGAATGCGTGAACTTACGCCTTGGATAGTCCCAACCCAGTTGTAGGCGTCTGGAGTAAACCCCAACTCGGCCATGATGTTGTTTGGAGTCCCTGCCTGCATTGTTTTAATAATGCTCACATTTGAGAAATCAATCTAGTCATATCATATGTCAACTCTCATTAGATGTATATTAAAGGGGAGTTAGAAAACTCTCACATTCTTAAACATGAACATGAAACCAATAAGAATGAGAAAACGATTGTCGACTTTTCTCATAATCGCCTTCTCTTCTTCAGCCGTGAAGGTCGACAAAAACTCCTTTCGTAGTTCAGGATCATTTCGAAGATCCTTGGACAGGTCTTCATACTCAGAGAGATCTCTTATCGCTAGCACCGGTGTTTTGGGAGCTGACTTGGGGCCCGACTCTTCGTCCAGCGACAAGCTTGAGTTGTCATTATTCTTGGAACTTTGTGACGTCATTTTTGAGTTGGTTGTTACCTTTATACTTCATAAGAATGAAAGAGTACAATGTAGTATCACTGCCAGTACTTGAATCATGCATATCGGGGAAATGTATATAGTTGTATTGGGGGGGCCGACAAGCAGGGTTGGTCGTGGGAGCCGCTACACAGAAGAAACCACTCATCTATCAATGGTCCGCTTGTCATTACTGGGATAGATGTCGTGATAAGAGATGCGGTTGCACATGGGAAACGTTACAAATCAAAGAATGTGGTGATCCAATGAGGTGGATTATACCAGGTGGTTGTCTTTGATAAGGCATCCGACATCGCTCTTCAGCTTAAAGCAATCCCAACTGGGGCGACGTTTGAATCTAGGCATCGCCATAATTTAGAAATAAGGCGTTTGCTCGAAATCCCCGGTTATTGCCATGAAAGGTGCCTCAACCAGGTATTCGGTACAGGCTCCCCGATTCCATCTTATTGTGGGGTAATGTCGTCAACTGACACGAACCAGATGGATCATGGGAGGTTTCCCGGAATCGGCATGGTGAATAGGGAAAGAGAATCGCCAAGTGTTAGAAAATGGCCGCTTGCCCTTTTGTTTGGGAATTCTTGGGTGGTCTTCTGGTTGTTTGCGTGATATAGCTTCCCGCCCCTTGAACTCTCCTACTATCTGATATTTTATCTGATCCTATGTCGCCTCAAGAGAAAAAGAAACTGAGGCTAGGTGCCTTTATTTATTCGGGCCAGCAAACCCAAATATGGCGACACCCAAATCAGCATGCTCATGAAAGTCTAGATGTGGATTACTACATCGAGTACGCGCAGCTGGCTGAAAGTGCTAAATTCGAAACATTGTTTCTTGCCGACGGTGCCAGTTTTCCTACTGGCCCATTGGCAAAGCATTTCTGGAGTGTCAGCGGCTTTGAACCAGCAACTCTATTCTCGGCGATCGCCGCGCGCACCAAGAACATTGGATTGGTGTACACTGCTAGCGTCAGCGACAACGAGCCGACACATGTTGCGAGGCAACTTGCAAGTCTCGATCACATTAGCCACGGTCGAGCTGGTTGGAACGTTGTGACAACACCAGGACCAGGTTCCGGGAACCTTGGAGTGCCACCTGAAGAAACCAAGAGTAGTCCCGCCAAATACGCCAGGGCGAAGGCATTTCTAAGTGCCGTCAAATCTCTGTGGGACAGTTTTGAGGATGACGCACTGCTCAGAGACAAGGAGAGTGGAGTTTATGTTGATTTGAGCAAGGTACATTGGCCTAACATTGACGACGGATTCTACAAGATTACACAACCACTGAGGATCGAGCGCCCAATCCAGGGTCACCCTGTGATTGCACAAGCCGGCACATCTCCTGAAGGGATAGACTTCGGTGGATCCACGGCAGATTTGATTTACTGCGCAAACTACTCTATACCAGACGGACAGAAGACCTATAGAGCCCTCAAGGACGCAGCCATAAAGGCAGGAAGAAATCCTGATCACCTGGTCATCCTAACGGGTGTCGCCGTAATTTGGGGCGAGACATACGAGGAAGCAGAGAGAAAACTTAAAGAGGTTACTTCCTTGTGGCCCATCGAAGTAGCAGTACAAAACCTTCACATTGGATTTGGGGATGCAGACATAGACTCGCCTTTCCCAGATGAATATGATCCTGGATTTTCTAGCGGTAGAGCGGCCGCCATTGCCTCTTTTGCGCGATCCAACAAGCTCACAATACGACAGACAGCCGAGCGTTGCTCTATTGGGCTTGGGCATAGACCATTGATCGGGACTACTCAGTCCATCGCTGATGACCTGCAGGCTTGGTTGGAGGCGGGTGCAACGGACGGGTTTGCTGTTATCCAGCCACTCCTACTTGATGGACTTCGCGACTTCACCACTCACATTGTGCCTGAGCTTGTACGCAGGGGGCTATTTCGATCCGAGTATGAGGGGCAAACACTGAGAGAAAACCTGGGTTCTCCGAGACCGGCGAACTCATATGTAGCATGAAATATGTCTTCGGAATCATAGCCCATTCGGTTGGACCTTGATGGTCTTGTTTAATTATTTGCCGATAACTGTAGTTACGCTTTCAGACAGAATATGATAACTAAGCGTAAATTGGTATGTAAAGGGGGCAATGACGCTCTGTACATACTATTTTTTATCCGTCTGGACTTTTCTGAGGGGTGGATTGAAGTGGCACTTGGCTAATTTGGAACCTCGAGCCTAGTGCTGAGCATTCGGCTTGTGAATTTAACGCTTACGTTGGATTTCCTTAACTGCGTGATTATGAGGATCCAATAAATGGAAGCTGACACTAGGTATAATTAAATGAAGAAGCCTACTGTGTTCACGAGAATGGCCTTTACTTTTAAAACATCTAATCTATACTAAGGTTGCTGATAGGTTACAGATCTACAACTTACTTGTCCTGTTACTAAGAGGTCTGACTTCGCTGCTTGAGGCAGCCCGAGGCTAGGGCTGTTGATCGCATTCATGAGGGTTAGGGCAAATGGGATCATAAACATAGGGAAAAGAAACAAGTTATTGCTGCCTTGGACAGATTCTTTATGACCCGACTTTGAAGGGAACATAGAAGGCACGTTAAGGAAGGAAGACATGAGAATTGCAGCTCCAAGAACAGCAGAAAACCACATCTATCTGATTAAGATCATGTACACTGACTGTAACTGTACTCATATCAGAATTCAGTAAAGATCATCCCGATATCATAATTAAACTTTGCATTAGTATTACTCCCTAATAGCGCGACCCCGGCTGTAAACTAATTCGGTACCGTATTCAAAGGGGGCACACCTCATAGGTAGCTATATGGTACTTCAAGGGTTGTGCTTATGTTTCATTCCTTTTTCGTGAGAGTTAAATCTCTTGGCGGAGCTGGGCAGGCTTTTCGATTACACGACTACACCGCTTATTGATTGTCTCAAGACGAATTCCTCTTCTGCAACCTCCTCTCACCAATTTGTAGCGCAAGGACTACCCGCTGCCTCTAACTCTTCTCTGTCCACCACGTGAGACCTGTCACTGCTCCTGCCTAGGACAAGAGAACATCTCTCGCATCATGTCACGCCCAACTGCCACGCCCAACCAGCCGCAGTACTACGGCCCGTCTGAGACGGCGCTGCTATTCCTTGACTACCAGAATGTGCTCTTCGGTATGATCACTGACGAGAGTGTCAAGAAGAGCGTCCTTGACTCGGCCAAGACGCTCCTGGCGAGCGCTCGCCAGAACAAGGTCCCCATCATCCACTGCCTCATCAACACAAAGCTCGACCCGCCCCCGACCAGCAAGATCTACGAGCAGTGGTCCACCATCCACAAGCCCCTCCTCGAGGCCAACCTAGACCTGGCCAAAGAGCACCCCGACCTGGCTCCTGACGGCAGCGCCATCGGCCACGAGAGCACGTCGCTCCGAGTGCCTGGTCCTCGTTCCGCTTTTATAAACAAGGACCTCATCACGACACTGCGCAAGGAGCTCGGCGTCACATCACTCATCCTCGGTGGCATCGCGACGAGCGGCGCCATCATCGGCACCGCCTTGCAGGGCATCGATGAGGACTTTGTCGTCACGGTGGTGAGGGACGCGGTCTGGGACCCCAATTCGGAGGTGGCATCGCATCTCCTCGACATTGTCCTGCCTGTGTCGGGATACGTCGTGAACACGTCCGAGGCTGTGAGCTACATGCAGCCCAAGTAATAGGTTGACATAAGGACGTGTCGACCTACAGCCAATAGGACGAAGATTGGTGATATCATTTCACGAATGAAGCTAAGGCTAGATGGTCAATTCAATCAAATGATCAAATAGAATGAGATAGCTGATTCCTGTTATTTGCTTGGGATCAATCGATGGCCACAATATTGTATTGAAAATTCTATGAGTCCTAGATCTTGAAAAAAGAATGCTCCCGCCTCCTAATTATCACCTCCTTGCTAGGATTACGATGCCTACATGTGGTAGATGTACATGTACATTAGCAAGCAACCTCCCGTGTCCCTTGGATATAGGCATTTAGTAAATGTACGAAGGTGCCGTCGGGATAACGCTCCCTAACGCCCGGCGATAGCTTGATTTTACAGCTCAAGAATTTCGTTGGATATCACCCAACTAACTGGTCGAGGAAGATGAGACTATCCTAGATCAGCATGTGCTACAATGTCCTCCAACCAGTATAATGGCTTCATTCAAGATTCTCAACTTAGTCTACACGGTTGATAAACGCGCTATATATCTAGGCTTCGTGGTTTCCAAGTCACAGTCTTTGGAACATTATGATTCATTGGTAATCCCATATTCATGACGTGTGCTTTATTCATCGATGTAACCAAAACTGTGGTGCAAAGGATATGACTTTATTGAAGCGTTTCGATGAAGAAAACGAGCCGCCTAACCAGTAGTTTGGTGTTTTTGAAAGAATCACTGACAGAGTGGCCGCCACTATTATCTTCAAAGAAATAAAAGTTCGACGCTCCGGCATCTTTCATCTTTGCGGCAAATTTCCTCCCATGGCCGGGGCCGACCCGATCATCATTGGTTGAAATCGTGACCAGGCAGGGAGGATAGTTCACCCCATCCTGGATGTTGTGAAATGGCGAGTATGCTCTTAGTACTTTGGCCATTTCCGGATCTTTGGGATCGCCATGTTCATAGATCCAAGCGCCGCCCATGCCCATCAATGTATACCTCAACATGTCGGTGATTGGAACATCGCTCACGACAGCGCCGAAAAGCTTGGGGCGCTGGATACACATTATGGCAGAGAGAAGGCCACCACTGGACGAACCGTAAACGCCGAGATGCTCCGGTGTGGTGAAACCATCTCTCACAATAGTCTCTGCGACCGCAATAAAATCATCATATGACTTCTGACGCTTCTCCTGTCTTGCAGCTTGGTGCCAAGCCTCGCCTCTCTCTCCACCGCCCCGTATGAATGGTATAACGAGAGAGCCACCGCTATTGAGCCATGGGACAAGAGACACCCCTCCCAACATGGAATTGAGGTACGAAGTAGGCATTGAGATGCCATATGCACCATACCCAGTCATAAGAACAGGGGCTTTACCCTGGTCATGCTTTGGAACTCTGGGAGATAAAACCAGGTAATCGATTTCCGTACCATCTTCGCTGTTAGTCGTCATCTGGCGAAGGATAAACTCGCTCGCATCAAATGCAGGTTTCTCGGCATAAAGTAGGGTTTGCTTTCCCTCTTTGTCCTCTAGCCAGTAGGTCGAAGGACATAGCAGGCCAGACTCACATATGATGGTATCATCACTGTAACAGTCTGCCGCAACGATCGTGACACGAGATCCAGTGCTAGTCGGGACGCTATGGACAAGCTGCCATACCCCATTTTTGTTCTCGAAGACCATTCTTTTCTCTACACCTCTCTTGCTCATGGCGAAATGAACCCTCGACTTGCTTGCCCGCAACCCATTGATCCATAGGTGTAGGTTAACCTCTTCCTCTTCGGGCTCGTAGACAATGCTCAGTCTTTCTTCGCCCGGCTGATTTGTTGAAACGTCGTAGGCAATTAGGGAGCCCGCCGGTACCATCCTTCCACGTACGACAGTTTCTTTGGATAGTGAAATGAACAAGTGCTTGGACGTGGTAGGTCTGGGGAGTACCATCGATGAACCTGTTGGCAGACCCGGAAGCTCTTCCACGCTCCCGTCAAGAGACACAATATAGTATATAAATGTAGAGAAGTCCACAACGCGATTGATGACAGCTCGGCCACTATCTGTAGGACCGAGCGAGCAAACACCTGCGATGGCATCGGTTGGTTCGGCCGTGAAAACCAGCTTAGCATCCCTGAGGTCTGATCCACGCTGCCAGATGTAAGAAGCAGCAGGCCAGTCTCCCGCAGTCTTTGGGCCACCATATACTGTATGGCTAATTAAAAGATGGTCGATATTCAACCAAGAAACAGTGATGCGACCCGACGGCGTATGAAACCCGCCATCGATCAAACCGCCTGTCCTTGCATCAATTTCGCGAAGCTCGACCAAGTCGGAACCTCCATCGGAAAGCATGAGTAAAAGCCGATCTGCATCGGGGCCAAAAAGACAACACTCCATATGCGAATGGAATTCGAAGACGCGATTTTCTTTCCGGCCCAATTCATCAATGTCGATAACAAGCTTCCAGTCATCCTCCTTTGGCGAAGCATCGTTGATCCTCTCGCATCTCTCGAGAATCCCTCGTTCATTGATGTTATCTTGGCGTAGTCGGAACAAATGTCTGCCCCAGACCCAAAAGGATGGAGTTCTGACTGCTGATGAAACGAGGGCTTGCATTTCTTGCTCAATCATTTTGCTCCGGGGCAGATGGTCGAATCTGTCGGCAGTGAGCTGACTCTCCTGCCGTGCCCACTGGAGACATTCTGAAGTCTGGGACTCGAGCCAGTCATACTCGACGTCTGGCTTGATAGGCCTATTCCCGACACGAGGATTAATTAGTTGGAGTTCACCAACGGCGATGATTAGTTTCAGAGACGCTCACATTGTAGTTGAAACAGGTAAAATTGGATTGATCTCAGTTCAGCATTCCCGCGTCGCTTGGTGGACATTTGGCATCATTATATACGCAAAAAAACCCTCATGATAAGCAAATTAGTATGAATCTACTGCCTAGCTAGCGGAGTACGTATAGCAATAAGCAGTCTGGGACTTATGAAGCAAGCCATCCATCAACCTCGCGGCATGCCAAGAAAGAGGATCTTATCAATCGTCTAGGAGCGGCGCTCTCGTTCACCTAATTAGGAATAGCCTGAAAGAGGCGGACTCACCGAAGGGCTTTTCCCTGTCAAGAGAGTCATGTGGAACTGATCCCCCTGTGTTGAGGCTTTAACCCCCAGCCTGAACATTGTTGGACCGAGTTTCTTCTTCAACGCAGGCCGGAAGGTTGTAGAGACGCCCCAATGCCATCCGAGAGGTGGACGTACGCTCCGGCGCCAGCTCGCCGCAAGAAGACTTCCATCGTCCGAAGCCGAACAGGATGCCACGCCTGTCGTACCAGGCGAAAGAAGGTAGGTGCCGTTCAATTGCGCGTTGAGCGGTGCTGACGCGTGTGATTCTCCAGTGTGACGAGCAGAAACCCGTCTGCACACGCTGCGCGGGCTCTGGTGTGGAATGTAGGTATGGGAATAACACAGTTGAGTTTCGACATGCCAACGAATGGGCGGCACAACAGGTGAAAAGGGTGAGGGGGGACCGTCTGAACCTCGAATCGGCATCAAGTAGCTCCGCCCCATCCCCATCAAATGCAAGCCGGGCTGGGCAATCTCTACATTCGGAACCTTTGCTGGTGGGACCCGCACGCGCTCTTGAGGACCAACTCGGGCCAGGCAGTCAACTTCGGCAACCGTCGAGCCCGAGCAAGAGTTTGCCGAATAAGCAAACATCCCTGTCACCGATTGATGCTCCCCAAGATACCCGAACAGCAGACTGCTACGCCTGCAACGCTGATACAAGCACCCGAGATCCAGGGGCTAGTGACCCTGGGTGTTCTGTATCCTTTAGGTTGATCCCATCAGAGGATCACCGTAAACCACGGACTCACCCAGGCCATAGACGAGGCTGCTTCCACTATGAATCGTCATGTCTGATACCAGAAGTTGGGCTTCGAAGTCAAGCAAATAGAAAGTCTATCACGAGGCTGGCACAATGGCCAGCGATGACTCAACTCGAGTGCTTGCACAATACGAAACAGTGGCAGGATGCTTTCCCCGGGAATGGGCGGCCATATGATGCTGCTAATATCTTCATCAACAACCGAAGACTTACGCAGCCGACAATCTTCCCCAATCTGTCCTACCCCGGGCTTACATCCAACGATCATAGCTACTTGGCTCATTTCACGAACCATGTAGCGCACATATTGCCAACCAGCACAGAGACAATAATGTCTGTGCTCAACGGGTCATATCTTGCCCGGTATGCTGCAATGGCTATCAGCGCCGCCAACCTTGCAAACCTTCGAGGGACGTTTGTGTACGACTCTCCCTTGCAGATCGGATATTCCTGGATACCGGACTCTCGACATCGATTTAGATCGCTCGCTTATGCTGGGAAAGCCCTCGAAATAGCTACCGATTGTAGATCTACAGACATCAGCACTCTTCTCGCTGCGCATCTCATGCTCACGTTTGTGGAATTGGAGCTGGGATCGTTTGAAGGGCTGCGCTACTACATTTCAACCGTGGATGGCTTAGTTTATAACACCCACAGTCAGCTTTTGCGTGAGAAGCACGGCCCAGAAATTCTCTGTGGTTTATTCGACGCGCGTTCAGTGCAAAAGTTTGTTGCCGGTCCTATCGGCCCACCAAGTACACGCGAGTTGATGATGAACCAGTTCTGGCAGACGCTGGAGATTCGCATGCCCATCAAGCCGGACGTGGCTCAAAGTCTTGGATGCGAGATGGCAATCATCCTAGAACGCCTTTGCCTCCTAACAACAATGCAGCACCATCTAAGTACCCCGAGCCGCATGCAATACATTGTCATGAAGCAACTATCAGACTACTTAAACACACTATATCCTACGAATCGGAACGAGTATATTTCCAAGGATCAACTTGTGTCTGCCTATCAGGAGTGCCTCGGAGACATGACGGGTATCAGAGAACAGGTTCTGTGCTTGCCCGCGCCCCCAGGGGTTCCGCTGCTCAGCAATGAAGGAAGCCAGTATACCTCAGTGACTGATCTGGACAAGATTAAGCCAATATCAGCCGAAGAAAACGAGCCTCTACGGTTCGATAGCCATCGAGAATCAATGGTAGCTGCCGACTACGCGTGGTGCCGGATACTGTGTGATGAATCCATCGTCCTAGGCATAACGAATCCATCCGGAGGACCACTCAGCCCAATTAGCCCGAATGCTAGTCATTGGATGGATGTTCTTGTCCGAATAGCCCGAGGCATCGACATTTCTGAATGTTCTACTAAGAATATCTACCGCAGAGGAATCTGCGGCATGTTGCTCCATTCAGCAATACGCTGTGGCACCACCAACACAATTGATGTTCTTGAAGATATTCTTGACCGTCTTATATCTAACGGTAGTGCTTGGGAGGACTGCATGTTTTCGAATACCCCTTCCGTGTCCACCGTCCGGGCCGTTCAACGACAACTCGAGCAGGGACGAAGTATTTTGATGGTATCCTCGCTCGACGAGAATGTGAACCCAAGAACCACAATCATGTCTAATCGTATGGTTCGTACTCTGATATTGCATGGGTGGGAGGCTGATGGAAGAACGTTTGATGAGACTTTACACTTAGATGATTTTGCGACTGCTCTTGGAACGAAAAGTTGATAACTTTCGGTCAACGAGGCAATGCAAATATAGTTATTCATATTCATGGAAGAAATCTGATATCGATTGTGTTTCGATCTATCTTGATGATATAAGAATCATCTTTGAGAAGCTCGCTCTATTGAACGGTGGCTACTGTATTCTTACTTGGGATTTCCTCTTGTCCTTTCGTAGCTTCCCTCGGTGCTTCACTGGTTTCGCCGTCGTCGCTCAATCCGAGTGCCAATCTCATTTCTAGGTCCGGATTCTTCAATTTCCACCGTTTCATGAACCAAGATCCAAAAATTAGTATCGCCCACATGGTGAACAAGAACGCGACACAAGCCGGATACCCATGAGGAAACCTTGGCGCCTCGACCGTAGGAAACGTAAACAACGGGACCCAGATCTGCATCGCAAATCCCATGGTCATCATTGATGAAATAATGAGGCCTCTTTCACCATAGTTCTCTTTAAGCGTCGAGTTGAGCCAGGAGTAGAGGATAGGAGAGGCCATGCCCGAAAAGCCACCAAAATAGTAGGCCATGTATTTGAGTGCGTCAGGAACAGTCCAAATTGAGAGGACGATGACCGAAAAGAACGTCAGCGACGCCTGGAATGTCCATATACCTCTCAAGCTCAGACATCCTGCGAGGGTAGTGCCAAGCCATGATGACAGTGCCTTGAGAAGATCGATGAAAGTAGGGAGAATGTTGATGAGCTCGACAGATTTTCCTGTCGATTTGAGCCACAGCTGCATATATCCGGTCCAGTAGAAGGACTGACACAGAAATCTATCGTATGTTAGCCTACCGCACACACATCAAGTTTGAAGCAACCAGAAAGAGCCTACACGTAGCAAGGGACACAAATCCACCACATCGGTCGAGAAAGCGTGTACTTGAAAGTTTGCCAAGTGATGCCCTCTTTTTCAACCGTAGGGATTCGTTTGACAGCTAGAGCATGCTCCTCTACTGAGAGATACCATCGCCGCGGTGAAGTAGGAAGACCAGGCCAGACCGCGAATCCGACAAAAGCAAGTGGCAGGGTGATGATTCCCTGGACGATGAAAAGCCACTGCCAGCCTGTATAACCGAAGACACCATTTAATCCACGATAGGTGGCGACTTGGAAGTATCCAGAGAATGTGCTGCCCAACGAGTTTCCCATGAACCAAACACCTGCCCTTTTGAAAAGCTCTTCATTTTTGAACCACGAGCCGACTTTTATAAAGTCATATTTATCAGCACATGCACTACATTATGCCCGGTGATATTTTTCGTAGGGGTAAGTTGAAAAAAATTTGGTCGGGTGAACTCACGTATGAGATGAGTACCACCGAATGACGATGCCTCCAGAAATCCAGTCAGGGCTCGAAGCAGATATAGATGCCAGTTTTTTGTTACTTGTGACTGGCAAAAAGCGATAATAGCCCAAGAAATCTGAAGTGAAGGCAACAGAAATGGGGCACTGAATAGGTCAGTTGATCGAAAAGGAAGATTGTACATCTTAAAGATGGAGGCTTACATTTTGGCTTTGGTTTGGAGTGTCATCAGTGGGATCTGGCCAAAGACGTATGCCGTGTTGTCTATGATACTACCATAAGTATAATCGGCCTCTTTGTATGATTTGCAAATACGTACATGCGACGACATAGTAATTAAGTTCATTGCCGTATGCGTGGAGGTCCTCTTTCATGCCAGATACGTATGCATTGGTGACATTTTGTTGTCCGAGGAACTTGATAGCCATATGAGTTGTTAGGCGATGATCAGATCTTTAATTCAAGGCAATGTTTGAGGTAAGAAGTGATACTGACTCGGCAGAAGACTGTGACTGTGGTAAGTACGTAGACCTCTGTTTCACTTAGATATTCAATGGCAACATACAACTTAAACAACCATATATTAATATAGCGAGGTCGAGCTTTCGGAGTAGTTTCCTCTCTTCAATCGGGTAGTGGGAGGCTTTATGACCCTCGTCAGCTTTCAAATGCAGCAAGGAGTAAGCAGAATTTAACAACGTACGATACCAGTCAAATACTGATATAATGACCGCCGCCACTTTGTTCTTCTTGACACGAGCCAGAACACCCATTTTCAATATTCCGAAATGAACCTGGAAAATTGATAGAAGTTTTTAGGCGACCTCAATAATTAGCTCAAAATGGCAGCGCGATATATATGTTGAATTTCCGCTTCTCCATTCAGCCAACTTGATGTTATCGAGGGCCAAGAGGACCCATAGTCTCCGTGCAACGTTCGCCATTTCCCCGTGCGATGGCGAGCTCTCGCAGGAGACATTAACCTGTTGACTGGCGGCGTGAGCCCGAACGAACCGTATTGGCTGTGCTATCGGAGTGCCACCCTGAGTGCAACTAAGCATCCTGGGACTTACAGGGGCGCCGAGCTCGGCTTGGTGATCAGCATGCCAATATTTTAGTTTTTAACAGCTTTTCCGGTGTTTACTCCGTCCGCCGTACTGACTCTGCAGGGGCTTTATGTGGCGCCATCTGGGTCCAAATGACAACATCCGACTAGGGGCAGATTGTTGCCATGTCAAGTAAGGCCAACAACCCAATGCGAGGTCCGTGATTACGGATATCTTGGCTTTCTTGCGTTAAAAGACCAGCCTGGGTTCTTCTCTTTATCTTTAATATCATTAGTGTCGGAACTCTGCCCGTTGTAGTTTCGCGTTAAAAGCTGATTCGGTGGTGCCAAGGCTGTTGTGATAGCTACACCAAAGATCGAACCTACCCTATCCCTCAAAATAGGCAAACCAGGAATAGCGTAAACCTCCAGCCTCCATCAACTCACTCTGCCCAACCATATGTCTCTACAGATGAAAATGAATACATTCCCGCAACAATTAAGTATCCCTCGCCGCAGAGCACCAGCTTACTAGACGTATGTAAGACACATAATAATAGATGGAGCCATCCAATTTTACCTGTTCACAGAAATAGCTACTGCTGAAATAATTCATCACCTGTATGAGTGTTTCATGATCAGCATTGGATCATGAGTCATTATGGATTTAGAATACATCACCTTACTGTTTGGCGTAGTGAATTTCCTAACCGTCGAGCGCAAATATAATAGTCTCGTAAATAAGATGGGAAATTGTGTCCAAAAACTCGATGTCTACCTCGCACTTGGCCAGGGGCATTATCGCACTCGTCGACAAGCTCTGAGTCTTTCCCACCCAAGTGGGTTACATTCGATCCTCTTATACCAACTGTACCTAGTATCATGTTGGTTCCGCTTCTTGCCATTATACTATATGGAATCCCTGTTCTACAAACTATGCCTGTGATTAGTAAATTCAATTTATTTTTGCTTCTCGCATGTACATTATATAGAACCTCCCAGTGATTAGTAAATTCAGATTGGTTTTACTTCTTATGATTACGCTTTACGGAACCTCCGCTACAATGACCGTAATTAGTAATTCGCTTCCCATATGTTTATCAGCAGCCTCTATTGGATCGACTGATAAAGAACAAACTCAGGAGGTATATAAGAGCGCAACTAGATTCCTAGACTTCCTAATTACATATCCATTGCACTTCCTGCTCATTGGCTCATCATCAAATAACAATTACAATCCAGTTTCTCTCCATAACTACTCGAATCACGCAAGGCATTCCGCCATTTAAACGTGACATCCCTTCGCAATTCCCAATGGCACGAATTTCAATTTATGGCGCTACTGGCTATACCGGTCAACTGGTAGCGGCAGAAGCCCTTCGAAGAGGTGTGGATGTGGTACTACTTGGTCGCGACAAGGACGCTTTGGCCAAGATACCAGGTGCAAAGGAAACGAAAGCTGTGGGATTGGATGATATTAGTTCTTTAGCGGCAGCTTTTGAAGGATCGAATGTTGTCTTGAGTTGTGTGGCTCCTTTCTCTCAACTTGGATCGGCGGTGCTCGAAGCGGCTATACAAGGAAAGGCCCATTACGTGGACATTTCTGGAGATGTAAATTGGGTGAAACGGGTCCATGACGAATTCGGACCCAAGGCGAAAGCCGCCGGCGTCATCTTACTTCCTGCCATGACCGACGATGGGGCCACGGGCGATTTGATCGCAAGGCTGTTGATGGCTCGCTTACCGAACATTGAGAGGCTGCAGATGCATCATGCGTTCTTCAATCTCACAGAACTGTCGAGGGGCTCTCTTTATGCATTTGCCGACTTTGTCAAAGCTGGACCTCTCTACTGGGAGGGGGGGGCTTGGCACAGAGGAACCAATTCTCCCGCCGGTTCAGTCACCTATCCAGGCAATGACGGTACACATAATGTTTGGTTCGTGCCTGGCCCGGAAGTGATCGGTATTCAACGTCATATTTCAGCTCAGCATATCTCCGCCACTGTCAACATGGATACCGAGCCAGTCTTCGCTTCCCTGACTGGAGATGTCATTCAAACTTTACCTCTTGGTCCAACAGTCGAAGTTCGATCTCAGGGAAGATTCGTCTTAGTTGCAGACGGTACCTCAGCTGAAGGTGATAAAGCAAGGGTTCATGTTAGTGGTCGGGATCCTTATAAAGTTACAGCTGAAGTTTCCGTTGAAGTAGCTGTTAGGCTCGCCACCTTGGGAACTACGCACAGCGGCGCAGTGGCTCTGAGTGAGGTTTTCGACGCTGAGGAGCTTTTGAATGCATTTGACCTTGAATGGGGATTTGATGCTTAGAAGGGTTACCTTCTATTCTCTGAAGAAGATGGAAGCGGAGGTACTTAACTTAGACATCTTTGAGTAATGGGGAGTGAAATTCGCGCGTGTTTCATGATTGGGTTCAGTCCGAAAGAATCACTAGGCCTCTAAAATCACAAAACTTCGTGCTATGTTGATCTTCGCATGTACGAATACCCAGAGCTTCGTTTCTGGCAGTGCAAGCATATTGCCCTCAATGAGGACCATCGCCTATTTAATCGGGCACTCGTCTTACGATTTCTCTCGGGATCATCTCATTGAACTGATAGCTGATTGGCTTAGGAATGGATTCCGCCATAATTGTCATTGTAGAGTAAAATCCACGGAGGAAGCGCAAGAAAGACAAATGGCAGAAGCTCCGTAAACCGTTCATTTGTCAGCTTCCCGCGGAGTTCCGACCAATCCAACAGCCTCATCACAAAAGCGGCGGACAATTGTGGACACAATTCTTCTGGTTCTTCAGTGAAGCTGATGAGAAATAAATTATTCATCACGGAGTTTTGACCTATGATTTCTGAATATTCTCCGATCTTATCCCGACTCACTATGTGATGCCCGGAGGAGTTGAAACCAGTTTCGGGAAGGCTGCCTCATAAATAATCAAACATAAGTCTAACGATCATGCTTCTCATCATCCATCAACACTAAACCAAGACTCAAAGCCCAAGACGAAATTATCCTGTGTGGTTCCTTTATATATATTTTTAAACTATTATCCACGAAATCTCGTGATCTCTCACAATGGGTGTCATAAGAGTTGGCATGGTCGGCCTCGCCGCTGTGGAATCAACGACCCTTGGCCCGCGTACATGGGGCGTAGTTTCATTCCTCCCTACATTCGTTTATTCGTCCGATTATGAGATAGTGGCTGTCTGCAACTCCACTGTTGCCTCGGCTCTTCGTGCCATCGAGACCCACAAGCTTCCGAAAACAACAAAGGCCTACGGGGATCCCAGCGACCTTGCGAACGATCCCAACGTGGACCTGGTTGTGGTCAGCGTCCTAGTCACCAAGCATGTTATGCTAGCGGAGCCTGCTCTGCTTTCAAAAAAGCAAGTATTCGTCGAGTGGCCGCTAGGGGCATCCACGAGCGAGGCAGAAAGGTTGACAGAGCTCGCCCGCGCGAACAAGCTCAAAACTATTGTCGGGGTCCAGGCTCGAGCTGACCCTGTCATTGTCAAAACCAAGCAGCTCATCAACAGTGGGGCACTGGGAACCATCACAAGTACCACTGTTATTGGTTCTACAAGTGCTATACCCTCGGACGTTTGGTTCAAAGGCAGTGAATTCTATCTCGACATGAGAACAGGGGCGAATGTGTTCCATGTCTATTTTGCTCACTGTAAGCACATTTCCTTCGCTGTAGTTAATAATTGACAATTAAAACTAACATGAACAGTTCTCGACTCGTTCATACACGTTCTAGGCGGCTTCGATAGCCTTCAATCCTCTCTTAAAACTGAAATTACGGAAATTAAGATCCCGGCTGAGGAGGGGGTTCAAGAGCACATAGCCCAGAAAAACGTTCCAGACCATGTTCTTGTACAGGGCAAGCTCAAGAGCGGCGCCATGGCATCTATCGCCTACCGGTGGGCCAATTTGAATGAAGCTGTTGACGATGTAGGCGTCCGGTGGATTATTACAGGAAGAGACGGAGAGATTGAGATCACGACGGATCAATCTCACTGGCAGATGAACAGTCCTAACTGGAAGCTTCGGTTGAAGCTCAGGGGGACACCGACCCAGGAGATTGATTTTTCTAGCCCAGAACCCGACTTCATCAAGCATATCCCACAGGTCGGGAAGAATACTGGCCGTATCTTGGAGGCATACGCTAGGGGAAATCAGGCCGATTACGCCGACTTCGAGTCAGCCTTGGAGACACACAGGCTCCTGGATGAGATTGTCCAGAAAGCTGGATTCAAGTATTATCTGTCTTTCTAGTGTAGACGTTATGATCTTACTTATCGTTCCCCTATATCTCCTTCTAGGCAAGGCATAACTTGCTACTTTCCGCAACCCGTAGCTTTAACTAAAGCATATCTCAGTCCAGTTTCAACACGGCACTCCCTAGCTATTACTTATTTATCAACGTTAAATATAGCCGTTCTTGTTCAAAGCAACGTCTTAGGATTGGCATTATGTTACTAGTTCAAGAAACCTCTAATCGTTGAGCAAAATCGCATCGGATGGTGGCTTGAAGAACCTATGAATCCTGATCTTCGAACCGGGGTAACTAGCAGTGATCAGCTAAAGATATGAGGAGTTCATCTCGCTCTACTATTTTTGAAACTTATGCTGACGTTTTCTGGCCTGGGCAGCCGGGGTTTGATTACTGAGGACCCATCACGTGGCGAAACGTCTGGTATCGCCGATTGATCTCGGTTGTCCATCGCGACCCCTGCGGATCGCTAAATTTCTTCCCCTGACCCATCTCCAGAGTCTATCGCGCGAATCGATAATACAGTTTCCTCCAGTTGCAACGCTCCTTCTTTTATCCTTTCATTATTGCGCCAAGCGACTAGATGGTCTTAAAAACTTGCGATGAGTGCCACAGCAGAAAGCTGCGATGTCGTCGTGTACGAGGCGAAGATGGCTGTCGCCAATGCCAAAACCAAAGGCTGGTTTGCTCCTCCGATCGGAAACGTAAACGAATGGGTCGCCCACCAGCAACCCAGGTCTTTCCCCATGGTGCCACTAGCATCATCGAGTTTAAGGAACGAGAAACACATGGCACTGAATTAAAGCCTGAGGAGAAGGGGAGAGGAAGCTCAGAAAGAGAGGAGTTGTGTTCCGACATCTGGCTTTCAAAACCACTGAGTTCACCACTACTGTCCAAGTCACTCGGTTCAAACGACCGCCATGAGGTACTCGATGTGCTTTTCGACCGACAGAGATTCTTCAGCTTTCATCATCACTTCATGATTGGGCCGAGTTTCTCCGACCAATTTCGACACGCAATCTTGATGACCCTTCACGATTCACAGGAGGTAGTGTTGGGCATACATCGGATCTTACTCAAGTTATTGGATTTGAAGGAAAAGCCCAATGACGGCTCTGCCCCCTTTGGGTTCACAGAAGCTGCTCGAAGCCTGAAGTGCCTACAGAGTGTCACAATTGGGCACTTGAATGACGCGGCAGCTGTGCTTTTACTGGGGCAGATATTGTTTGTTTATCACGTCATGGTCATGGGCACATCCGCACACACTATAGCGCAGAACTGCATTTTATCAGCAAAGGGCTGGTACCCAATGCTCATGGCACAACCTTGCCTCCAACCCATATTTATGGCACCAATCTTGATTGATACGGTTGAATCTCTGGTACGGCGGCGAATTCCCATCATTGGAATCCCGCATGCATTCTGCGACAAGGAGGACAGAACCATGGGCCTTTCAGTACCCCTTATACCTATACTCTACGACCTATGCAAGGCCAGCAATTATGATAAAAGTCTATCGATAAATAGAGTCCGCAATAATACCGATAGTCTGGATATAAAGAACGACAACTACTCCGAAGTCGAGCAGCGGATACGGCAGTGGGAACCGTCGTGTCCCCATACCCTGTTCTCAAAGTATTCCCACATCGAAGTGTCCGCAATGATGATGCAAGCCCGGGTCTATCGCATTGCTGGGTTACTCCTCATTCATAGACTTCGATACCCACTAGGAGTTGAAGACGAGGAAGGAGCAAGGCTGGCGATGACAATCGTCGCAGAGCTCTCGTGCTTCGTGAAATGGGCCCCTCAGGAAGTGAAAGACATGGCAGTATATTTGCCTGTTTTCTTGGCTATGATCGAAGTCCAACAACCGGCGGACCAGATCTTGTCCCATTTAGCACCTCATTCATTCTTTGGGAACTGTGTGGATGGACTTAGAGGCTTCGTTAAGCTTACACAAGATGCTAAAAGAGCCGGATCTCAAGGGTTATGGTTTGATCTGGTCGATGAGAACCTGTCTACCGGGATCATCCCGTAGATACACACTTTGAAATTCTTGTTCCAGGCGTATGGCCATGGCGAACAGCTTTATTATGACGGATATGAGTCTTAGCCCACCTCACTGGAATTGAACCAACTGCTCAACTCACTCATTGTAAATCAAGTTCCACCTTTGTTTCAGCAGCTGATCATATTCCAGCCTGCCACATTTTATCTTGGTCCGTATTGATGAGGTAATGATTAGTAAAGAAATGAATGCCTACAGAGGGTATATATGAAGCTAGCCATGGTCATGAGTGGAAAAAGCGGGAAATACAACTCTGCTTCCCTATATAAACTGTCGTTCAAGCTGGAGAATTTACTTCCTCATTTGGAGGCGTATCTCTCCCATTCACAATCTTCTCTTCACTCTCGGTAAATATCCTATCTGACATTACAGCAGACCTCGCACTCCTCCCGTTCCTGCCACTCGCCTTTAGAGTGTCGAGCTGTGTTGATGGCGTCTGTGCTGATGGAGTCGTTGTTTGCAGCGAATTGAAGGCCGGTCCAAGCATACCTCGTACTAGAGTGAAAGCCATTGGGAAATTCGATGTGATAATCGCGACGAAACCCTCGCGCACTCCCCAGGTCCCCGAAAGAGGTGCGCCATATGTAGGATTCTATAAGGAGGTGTTAGAAAACTGAACCAGACTGGGGAATGGAACGACGGACTGTGGTTAAGAGGACGCAGCGAACAGTGGCGAAGACGACGACTATGGCGCCTCCGCTGAAAAGCACACAAAGGCCTATCTTCTTCCACAGCTTTATCGATGTCTTCCATAGCATCGGGATAGGCAGCGCAATGAGAAATATGTCAGTGCTAACATTCATACTGTAGCACGTCCAAACTATGGGCTTGGAGACAGCTGGCGAGCACACATCTAGAAATTATGGGCTTAGTCAGAATCGAAGAATTGAGGTGTCGTCGAGCGACTGGCGCTGGCACTTACTGCTGACTTTCATGTCGGTGGTGTTGAAATATCCTTGGAAGGGCTGACAAGCGAGAAGTGTCGTTAAAATCACCGCAGCCCAGCTCGTGGCCAGAATTGTGAATCCGACAATGATCCGCATTCGATATGCACCCGCCAGTCCGGTCTGAAAGATCAGCCAAGTGATCGCTACTAACGAGTGTCAAAGATAGAATTTACCGTCAGCCGCATGTAAAGGACCAAGACAGATGCTTTCAAAAGCCACAGCGTTGTCGCATACAATGGCCACGAAGCCAGATGGTACTTCGAGCCTTGAGCTCTGCATGGATCCTCCAATCAGTACTTGCTTTGCCTCAATGGATACCTATAGACTTGCATACCGTACGAGCAATGGCGGCGAGTTCGGCTCTAGCCATTCCTGTTGTTCGGCCAGGGCGCCAGTGGATGATCGGCTGCGATACAATGTGCCGCCTTTGTAAGCGATCATAACCTGAAAAGAGTAGAATAGCTTGTTATTGTTAGTCATGGAATTGACCTATTAGGAGATAGGTTTGCTGTAGGCCGTGTACGTACAATCGCAGAACAGGCCAAATAATCGTCAGATGTGAACTGCTTCCAACCGACACTCCTGAATCGCGCGAACATCCGTATCCCAGTAAATATCGTGGCCAAAGCGAATAATGACCATACCTCGGCGATGAAATGTTCAAGATCGTCCATGATGGACAATCATAAACGCCAAACAACACGTCCTAGATGACTCTTGTTGACGGGGCGGGATCGTCGGAAGGGAAGCGAAGTACTCTTAACAGCACCACCAGAGTGATGTGATGCCTACTGAAGCATGACCACCTGCTACCTTTTTTCATGAGATGGGTGACGAATTCCTCAATTATAGGCTTGGCAGCTGACGGATACCAGGGACTCGACACTAGCCTTCATCTTGATCGGTAGACGCCGGTATTTCCCAGGGAGACTAATATCGTAGGCAATGCCGGCATATGTTTGATTAGGACGTACCACATTTCGACCCTGCTAGTCTCAAGGGGTTGCTCAATAGCTGACAAAGAGGGGTAGTGATGGCTGTTTAGCATAGAGCATGTTAGGTTGGATCCTTCAATAGATCCGATATCCGTGAAGGATGATGGGTAGCCCAGAATTATTAAAATTTGGCTCCTTGAAACGATCCAGGGTGCCGTGCTACCCTCCAATTGAGGTGGTAGCGCAAAAAATGTATAGACGATAAGAGAATGGTGTCCGGTCAGTAAACTCGCTTTACATAACCGAGCCGCGCGGTGGGAGTTAGTAATGGGGATGCAGCACGGTGATCCCCCGAGTTTCTGACTGGTCCTGATCAGGGAATTCTTTGGTGAGGCTAAAATCACAGCTGACGCATTCAAGGATCAATATGGCGTTCCTTCTCCTCAAAAGGAAGAACCCGAATATCCATGTTCATTAGCGGGAACGCCTATATGCTTGGCAGCTGAAGCACTTTAGCTATGTGCCAGACCAAATCCTATTCGTCTTCGGTGTGCCTAGGAACAATACATACGCAGTATCATGAGCACGCAGCTGACTCGCCCACGTTGGCTGTTCCTTCAACACGAGCCGCCGGGACAGGGATATATGGGGTATCAGCCCCGGTAGCTCTCTTATGTCAGCCCAGTCGGAGAGCAGGGTTTTGTGCTCGGGACCGACCGGTGCTGCCGCGGGATGCCCGCGGGATTGTCTGGCACTGGGAATCCTTACTGAATCGGACCGTATCTAACCCAGGCGCTCATGCAGCAAGGCCATTGACACTACCACCTACCGTGTTAAGTAGTGAAAGAGCAGAAGCCGTGGGCAGTGAAGCAGGGCAACGGCCTTTTCCGCTCGTAGCGGAATGAACCGCGTCAGCCCTGCCCTGGTCATATTTTGCCCGCGGCCCCTCATCACGTCAAGTAGCAATGGTATAGCTTCGGGCTTCTCCCCTTGCTTTTCGTCCGGGACATGTTCTATCAATTTGTGCAAGCCCAGGCTCTTTGACTTCACTTCCTGTTACCAATGACAAGCGTTCTGGAGAACTTGTCGACGAAAATGAACATGTTCCGCGACGCCCGAGAGAGTTTATACGATACGAGCCAAAGTCATAATCCTCATAAGTCCCAGCGCAATTCGATTCAGGGGAAGGGCCACTGGAGAGTATATTTTCTCAGCAGATTGCTTAAACATTTGGAATCGAATAACGTACATCCTAGATTAACATTTATTTCGCTGAACATTACTGCGCTCATTATTTAATCTAGATAGCTGCTTATTCTCCTAAAGCTCTCATAGTGCCATCAAGAAATAGCATCAAGACAGCCGCAGAAGCAGCTGTAGCTATTGTGTTGAGATGTCGGATCTGACATCTCACGTTGCTGTCTTATACAATGGGGAACAAGCCACTTAAACTCTCTCACCTCCCGCAACCGTAATCAACTGGCAGATTCTCAAGTATAAATTTGAAGCAAGAAGCGACATTGGAGTATATCGTATCAGGTAACTCTTTCGATTTTGTGAAGAAATTTTCTTTAAGTGTATCCCTAGAGTAGGAATTGAGACAGTACTATTATTATATAATTATCAATAGATAATAGTTAGTAATGCACAATATAGATATGGTTTAGTTCTAAAAATTAATCTGAGCCAGGCAGGTTAAAGTTTTTTATTTTGTTTTGAGAGATTCATTCTTTTTATCCTTTTATATTTTCTGTTGATAATCATTGTCTATAAAAGATGCATCTTACCGTGATTCTATTACTACTTCGATGAGACTTTCCACTACCTAAAGGTATTGACGATTTGTTCCAATACAACTACATCTAAAAGAAAAGGATATATCCATAGACCCCGGGGAAGGTTGTTGAATGTTGGGGCGGTTTCCAGTTTTCATGTTAAGTTCATGAAACTAAATCATGGTGGAGTCTTTTGTCCCAATCCAACAAAGAAATAGGGGAAGACAGAAGGGAGATAAGAATTAGGCATGTCAGCATCATATGTCCTAGACTCTGTTCAATCGACAATATGTACTATCATCTGCAGAGCTTAGCCCCCTCCCTGTGCGTTTCCAGCCTATTCTCCTGACCCTTATTATGCCTTGAGGTAGAGAAATATGACATGTGTTATAATTGGGCTATGCAAAGCAGGCAGCAGCTTGTTGTCAAGGTGACATGGAGCGACTTCTGCCTGTCGTCCGATGTCCGATGTCAGCCTCACTGTTCGCCTTACACCCCGCACTCCACGATGATGGAGCGCAGAGCGCACCTAATGACTGCATATGCAACCTTGCTGATTATATTGGTGGAATTGGCTTGAGATTGTGCCAAAGGTTGTGTATGCCTGCCGTGGACCACGTCAACATTGCATACCTTGGCGCAATCAACCCCAGATTGATACTTGAATTGTGCTTACACTTCTACTATTAGGCAGCAGGTCGAGGGCCTAAGCATGCTATATAATCTCAACTCTGCGCTGGCCTTCTTTGGCTCAGTCTCTTATCTCTACTCTCAGTCGACATTCGGGATTTCCACTCATCATTATAACAACCATGAACCAAGATCAAGCGGAAGCATCAGAACAGCAACCGCCATTGCTTGACTACGCGTGTACACAATGGAGAGCCAGTTCTCAGAGTGTAGCAGATCTCTACCATTCGGGCGCTAAGCTCTGGAAGAAGAGTGATCTTGAGGATATAGAGAGACAACTGGAGCAGTCGCATGATCTTGATAGATTTACTCTGAGAGCCATCGACGACAAGGAAGTTCAGATCAAGAATCCCATGTTCGGTGTAGAGCGACCGATCTGGTAAGCATCTGCCCATCTCAAAGCTCGGTGTTAGAGCTTTAAAACACATCTCGCTGATACTCTAGCTTAAGGAGACCCTATGTAAAGTTTTATGACTACTGGTCGCTGACACTAACACGGCCCACCGAAAAGCCTGAACGTCCTGCCGAGCTATCTCACTGCTCATACAATATCAGCTGGAGAAACACAGTGGACCATGACTTCCGTGGCGACATTGAGGACTGGCAGGACCTCTACGAGACCAGGAGGCAGCTCTGGAACGCGAGTATTACTTGCAAGCTACTAAAAGCAAAACTGAGCAAGCTCCTATTTGAGGGTCAGCAGCTTCACACACGGAAGATATCCAAAGTCCTCTGCTTTGCACTCGGGGATTTCGCCCTCACGCATTACTTCCAGGGGGACTCTTCACCCGATGTCAACTCTGCGTGCCCCATGACACAACACCTCATGGCACTGACAATCGCAGGAGAAATCAGGAAATATAACCCCAGTGTACGATTGATCACGCAGGATCCCCAATACAGGGACTGCACAGCCAGCTTCCTACGTGAAAAAGGGTTCGAAGTGAAGGGGAGGTTTGGGGCCAGCGCCTTTGCGGAGCTCGATGACGACTCTCTGGTGATTACCGCATATCCCGCAGCGCCCATCAGGCAGATCGTTGCCGACTTTGCCCGACCCCCGATGATTATTTCTACCTACTGGGATCACAGGCGTACAATGAACTCGGATAAGTATGTCTTTTTCAATCATGAAGGAAGGCAGGAACATACGCTGACCTTATCGCTTTAGTAAGCCTTTTATAGACGTGGACTCTCCCCGGACCAAGGAGATGTGGCTGGCCTATGACAAGTGTGAGCTGCCTACAGCAGAAGTCGAGCGCGATCTGATGGAAGGAGTCCGCAACCTGTTTATCTTTGCCCGGAAAGATTCAACGGTCTTGCCATTTCCCTAGTACAGGTATGGTAGGGGAAAATAGGGGAATTGAAAGACGAATAGGACAAGAAAGATTCCGGGTCCCATTATTAACTGTCGAATGCACACTGAATGCGTATTAGAATGAGTAGTAGACCGGCCGAGAATCATTGCTAGGGTTTGATTGAATCGACTGCCATCATACATCACTCCATAAAACAATGACAGTGGGCAGTGATTAATGGCTTTTGTTGTAGCACTTTGTAAACCACGAACTTGAATGCGAGTCATCACAGCTTTAGAAGCGTCATGTAAGCACAAGGCAATGTGGTCAATGGCAATCCTGCTAGCATTGTCTACTTTCTCTCGCTGAGGGTTATCTCTCCCCCCTTCGGCTCCAACTCCCCTCTCCTGACTGCAACTCCTGTTCGCCATCTCGGGGGAGGTGTTCAAAAGGTTTCTCCCCAGCTCATAATGACAGTCATTGATGCAAATATAACTACGTAAATGATGTCATATATCATGCCACTAAGAATCTCGCGTGACTGGTGCCAGCTCATAATGCCACAAACTACGGAGCCATGACAAGCTTCTATCTAGTACAGACGAGACCGGTAGTGGGGGAAAGCACTTGTCGCGTGAAGATTGATGGGGAGCTTCCAACAGGAGAACACACAAATCCTCTCTTTGAATACCAAGGCTCAGAAGATGTCATTCATGTTATCTAGATTCCTACTAACCTACTAACTGATCTAGTGACATTCACTATACTTGATTTCTATTTGAACTCCACGAATATCTTCGTTCTCATCTACAGAGCCCTATCATGCTTTATCCCACGTTATGCGATATAAAAGCGACAAGTAGCACCAAAATAGATTCCGGTGATCTATTCACGACATGAGTTTCTCGAAAGATTTAAAGAATAAACTAATCTTGGTATTGTAATCTTCGTATTGTAAGTTGCATTATTTGCAATGACACCAGAGCGACGAAACAGAGCGGGGCCACAAAATACGCGTAAACTCTCGCGATTTGCTTAGATCCTGACTTTTCTTAAGGTAGATATACTTCGGATTGTGAAATTGTAGTTGAATCGGCGTTCCTGGTAACTGGGTTCCCGTGTCGGGCTCCCTCCAACACTACTTGCACGGCCACTGTGCTGCTGGAGACGGGAATGATTCCGATGAAGCAGCCTACGTCTCTTCTCGGCTCGGATACGGCGGCAGGCTTGATCACGAATACGGTGGTGTGGGGATGGCGCGTGCACATCTGTATCGCTTGATAGTGTGCCTGTAGTCGTTTACGCTTTGGATAAGGATGTTAATATTCCGGGGTCGGAAGAATCTCTGTTGGGATTGCGTACGGTGGACAGTATTATGTGCTAGTCCAAGCTGAGGCTTTAAGAGTTGCTGCCGGTCTGTCCGATGGATATCGTCTCGCTAAGCAAGGCAGCCGAGTGAAGAAGGCCGCGTTAGACACATGCACGCCAATCCATCCTAAACACAGCTCCATTCGAGGCATCAATATAATCATCATCAGTGAAGTTTTGTTTTCAGAGCCCAAGGATCTGTCGGTTCAGCACTCGGTCATCGTAACCCCTAGAGTCTAGGTGGGAGTACATGTAGTACAGGAAGCTTCGCTCGTCTTGCATTCGTCTATATAAGAAAACATATTGAGGTTGGACAGGAGGCGAATTCCAAGAGCATTATCGACTGTATGTGCCTAGGGTGTATCAAAGAAACCGTCAAGGTCGAGTCTTACGATGCGGTTGTTCCTAGTATCACTGGAACTAATGTTACTAACAGTATATAGATCACTCACGGAACGCTTTCCCTGAGGGATTTTAAGTTGAGGGACACCTGTTGGTTATGCCACTGGTTAATACTGCCAATGCATAAAAGCTTTACCGTCCTTACGACAGTATAGGCATCAGAGTCTTAGGTTACGAACAGCCGACAGAGCTCGTAAGTAGATCCATGACATAATCTCACACAATTATCTTATTTCCTAATTACTTAAATTGCCAGGCCAGGCCTGTGTCGTTAGCTTATATCACTCTCAGTCTATAGTATAAGATCTATCACATCTAAGGATTCAAGTTCTTGAAAATGATATCGTATCTTCGCTTGCCATCCGCACTATAGCCTTCCACATGATTGTCACCCCAGGGCTGCATCCAAGTATCTGTTTTGAATCAGTTAGGAGGCTTTTTATTCGACCCAGACATTAATCATTACTTACCATAAGTAGTTGCAGGCTTCGTTTCGCAGAGCCAAATAAAAGTGTTGTTGACCGAGTCTTTCAAGTCGTCTTTCGGAAAGGCCTGAGTGACCGCGAGGTAATCATCCTCGGCGACACCATTAGCTGGCCCGGAGAAATCCAATTGAATCCCTTTAGATACCACCTGAACGTCAAGCTCTTTGAAATAGGCGATAGACCGCTCGGTATGTAGCGCAATAGCGTCCCAGACAAGCTGCACCCTACGCTCGTCCCAGTCTTTCCCATCCTCGTGGCTTTGGATAAAGTCACGCGCAGCAATTGCTCCATCAACCTCGAACCGTCTGTCAGGGCTGATGATGGATGAGTTGCCCCTATACCAACCAAGGTCATGAAGGAGTGTTGAGACGGCATGAATCTGCAGGTCCACATTATTAAGCAGGGTCTCGTTCGCGTTTATCATGAGCACTCCATATAGCCAAGACCGCATCACATGCTTATATACAGCGTGGCTGCTATGGTTGATCGCATAGTCCTCGGCCGCTCGAACGAGCGGCGTGTCAATAACAGAGACCCCAGCAATCTCCCGAGCTGGGTAACCCAGAGATCCAGATGTTGAGCTCAGCCCCGCAGAGGCAGGAGAGAAACTGGTGGCCAGAAAAAGCCATATGGAGCATTGTTTGACAGTGGCGCTCAACATGTTAAGTCGGCAAGGGATGCAGCGCCCAGAATGTTGGCGAGATGCAACGTTGTTGGTTGTTAGTTCGAATGCGCTTGCTTTACTGTTCTCAAAGTTTAGATGCCGGATTTCTCCTGGCTTAAATACAAGGCAAATAGAACAGGCAAGGTCATCGTGTCTAAACTTGGTTGAAAATAATGGAAAAGTTCACCGCCACGCACCCTTGCCAACTTATAAGCGCGCGGATTCCCAACTCAGAGAGTGGCATGTCGATCATTATTCCCAGATCTAGTTACTACACATGTAGACGAGCAACCCAATCAGTAATCAGACCCATGCCCTTACAAATACAAGCCTGAAACCTGCTCAAAAGCGCGCTTGACGATGAAAGACGTAGAGGCGGGGAGGATGATTGCTAAGTGAAGCCATAATCCATGTCTCGTTCGTGGTAAGTTCAGATTAGTAAGAGTCTCTCTTCTAGTACCTACTTTGAAGAACATATAGTTCAAGTTTCGTAATTGAGTCCCGGTATTTTCAGGTCGGGTATTACACTTGTCTCAATGATACTCTAATGGCTCTACTATGGTGTCCTGGATTCTATTCGTGCGCAAGCTTATCGAATATACAATTACTTGCAACGTCGACCAGCTTGTAGAAAGGGGAGATAGTGTCCAGGATCTTCTTAATTGCCTCGAAACAGTCGGACTTAGGCGACAAGGGCTATATTTTATAGAGAGATCCGATAGAATACGATTTTAATCATTATCAGTGTTTATCCTACCAGCTCCATCCCATCAAATAAGTCTAGCCAATCTTCTAATCTCTCCTCGATGAAACCTTCCAGGTCCCAAGGCTCCATAGTGAGATTTTCCAGTGAACCATTCCATAGGTATGTCTCTGCATCAACATATTGTCTGGAAGTTTCTCCATTTTGGTTCAAAATTTGAGCCGTAAGATATGTCGGGCTATAAATCTCTCCCTCGAAATCATCCAATTTCTTACGCTGAGATGAGTTGGTAAATGTGACGAGGTAGCCGCGAATCTCTGACCCGTCGCATTTTACAGCAGCGGGATAGTCGCAACTCTTTACACCATATCGAGCAAACCCTTCAATTCTTGCAGGGCGGATGAGCCTCTTGACGGCATCAGTCTGGGAGGCGTCCCCCATCAAAGCCCATGCAAGAAGGGGAACAGCGCAAAGGGTACCGTAGACAAACACCGGAGTCAAGCTTTCAGCCGATTCTTGTGGAAGCACATCCTTCTCCTCGGCTGTTGATTCCACAATTCCTATTTGGACATTTGATTTACTCATCTGGTGAGTTTTGACCCGTTAGCCGAGAAAACGCGTCAAAAGACATGTATTACAACTTACAGGTGACGATAGTAGTAAGTGTGTGGTATGGTCTGAAAATCATCTCTGGTTATTCTCAAATGCTGCGGAAAGAGATTTCTGAAAATGTTAGAGATCAGGCCTAGAATTAGAATTTAGATCTGAGTTTTTGAGCATGTGATCAGACAAACAACTTATCGGGCCTAGTCGAGTGGTGGAAAGCTTATCGCTAACAATGACATCGCGTGGTCTTTCAAACAAAGAAGAAAACAGCATAGGTAGGATCGCGCTCGGTGAGGAACTTATGTAATATAAGCACAGTGAGAACGCGCTTAAATCAGTAAACTCCCAGATTCTCACACTGTACGTTCCAGATCGGCGTCGGCTACGAGAATAAACCCGCGATTATTAGCACAGAAAGTTACAGACTTTTCCTTCTGCATAGCCCTAGCCTGAGGCTAACAGATCTAATTATCTTGTTTTTATATTAACACACTCTTAGTAATATTATATGTCTTTTCTTACCGTCCCTTCTCATTTCACTGGCAAGAGTTTGTATAAGTATTTTATTCCAATAGGTATTCGATTATTCCGGATTAAAGAAGAGATATACAGTTCCGCCTTCAAGTTCCATAGACTCGGGACAGGAGGATCTGATATTATTCAGTCGCGCAGTCTGAAACTGAAGTTTAATACTATACCCCGGAAGAAAACTCAATATTAGAAGCAAATAAAACAGACAGTATACTGTTCTTTTTCAAGAGAAGGTAATAGAACCAGAATAGTATCAGTCCTAGAAGAATCTTGATTCCAAACAAGCATACTCAGCTAGCTATAGGTAAGTAAAAGCAGTAAATATACAAGGATAGGAGATCTACTCCAGATAATAACCCCCCGACAGTCGTGCGTATCAATATTCGAAGACTGGCCGCAACGTTGAACTGTAGAGAAGAAAAGCCTCACTGAAAGAAAACTTCTCAGTATTTGCCAACACTCCTGATAGAGAGCAGCGGTTAAACTATCTTCGCCCACGCAATAGTAGCTCCAAGCCTGTCGCCAGATTCATAAAACAGGTAGGTCTTATCTCCAAAGGTGACGATTTCAGGAGACGCCACACGCCCGACGTCTTCGCCATTACCGCTCGATTTATGCAGCAAGATTGGCTGGGAGCCAACTTTTCGAAGCGTCTTGTCAATTGTCCGAGCGTACGAATTACCGCTGGAGGCGTGGTATATGACATAAAGCTGCCCTTTCCACTCCCAGAGGCTTCCTCCTGAGACGTTGGCACCCTCTTCGGGGCCAGGCTCAACAACGTAGCTGGGGTCCACGGTCCAAGTGCGCCCGTCCTTAGACTCGGCCAAGCGAATGCGGCGCACGTTATCACGCTCGTTGCCCATATAGAACATCCCGTAAGCGTATCCGGAGGCCGGATTGCGGTGCGTAAAGACACGCGCATAACTCGTCTCTGTCACATTCGGCCCTCCCATAGTGTTGTTCACGGCAACGCCTCCGTAATCAAAATTGACCCCATCGTCGGTTTCTGCCCAGCGAGTCTGGGAGTTGCTCCCGTGAAAGTATACGAACAAGCGGCTGGCCTCGTTGTTCCATTTTGCATCTGGACTGGAGACATGGGGCACCGAGTAGTGCCCCGACCATACGTTCTTAATGACTGGGTTGTTGGCGTACTCGGTCCAGGGCCCGTCAGGGCTGTTGGCATACATGAGCGAGATGCCGCCGGGATCGTCATGGGGGGCGTAGTACAAATACCACGCTCCCAGGGGGGTTTTCAGGTAAATGCTTGCATGGAATACTGAGGGGAAAATATATTCGTTGGTTGGGTTGTACTGAAGCTTGCTTTTGTCAGTCACCACTCCCTGGTACGTGAACACTGGCCATCCATCTGGCTGCGGCGCAACCTGGGCAATCGCAACGGTCGTTATAATCGCCCCTATGAGCATACGTAGAGTAATTGCTGCCTTCATAGTATATACTAGCTTGTCTCCTAGTCGTATTAGGATCACAAGTTAGGTATGGTCTTATCCTAAAAGTTAAGGATTTGTTAACGCGATGGTTGGATTGATTGTTGCGTATATACCACTCCCACCATTACGTCTCGTTCGCTTTATATTATACTTGTACGTCCATGTTGTTCCTGTGAGCCTTTCGGTTACGAACCGATACTCCCCGAAGAGTGTAAACCAAAATCCTCTGGAGATCTGACCAGTTTCAGGCTCCAGTGAAGTTCTTCCTTTTAACCATCTGGTCCACTTTATATTATAGGGGAGGCTACGGTAGAGGCGTGCTACTAGGCCATTTACAGGGCTGCTCTGACATCGGCAGATGACCAAAGAAGTATTGCCGAATCGTCCCCGAGTAAGCCTATTTATAGTTCTCCTTGACGCGTTTGTCCGTGCACTCAGCTGGGGTAAGCGATCAAAAGAACTGCGAATGGAGATCAAATAAGAAAAAAGAAAAAACTTCCTTTAACTATGTGACTGAATGCCCCGAAGCTGGTACTATACCTTTGACTGGTGAAACTAGTATTAATCTTCTGAGTGTGTGGCTACCGCCCACTGTAGGATCGCTCTTCTCATAAATGTGTTTAATATCTTATCATCACGTGAGAGGTGATTACCTTAGCCAATTGACGCGTAAGCAAGTGATGGGCAGGGAGACCCTTGTTCATTTTAGCCTGTACTGAGCCTGTTGTTGAGCTACCCTATGCGTGAGCAACCCAAAGAGCGCTTCTCCCCTCTATGATCACTGTCTTGTCTCTCAATCTGGCAAACTAGCACGAGCATTTATAGATTCCCTCTAGAGAAACGGAGAGTAAGCCTTAGCTATGCTCAGGAAACATAGACTTCAAGTTCAGTGCATGTCTATGAGTCTCAATATTATGACGATCCGCCACAGCTAGAGGTCACCAATTGAGGCGGAATTAATAGAAGACTTGAATTTCCTATTATCTAATGAGGGTCTACGGATAATCTATTTATTCGGAATTGAAAGGAAGGGTATCACGTGAGATATCCCGTGATCTTGGCTCCATCGCGTCACAAATATTGCCTGATAACAAACACTTACCTTGAGTCTTGTTTTAATAACACCATTGAAACTGGGTGCGAGGCCATTGCGTTAACCTCACCGTGTAAGTAGCTATTCGTTGAATGTAATAATAAGAATGGAAGAAAGTGATTGCATAATGACGATGAACTATAGGCATATTGACTACCTATCTTGAAATTAAAATTCATGCGGAGATAACAGATAAAATAATCAATAGCTAAAATGATATAATTCTTGAGTACAGAACAGAACAGACTGAATATATGGATTTGCAAATGATTGCCTCGTGATTCTGTCTGTAACGCTTGAGGATCCTTCACTGCGCCAGTCGACACTACGCGGCCTTAAGAGCCTATAAATCGCTTAGCTCCCCAATAATCTGTCTCAAGACGTGCAGCAGTCAGTCGAAGAGGGACTCCTGAACTATAGGCCTCCAACATGGTTCCATTCCCTGCATACATCGCGACATGATAGATTGTGCTGGCACTAGTGGTATTGTGAGCATAGAAGAGAAGATCGCCCGCTTTGAGATGCAATACCTCCACTTTGATACCAAGTGTTGACTGTGCCTGTGGCCCAGAGTCACGGGGAATCACGATGCCGTGCGAATTGTACACCGTGTATGTGAAGCCTGAGCAGTCAAAGGCGAACCCAGAGGTCCCACCCCACAGGTAAGGTAAGCCCGTGAACAATCTCCCGGTCTCAACAATGTCCTGACCTGTAGGACTAGGAATGTCTGAGCTATGCTTGCATGTCGCGACGTCGGCTCGGTTCAAGTAGGCGATCCCGCCCGGTATTGCGACCTGAGTCGCGTTGGAAAGCTGAGTGATCAAAGGTAGCCGAGTATTGAAAGCAATGTCCATAATCTTGTCTGACAGCTGGGCGTCTCGGAAGAGTGGTGCGATTTTAGGCCTCGTCACCTGTGCGAAGGGCAGCGTCTGCTGTAAAGTGCCATAATAGTCGTCATCCACTGACACGTGAGAGGAGGGTACCCAACCCGGATATCCGATTTGGGGTTTGGTGGTTGATACGGGCTGATCGGGGATAGCGATCTTGTACCAATCGCCCTGGGTTTCCGTTATAATGACTCGAGATCCATAGAGAACCTGGGTCTCTGTTCGCGAGTTTGCACTCAGGTCTTTGAACTGGTCTACCGTCATTGAGTCCAGCCATTCTTGGACTTGTACTGGGCTACTGAGCGCTGGTGCGTCCACAGCACGGGGCTTGCTTTGGTCCTTCCAAAGAGTCGAAACCGACACATTCACAAAGCCGAATTTCGAAACTTCCGAGTCGCTGCTGCGGCTCCAAGCATGCGGTATTGCTATGACAGCTTGGATGAGAAGCAACCCAACAATGCTGGTAAGTGAATAGTAGGAGGTCATTGTTGTTCTCTTGATGAAGAGGCGACATTTATGTCATCTGGCTTAGATAGAATGTAAAAACCATAGTGATCACTGATCATTGGCAATTAACATATTTATCTGCTAAGATATTGATCCCAGAATAGCGAGATAACATATCAATGGGGAGCGGGCCCATGCTGATAAGAGCTTTTGGAAGTGTCAATTTCAACGGCCCTTCTTAGAGCGGCGTCGGGTTATCCGTTGTGCTCATGGGTGAGAATTAGTCGAAGATAGTTCCGAGGATCTGGGTGTGATTATCCGTCTTGCTTATGCGATGGAGAACAACCGATCCCGTGGTTCAATATACATCGGCTTTTCCGATTAGTCCCTCGTTGACAGATACAGCCGTGTAATGACCGTTCTACATTAGAAGTTGAAGATAAGCCACTGGTTTGTAATGATAGGCTGAAGCAGTGAATTAGTAGTGAAGGCATCGAGATTTTTAGTACATGTTAAGGTCGTATGCAATGATTTAATTTTCACATTGAATACGAAAGATATACGCTAGATCATTGTAAAAACATATTGATTGCGAAACATCTAAGAGCTTTTTCCCGACTAGTTTCAAGGCTTCTATTCCCTATCTATGAGGCAGCTCTGGGACTGATCACTCTTCCTAGTTCGCTACAAATGTCCTCTAAATACATCTGGGCTTTCTTAATTGGCGCCATATGCATGAATGGATGGGGCACGTTGGTGTATCGTCTGATGGAAACTCGGACACCAAGCTGGGCAAGCTTCAAGCCGTACAACTCCCCTTCATCCCGCAAAGGATCACGCTCTGCGGTACATATGAATGTATCACATAGTCCGCGCAGCTCTCCATATAAGGGACTCTTATAACATATGGGCCGTGAGTCAAATTCGGCTCGTTCAGCACTATTCTTGGGGTTATAGTGCTGCTGGAAGAATTTAGAGCGCTCCCAGTTAAGACAAGGGGCGTTCTGGTTCTCTACCCAAGATTCAAAAGGGGCATCCGATGGTTTCCTGAAGTCCCCTTCGTAGATGACCGCGGGTACTGAGAGAATTGCTGGCATGCTACGTCAGAATTGGCTTCACTAGACCCCATGTTCAGACTTACCAAGTCTCAGGGGTAGATCAGCATCGCGAGCAAGTTGCTGTATGGTGGCGCAGATGTGACCACCGGCCGATATCCCACCAATCGATATGCAATCACCCTGTGCATTAATTTCGGAGCCGTTTTGATGTACCTGCCCAAAGCAGCCAAGTCAATTCGGAGACAACCCTCTAGAGTGAACAATGATATTCCCGTTCAAATGACTTACCCATTTGACTGCTGCCAAAGCATCGTCGGCGCCAGTCCCGAAGGCATTCTCTAGCCGAGTGACATCAGCAACATATTGGTTGATAGGATGCGGCATCGTTTCATTGGATCCTGCCTGACTAACCTGGTGAAAGTCTGTAGTCTATGTCCATGACAAGTATACCAAGACGGTCTCGGATGGCCATGCAGATTTCTGCGTCGCCGGTCAGGCCACCAAACGTCCAACCACCTCCTGTACCAAGCTTGGTCAACATCTTTCTTGGAGGGGGGGGCAATTTTAAAGTAGGTCTGGAGTGACAGTGCTTGACATACCATGGAAGTTGATGTAGACTGGGTAAGGACCGATGCCAAAGGTCGACTTTTTATCGTCAGGATAATAACATCTTGCTGTGAAAAGATAGCCATCATCTGCGGCGAGCTTGATGTCTTTAACAAATTCTTCATTAGAAAAGTCTCGACACCAAGGAGAAGCGTATTTATGCCCATTCTTTCTCATCTCTTCGATGCTTAACAAATGCGTCTTAGGCATCCATGCTAGGTGCTTGTTGTAGTAGTCGATAAAATCTTGATCTAAAAGATCAAAAAACTCGGGATTCAGTGGATTGGGTGCCTGGCCCTCCAAGTCATTTTGGGAACACATGGTTTTTCGTGCCTAACTAGAAGAATATGATAGGAAGAAAGCAAAAAAGGCATTATAGGAGAGGAAACACACAACTTATTCCATCAACCTAGACAGAGGTCACTCTTCTTCCGTCGGCAAAGCCGATCTCACAAGTCGGATTTATGGACTAGTCCCACATTCAGAGATCGGGTTCGTAAGATCATGATCTCAGGCGACCCAATTTCAAATCCCGACTTTCAATTTAGTAGACAGGAGAAACAGTTTCTGAATTGGAAAGACTCAATGTATCGTCGAAAAATATGATGTAGATCAAAGCACCTCCACGCCCTGATAGAGCCTACAGACAACTAAACAAGGAATGTTGTAGATCTTCAGACCATCCCCCTGCAAGATACATCCATACTGACTGAAGTTCCTCAAGCGTCGATTCTGTGGTGATCATCCGAAGTACATCATACAGGTTCGACCTTTCAGTGACTGGGGGGCACCCGTCTCCAGGCCTCGGCTTGAATCCGTTCAGCGATCCCTCGCCATTGTGCGATGATAAGGACGAGGGAGATAACTCCTCAATCTCTGAGTCAGGGGGGATCTCGCCAAGATATGCAGCACGGTAAGTAGCCTCCATTGTCCGGAGTGTCGCAAGCCACCCGTGTGCAACTTGCCATTGACCACACAGAGTTGAGAATATTGACTTGATGGTGTGAAAATAGTGTTTGGCCGTTTCCCGAACATCCTCTCTGGAACAGTCTTCATCTGTAGCATACTGAAGCCACAAGAAGACATTCGCTGCCGGCAGGCACGTGCCAGCAAGCCATATCGTTTCCAGGTCAAGTCGGCCACCACTATCCGCGGATTTCCAAACTGTTGTCACGATCTCGCCCAGGGCCATGGCATTACTGATACAGATGGATATGAGGGATGGCTCCCGGTGAAGTAGAGATAAGCCCGCAGCATCTAAACAGTCCAGCAAGAGCGAGCAACCATCTAATTGAGGCAAGTAACATTGGTGGGCGATGCACAATGCGCTGCGCAACAGAAGATGGAGGGATACAAAAGTTCGGCTCTGACCCAGGCTGCTGTGCGTTGAGTAGTTTTCATTAGACCATTCCAAGTGTGACGGTAGTGAGAAAGACCAATCTTGTACGGCTCGACTGCAGCGAGCGAGGTGGCTTCGAGGGTCAAGCGGAGATCGAGTGTCTGTGAATCTTTTATGGCATATATTATTATCAGCCATATCGCTCCAGAGACAAACTGTCTTAATGAAGTATGACGAAAGGCTGACTTCTGAAGGGAATCCATCAAATCGGGCCAGGTTATCCAGGTTGATTCCCCTGGTCTGTTCCTGGTACGCTACTGAGAGATTTGTGCTGGGAAGAGCAACTTGGACGTTGGTCAAGGCCAAGGTTCTCGGTTTGCTTAGAAGATATGCTAGACACCTGTCCATAAGTAAACAGGCCCAAAAGGTACGGCGTCGCATCTCCTGCTCCTTTGTGGTATGCTTTTGGTGATACTCTTTGTTAAGCCGCATTATCTGCGCCATTCGAATCGCAGTGCCAGCGTATAGCCAATGACTCGAGCCAGCATCTGCTAAGATTTCAGACAGTGCTAGGACTAGGTTGCCTTGGATGTTTGCAACTGCAGCGGTAGGTGAGCTGACATGCGGCTTAGTTTTTCGTTTGGGGGAGTGTAGACCAACCAGTAGGGGTTGTTAAGGTGTCTCGGGCCATAGACTCAGCAACAGGCAGATAGTGAGATCGGACATCGTGCCCAGTCTTGAGCCCAAACGCTCTCCAAGACTCTTCGGGAGTCAGATATTGTGCGCACAAGACAATGATGGAAGCTACGAGGAACGGCTTCTCGCTGTAGTGCGATTCCCATGTCGGTAAGTACTCGAAAGAGCAGAAATCCACGACAAAATGACGCTCGAAGAACAGGTCAAAGATGCGCCGCAGAGACTCGAGGGTAGGCAACACGATCTGGGATCCTTGGCGCGTGTCTTGGATGTTAGTATCAGGTACGGACTCGTCCGCAAGTGGTGACCCTATGGCCGTGCTTTCAGCCACAACAGGAGGAGACAGAATCTCCTCCTCGGTGGCCCAAGGCCATGTGCAAGGTATGTCCCTCTTCGTACAATGCCGACATCGCGGCCGAGCGCCGTCACACTTAGTCTTGCGCCTTCGGCTGGAGGTGGAATCGCGTAAGTCAGGCCAATGTTTTCCACTTGCGATCAAGGTAGTGTCGGGCCCTTACCATGTGGCACACGCCTGTGGAGTGCGCCGGCCTCGACTCGACTTCCCTCGAGTGTCCATTCGAGGCTCAGTCCTGTGAGCCACAGTGTCGGAACTGAAGTCGGCATAGGCCCTGGCGCGGCCGATGGTCGGTGTTCCAAGAGAAGAGTTCCCGATACGTTGGTTAGGGAACACATGACACTTTTGATTATGGGGCAACCAGGGGCCATCCTCCTACAAGGTGTGGTAACTGATAAGCCACGAACCTCCCCTCGACTAAGATAATGATATCGGCTTTTCCGACGACCAGGTTACTGATAAGCATGGCGCCTTTTAATATTGCCTGTGGTAAGGAAAACATCCAACCACGATTGTTAAGCGTATATAGCATCGACTTAATCCAACCTCATCCCAAGAACTCATTACTTGCAGCACTTAACTGGAAAACCAGGATTCACCCAAGAGGCTCTTGAGAAAATGACCGGCCAAAAGGATATCAAGGTTGAATCTGGCCAGATTGACTTAGACGTCGACAATGGTACCACTCAGGAGCCAATCGATCCAGCCATTGCGAGAACTTTGAAACGCAAGGCTGATTTTATTCTTCTTCCCGTATTGGCTATCGCTTATTTGCTGAAGTAAGCCTCATCGACGGTCTATATCTCTGCGTCCCTGATACACTAACACACTGTAGCTCTCTTGATCGCAGCAATGTTGCGAATGCGAATACTGCTGGTCTAGAAGCTGACCTGAATCTTGTTGGAAACCAATTTAATCAGTGAGTGCACGTTTCTCTGTGACACACGAGATAATGAGTAGGATGAACGTCTGACCGCACTCTCATTGTAGAGTTCTCACCTATTACCAAGTTCCATTTATTATCTTCGGCCCATTGCTCACGGTCGTCACTAAGCTGATTGGAGCCAAGTATTCAATCGCCGGTATGCTTTTTTGTTTCGGTATTGCATCACTCGCGACCGGCTGGGCTCGGACGTTCGGGCATTTAGTTGCCTGCCGCGTGATTGTGGGAATATTTGAATCCGGCTTCCTCGCTTCGTGAGTGGTTCCGTTTCCTATTTATTAGAATCCGCGCCCGGGGTGAGTTGAATTAACTTATAGCTCCAATAGTGTATTCTACTACTTGTCTGTATGGTACACTCGATCGGAGCTCGCAACTCGAATTGGCATATTCTATGGCGCATTGGTCGCGTCATCTGCCTTTGGGGGTCTTCTCTCATATGGCATGTTTCAGGTGACCGCACGAAACGGATATTTCCGTTGGTCATATTTATTTTTCCTCGAGGGAGCCTTGACCGTCTGTTGGTCCCTGGTTACGTTCTTTTTCCTTCCTTCAGACGTGCAATCCGCTTGGTTCTTAACCGCATCCGAGAAAGCCACAGCTCAAGAACGCTTAAAACGAGACTCGGTCGATTCGCTTGATTCAAGTTATACCCTTTCTGAATTTTTCACAGAGTTTAAGGCGCCCCATATTTATATCCGACTTATCTCTACTTTTATTCAAGGAGTGACATTAACCTCCAACGCGAACTTCTTGGCAATGATCATCAAAGGTCTACATTTTAGTACGATTAGGACCAACCTGGTAAGACTCACTATCTCCACCTATTGTAAAAACTCATATTGATATTATACTCTAATATAGCTGACCATTGCTCCCGCCCTGGTTGGAGCAATCACGTTGATCTGCTTCTGTCGCTCTTCCGACTACTTTTATGAACGCGGGTATCACATTGGTAGCTCTTTGGTCCTGAGTTTTGTCGGCTATATTATTCTGTATTGTGGAGAAAACAAAGGGTGGGGAGTGCTATATTTCGCCATGTTTCTCTGCACCATGGGAGTAAGCGTCCTTAAGAGTCTTGCCGTTGTTCAAGAAGGTATACTGACTTGATCAAACCACAGGCATACCCCAGCACACCCCTTGGAGCAACTTGGACCATTGCGAATATTCCAAACTTGAATGCCCGCGCTCTGACCATTGGAGTTTACAACTCAGTCGGTAACTGCGCTGGACTCTTGTCAAGTAACATCTATATATCCTCGGAGGCGCCTCGGTATATTACAAGCTTACGGGTCAATCTTGCAATGGCCGCTTTGGGTTCTTTCGTTAGTTTCGCCTATGGTGGCTGGATGAGGTGGGAGAATCGTCGTCGCGATAAACAGTTTGGCCGATCGGATAACTTGACTGTTGGTGTCACTGACACCTCAGACCCTAACTTCCGATTCCAGTATTAAGAAGACGCTTGCTTTTGGATTTCGGGGCTCGGCTCGAAGGTTAAATAGAGGCCTCACTATCAAGCACTATATTTAGCGTCTTATCTACACAGGTAGGTACCTAGGGTAGAGTCTTGGGAGGCTGCTCTATTGAGCCTGTCCTGTCACGTGATAACGAACGCGGTTGTGGTCCATACCACTTGTCCAGAACTTTAATATAACCTCTTCCTTTACGCTCATTCCTGATTGACCTTCCACCATTATGCAACCACTGCGCCGATTATAGTCATGGAGGTAATATCTACTAAACCGAGCAGACGTCTACCGACTCGTAAAAGAATCCAGCGCCTCAAGACGGGCTGCCGCACTTGCAAGTAAGTTCATCGGGCCCTTTGTAACTTCTTTCAATATGGGCATGCGCCAACCCCGCTTGTGACAGGGCACGGCGAGTCAAGTGTGACGAGCAGCGGCCATCTTGCCGGCGCTGCGCCTCTGCAGGCCGTGAATGCATGGGATACGGTATTTGGGGTGGTGGACATTCAGGGGGCGGCCCCTTGACTCAATGCCTCGCTCTGTACCGACCCAGTACCACGGGCCCTGTAGGGCATCTCGTCGCAGAAGACCGCCGGATTCTAGACTGGTTCATGGTGGCCAAACTCCAAGGGATCTTTCCCTTTCCATTCTGGGATATTCTAGTCCCGCAGGCATGCTACAATGAGCCCGCCATTCTCAGTTGTGTCTTGGCACTTGGCTGCATTCACAAGAGGGCATGCATTAGCAAAGAATCCACAGATTATCAGCATGCTATTGACAATCTAGAGTCAGCTACCCTGCGACATTATAACACGGCCATCAGTTTGCTCAATAGGTCCCAGACGGGTGAAAACAGGGCATCTACTCGAGTGACTCTCACCGGGTGTTTGGCGTTTGTAATCATAGAATATCTCCAAAAGCGTCCAACGCAAGGCCTACTGCATCTCAAGCATGGCTTACAAATACTACAAAATCAGACGTATAACAATATGCGGCAGCTTTCAAACGATCCCGTCGACGACTGGCTTGTAGAAGCCTTTGGCCGACTCGATATCCAAGCTAAATTGTTATTCAAGAGCACAACGGACAACCAGCCTCATACGAATAATTGGGCCGACAACGAGAAGTCTCTTACGCTGAAATCGTTACATGAAGCGAGACAGCAGCTGGATTCTCTCATATCAGAATCGTATCGGCTACAGCGCTGGGCGCGTAATGCCGACTCCTCAGCCAACGTCAGCCTATTATTCCAGGCCCTTTCTGCCCAACAACGACTGCAAAGAGCTCTTACGTCTTGGCTGCAGGCTTACCGAACATGGCGGACGACGCCGCCACGGCCTTCACTGCAGTCACTGCACTCACCTCAGGAGCAGGTCGCTCAGCGCTTACTTCTAGTCTATCATACGATGGCGAGCATTATCACGGCTACGGCTCTATATCCAGGAGATGAAACGGTTTTCGACCACTATGATCTGCAATTTGCTTCAATCATCGCCTCTTCGAAAGAAATTGTCCAGATATACAATCCTGCGACTCCAAGGGACCCAAGATCACATGCTCACTGTACTCAGCATTTCACCTTCACCAGCGATCTCGGGCTTATTCCAGTTTTATACTACACAGCCCTGAAATGCCGCGATCCACAGATGAGGCGGGACGCTGTATCGATGCTTGCGACGAAGACCCGTCAAGAAGGCATCTGGGAGGGGCCAATAGTAGCCCTGATTGCCGCTGAAGTTATTCGACTCGAGGAGACTCCATATTCTGAGCAAGGCGAAGTATGCAACAACGGATCCAGTGATGAATGCGTCCTGTCAAGCTCACATCCTCAGTTTTAGAGAATATCCGATGTTATGATTACGTTTCCTGATAGTCCTGGAACAGACCTAGTGTTGGTTTGCAAACGAAAGTTGAAAAATGGTACTTGGGGAGTTGTGGAGCGGAGACATAATGGGGATTATTGGTATTGAGCTGGATCAGCATGTCTTAACAAAGGTAGTTGATTCTTACATACCAACTGAGGACCCGCGATATGGGTTTAGATTAATAAACGCCTATTTTACGTTTGCAACGCTCTTGATTCTGATGTAGACTTATTCAACCTAGACGTTAAGTTACGGCAGCCAACGCGGACTCGCCCCCTCCTACCCCAGACGATTATCAGCATTATTTAACACCACAACTCCATAACACGTTTCAAAGTCCGAGTACATATGATCTCGATCAAAGTAATATACACGATATTTGAGAGGTAAACCGATCAGGACCTGGTGTTCTTAGTCAAGTAGCAGTATTCACTCATGTTAAACCTCACCCGAGGCTTTAATATAACTACCTAAGCTTAGGTCCGAAGTCGATGTCTACTTCCTGCAATATAGGCGATGTAAACTAATTATATCTCGTTGCTACAACTGACTTTGGTAGGTATACAGTACTAGGGTCTTTTGGAAGTTTCGCCTATATACAATATTGGTTTGTGGAGCATATTATATTATTAATGAAAACAAAGCCCTCGGTAGAGATGCTTTACCTCCTCTATCTGAACTGCCTTCTACAGTATTTAAAACTGACTCGACCAAATTAAAACGACCTCATATACTAAGAATACAAACTCCCGTACTCTAACATGCCTTTGCCCACTCTGGCACATCCGTTACCTCCGCGACATCCTTGATCGTATCCTTCCACAACCTTCCTTCCAATACCTTAATAGCATCCGAATCGTAAAAGCTGTCAATGCTTTAAATCTGTTAGCACAGCATGTCATAGTAGCAGGGCTGGTAAATTTAACTTACTGCTCAAGTTGAGTGTCACCAATTAGCTGACCGTGAGACTCATGGCCAGCCACTGCAGCAGCATTAAGGCCAACCCATCCACCATGTTCTACTTTCCTGGCCCTTCTGAGAGTACTCAGTGCAGCAACTGGGACACGAAGATACCAAGGAAGGTTTTTGGTCATTGGTGTATCAACCATTCCAGGGCAAAAGTTATTAATAATCACTTTATCTGATCCATACATCTTCCCCAGCCGATGGATAAACAACAGAACAAGTAATTTCGAGTCTCCGTAACGAGTGAAACCTTTGTAATTCTTCGGGTCATCAAGGTATTCAAGGAGATCTTGAGGCATCGCCGACGCTGGCTCTTTGCAGAGAGGGCCAGTGTCATACATGCGACTGCCGGTAACCGAAACACGAGTCGGCTTCCCGGTTTGCTTGGCAGTCTCCTCTAACAGAGGGAGGAGCCCGAAAAGCAACGCTGCGTTGGCCAAGTGATTTACCTGGATAGATTGTTCATGGCCATCCTCTGTCTTTGCAAACGTGACTCCGTTGGCGCCAGCGTTCAGCATCAGAATATGCAGTTGCTTGAGTTCCTGTTTAGCTTTTATCAGGAATCTCTTGGTGCTTGCGTAAGACGCGGCGTCGAATTGCATGACTCGAATGTCAGCTTTTGGGTTTGACTTGCGAACCCCTGCGTCAGCCAGCAGCTCCGTCTTGGTCTTCTCGCCTTTGGCGACATCGCGAACAGCTAGAACGAGCGTGGATGCGCCCCTGACTAGGTATTGACGGCTGAATTCAAGTCCCAAGCCCGAGCTGGCACCAGTGACGATGATGGTCTGGCCTGATACGTCTAAGTTCGGAGGCAAGGGTGTGATGGAAGGTTGAATGAAGGGCATGGTAGACATGTTGGCGGTTGTAGAAGACACTCTGAATACTACAATAAAAGGACGAAAAAGATGGAGAGATTTAGCAGCTTGAGTCTGAGTCGACTAAAGAGAAGATGAGATATGGATTGTTGAGGTACAGCTATGCAACAATGACTTGAACGCAGAGTTATATAATCACCAAGAAAGGCATATTTGTCACAAATTATGCGGACTTCAGGTTGTAAACAGAGGAATTCTCAAACTACAGTCAAGCTCCGCAGACCCCCGCCACTTTCGCGACGTACCTCGAGCTCAGCTTGCCTAACTTGATACCTGAATAGCGCTTGAAAAGCTCCCGTGTTTGTCCCGTTGCTGTGCTGAATTGGGTTAGTCATGGAGTTTGGCTTGCGTCGTGGGACCTTAACTTATCTCCATGATTTCATGCCGCGGCTGGTGCCTAATTATTCTAGGTACACAAAAAGATGTATTGGCCATGACACCAGTTTCGTATTGCGGTAGCTTCGGAAAAGGAAGCGCAAGGCGCCTGCTTCAATTTTAAGCCCTGTTCGGCACGGCAGAGTGAAATCTACGGCAACGATGAGGAGAGAAAGATGAAATGACGTGGAAGCTCTTAGTGGAAACGAGGCGTACGTACTAGGTGAAGTGGTCCGTTAGCTTGCTCGCAAAGCCAACACTCTAATTGGCTCGGCCTTTGAGACAAGGCTGTAACCCGAATCCGGGCGGAGTTTTCGCAAAGAGACGCAACTTCAAAATCCGCATCCAACATGGCATTGAGCATGGCAAAGTGTAGCTTTATAGAAGCCCTTAAATATCATATCAAGATGAAGATAAAATAAAAGCTCACCCTCCCTACAAGCTTCCTCAAATGCGTGCAAGCAAACTCTTCTCAAAGACTCGTCATTTCATTATCCCCAAGATAACAAGGTTCAATCAGCGTCACAATGGCACTTAACGGTGAACCTGCTCCCAATCTAGAGATTCCACCTTCACGACACGTGGTCGACGTATCTGTTATCAACACTACGGCCGATGTGCGTTGTCCATGGGGTTTCTTTGTCAAGAATCCAGTACCGGGGCATGAAACATTGGAATGTCCTTCATTTGCGTTTCTTGTCCAACATCCTTCAGGGAAACGGGTCCTCTTTGACCTGGGTCTCCGAAAGGATGTTGAGGGCTTCCCTCCAGTCATTCAGCAGGGAATGAAAGGAATGCATATGAAAGCGGAGAAGGATATCGCTCAGATCCTGAAAGAGGACGGCAAATTTTCACTCGACGAGATTGACGCCATCATCTGGAGGTAAGGATAGAAAAGCGAAGCGGGGAAACATTACTGATAATATCGTGATCCACGCAGTCACTGGCATGCTGACCATACCGGCGATCCGTCTACTTTCCCTGCCTCGACCAACCTCGTTGTTGGCCCCGGCTTCAAGGAAGCGATACTTCCAGGTTATCCCACGAACCCCTACGGATTAATTCTCGACAGCGACTATTCGTATGTGCAATTTTGTTTCTATTCGGAAAACCCGTGGTCTTGCCTCCTGAAAATGCCTTTACCAAAGTGAGTACTTGGCGCTAACCTCACCATCTGCTTTGCAGAGGACGTGAGCTGCAGGAGGTCGATTTTTCAAAGAGCATTCAGATCGGTGAATTTCGCGCCTTCGACTATTTCAACGATGGCAGTTTCTACTTGCTTGATTCTCCAGGCGTAAGTATAGCTCAGCCTAGAACCCATATCGAAAACATAACTCAATGACGCGCTTTAGCATGCTGTCGGTCATATGTCTGCCCTGGCACGTACTACCCCCTCGACTTTTATCCTCATGGGTGGTGATGGCTGCCATCATTCAGGGTCCTTGAGACCTAACAAGCATTTTCCCCTGCCAGATGAGGTTTCGCCCTCTCCCTTCTCCATTCCCCCACACTCACACGGCACCGTCTGTCCTGGTGCTATTCTTGAAGCTATTCATCCTTTGCGCACCCGCACACAGCCATACTATGGACTTTTGTCGGAAGCCCAAGGCCGCGATGTTCCTGCAGCGGAGGCGACGATTCACAAGATGATTAGCTTTGATGCAAACGATGATGTATTCGTGTTGACTGCACATGACAGGAGTGTGATGGATGTCATTGATTTCTACCCCAAGAGTGCGAATGATTGGAAGGAGAAGGGGTGGAAGGAGACCTCTCGATGGCGGTTCCTTGAGGATTTTAAGAGTGCTGCTGCCAATATCGACACTGCTTGACTTGCGGACAGTAGAGTCAAGTGAGTGTTCGCATGTTTGTTGATGCCATTCAAATGGTTCAACGAGAAGCGGTGACTGGCACTCTTTAGCTGATATAGTTTCGAGATCTACTTTAAAAGATCTACTTTGAACAATGTCATACCAAGCTTCGAAACTAGAAATTGTATCGGCAAGAGAGCAATAATTTGGAAAAGTAGGAAGAGGCCGCATACAGATATGAACACTTCGTAAAAGACGTTTGGAGATCTCAATGAAGATTGTGCACTTCTTAGACAGCTGTTAGATGGAGATCCAAACGTCTGCCTCCAATCCACCGAGTGGGCTGTAAGCTCTTCGACTTGGACAACAAGAAACATTGCATTTCCATCTAGTCAATCCGAACTCGCTCATCTTGGGCTATAGTTTGGAGAAATTCATGGCAAGCCTCACCTAATAACTTGTTGAGTAGCGATACAGCCACCTGTCCTTATTATGAGCCATTCATTATGGTCGGCACCGAAACCACTTCTTCTTCACTGGTGATCGAAAAGTACCACACGCAACTGTATTATCTTTCAGTATATGGGTTAGCGATGGGTGGAGGACCGAGTCTAGATACGAGAGTCTCTGTAGAAAACTTATCATGATATAAACATTTCAAAGATGAAACATGAGTTGCTAAGAAATTAGACGGATGTCACTATCGTGCTACATGACCCTGGAAGCCGGTATCGCAATATCGGTCCATTTTGCAAGGGTTTCTCCTTTCAGCCCGTTGTCGGGTCGGTCAAATTGTCACATGCGGCTGCTCTAGTCGTGGAGCGACCTGGGCCTGAAACTCCGCCTCTGCCGCAAGATTTGCTTCTTACTCCGAACGCTAAGGTGTAGAGTAGAAACAGAATACGCATTAAGAAGGCGCAGAAGACGAGTCAAAGTCTCCGAGATTGCACCGAAGCCCGCTTCTTTTACAGATGTAGAATCCGTCTACTCGTTGCGATGCCGAGTGAAAACGGCCAGGGTTCTGCTACTTTCACCATAGCCTCTCATATCATCAGACTCCTGACATAGCTTTACCACTTATCTTAAGTCCGTGGTATAACAAAGTCCGCCGCTATTGGAGTAAGTAACTAAGTTACGAAATATGATCTCCAGCATAGACAAATCCCGAGTGACGTGTCTATATAAGGTTTTATACCGTCCTCTCGCCGTAGAATGACAATCCCAACAAACGCGATAGATCTTTTTCTCTCAAATTCACTCCTCGTTCAATATCTTCTCTATCCTTCTATAGACATTGGAGCGCTATCGTCCAATCATCAATCTACAGCTATGTCTCAACCTCAAGACCTTCTTGACTCAGTGGCAGGTCAGCTTCACAACCTGCCCCTTATGGTCACACCCGAGACTTGCTTGGGCCGCTCATACATCATCACTGGAGCCAACTCGGGGCTTGGGTTTGAAGCGGCGAAGCATCTTGTCTCTCTCGGCGCGGGAAAAGTGATCATGGCGGTCCGTAATCTCGGCGCCGGCCAAAAGGCCAAGGCCAGCATCGAAGCAAGTACAGGAAAGACTGGTTCTGCGGAGGTCTGGCATCTTGACCTTTCCAGTTATGAGTCTGTCAAATACTTTGCTAAACGAGCTACCCTCGAGCTTGACCGCATCGACGCCTTGGTTGAGAACGCTGGTGTGGCCATTGATATTGACAGCCAGGCTGAAGGTCATCCTGTCACATTCACTGTCAATGTGTACAGCACTTTCATGCTGGCAGTGCTCCTCTTGCCCAAGATGAAAGAGGATGCCCAACGACTCAACATTGTCCCTCACATTGCGATTGTCTCCAGCTCGGTGGCCTTTTCCGCACAACCTCTCTGGGACCTAGGCAAAGGTGCCGCTAACCCGGTGGACAAAATCGTCCAAGTGGGGCAGCTGGACACGACCGGCGGGTATGTGGTTTCCAGGAATTAATTGAGGTGTCCAAGGCTGATAGCTTGTGTTCGCAGGTATACTGTATCGAAACTCCTCGAGGTGCTCGCAGTTCGACATTTAGCCCCACTACTGCCAGTTTCTAGCACTGGAGTGGTTCTTAACTTGGTCTGTCCCGGTCTTTGCAAAACAGACATTGGCCGCAATGCATCCGATGACATCAAAGCTGTTGCCGGAACTATGATGGATCGAATTGGCCGCACCTCTGAGGACGGTAGCCGCACACTTCTCTTTGCCGCTACTGCCGGTAAAAGTAGCCACGGCAAGTTTACTGCTGATTGCGAGATCAAAGACGAGTAAGTCAACGTTCCTGGCAATGAGATACTTCAGAAGTCTGTAGACACTGACCAAGATATAGTTCTATCATCCCCGATTGGATTAAAGGGAAGGAGGCGGAAGAAGAGCGGAAGCGATTGTGGGATGTTATTGCTAAAGAGATTGAGGCTGCTGCGCCTGGTAGTCTTGCTAAGATTTTCAATTAACTTGATAGTACAAAGGTATTCACTAGATATAGTGGTTGAGCTATTATAAGTGATAAAATACATCATCGCAATTTTGTTAGATTTATGATAAATTCCGTTTCTCTCGAAATTATGTAATCTCTAAAGGAAGAGAATGGAGGTAGTTTCCCTGAGCATCCCTGAATATGACGGCTTTCGCAACTGCTTTGCGATTTTCTAAAATGTTTCGAAAGCGGCTTATCCCTAGGAGACTATCATGGAGCCTGACAGGGAGCACATCCGTGGTTGTGAATACCGTCCAGCGGTTGCGGAGTGATGGAAGGAATCGAATCTCCCTCCACAAAAGAGAGCCGGGATCGCTCGGAAAGCGGACATCCTGATTGGTTCGGTCTTTCCAGGTTCCCGTCCCCTAAAGTTCTCTTTTGACGCCGTTTCCACTAGTCTCGGCACCGGAGTCATCACACATCTGATCTGGCCAATTGGAGTATCGGCTTTGCGAGGAAGTGGAGCCATAGATGACTAGGTAGACAGGTTGATTGAGTAGATTCACAACAGGTCACATAAAAACCTTTGCCGTTGGCTCCAGCAGCATGAATCTCCGCAACTCCGCTATCCAGTTATACGACAAGTCAAAGATGCCGGTGCGTAAGTGTGGGAAAGCATAGGAATTCCTCATCTCATCGAGTGAATTTGGTTTCATCATGATCACGGACTCTACATATCCTCCGGCGGCCGTCGGTTATATGAAACGGCCCATGCACTATAGCTACTCGACTTGAACGGATAGATCATCATAGGTATAAAAGAGAAGACCTGTATCTCTACTATCCGCTGAAGGACGCATTTCAAGCATTACAGGACCTAGGCCCATCTTCATTATCAATGGGTGAGGCGACGTCGCGGCAAACAAACATGAACTTTTGCAAAAATTAGTCTTACAATATGATGAAGCACGCATGATTGGGCTATGGTTCCATTCAGATTTTTATCGAAAAAGTGTACATCAAATCTGCGAGTCTAAGTTCATTTCAATCGGCTTGATCTACGAATAAGCTGCCAACCTAGCCTGATCTATTTCCACACCGATGTCACTATGGTAACGACCCCGGAATCCCTGAAGGGTATACATATATCTGCATTTCTTGGACCCGTTATCCAGACCATTTTGGATTCAAGACGGGAGGCCGCACGATGGTATAGCTCAATATACCGGGAAAAAAGAGCTTGGGCTAGGCTGCCCTCACTAAGCCTCCTCCCGAATAACGTCGAGATTCCAAGTATCAGGTGGTGCGAACTGCCTAGCAAAATGCATCGCTATATCACTCCGCATTGCTACCCAGGTGCCATCAAACTCCTTGATATACTCGAGAAAACGGATTAAAGATGCCACGCGTCCAGGGCGCATGATCCGAGCATGTAGTCCAATCGACATCATGGTTGCGCTTTCATCCGACTCACGATAGAGAACGTCAAAGGCGTCTTTGAGGTATTCGAAAAAGTCCGTGGACCCAGTAAAGCCGGGCCCGGACTGCCCGCCCCAGAAGCGTGCGTCGTTGGTGTCAAGAGCATAAGGAAGCACAAGCATCGGCCTGCCGCAAACTTGGTCAAAGTACGGACGGTCGTCATTGGTAGTGGCCGAATCATAGAGTAAGCCTTCTTCAGCCATGATACGGCGGGAATTTTCCGTAATAGGCGGCCTGGGGAAAGCGCCAAGAATCTTCTTTCCCGTGAGCTGAAAGGTTTGGTCAATGGATGTTCGGAGATGCTCTCTCTCTGTCTCCTCTGTCTGTCCAATACGACTTATAGAGCGGGTGCCATGTGAGACCATGTCGCAGTTTTCGGTCTTCAACCTCTCGGCAAATTCCGGGTTAACTAACAAGGCCTCAGAAGATACAAAGACGCTGAATGGAACTTGGAACTCTTTGAAGAGGCGTAGCAGGCGCCAAATTCCGATTCGAGTGCCATACTCGTATTCACCTTCTTGCATGAAGTCGCGCTCAGTGTCGGGGAGAGCACATTTCACCCACGACCTGGAATCACGCGAAGAATCCCCAATAAGAGGATTTCGCTCTGTCCCTTCTTCATAGTTAATTGCAAAATTGATGGCAACTTTCTTTCCTCCAGGCCATGTAAACTTTGGAGGGTTGTCCCCGTATCCAATAAAGCTTCGGGGTCTCGAGGTTGTGATGCCAGCCATGGCTGTCGCTGACTTCTAGTCGTGTACAGAGATTATATTGTAGTTACGGAAGCGTCTCATTGATTAAACCATAGTCCAGGCCCTTATATAGTTAGCATAGCGGCGATAAGAACCCCAACACGGATGGTTTCTGTCTTGATTAGCCTTTGTATACTTTGGATTCTTGAGTAATATAATACAGTTTGTTTATCTGTTAATCGAATTGGAATCACTGACGAGGCATCCTTCGGACCTGTTCTACCGAATGTTGCTAATGCTATCTAATTGATAGGTGATTTAGGTAAAGTCCGATTGTACAATCTTCTGGAATTATGGGATTCTGTTCCCCAGGGACACTGCGTTCAAGGAGATAGCACTAGGTAGGTACATTAGCGGGGTCGGCAGATTAGTTTTCGGCAGTCTGCGTCAAACGCCGGAGTGTTATCAAACTACAATGATCCCTGTATATTTCCGAGTCTTCATCTGGTTTTGAATACTTATTGGAATCTAAGCATTTGCCAAGTCCAATATCAAGCCATTTGCCTTCAAATTAGGATTGTCTGTAGCACGGGTGGATTAGCTTGAAATTTCTAACTTCTTCTTCCTAGATTGACTTCCAACTCCATTCCATGCTTAAAGGCATTGCAGATATTAATTGAATGCCCCTCTATAAAATTGAATAAGAATATCGACGTTCTAGGACCCTGAATTTGTGCTTCCTAGTAAGGCCGGCGTTGAGGAATAATAATATTCAGTAAATCTATCCTTTAATCCCCTACAGAAGGCGTGTACTATATAACATAGAGAAGAAATCATAGACAGTCACGTGGACTAAATTCCGAAAGAAAATAATCGATCTTTAGAGTTTTAACTCCTGTTTATTGCTGACTCTTATCGTCTCAAGATCTCACCATGCCTCCAGGTCGTACAGCTGGCTAAAAGTAACTGATTGTCCCCTCCGAAGATCAGCTTCTCTCTCTTACAGCATATACTCGAAGTGGATGCCTCGGTCATCAGTATAACCGTTTGTAGTGCCACCTTCAGCAATAATTTTGGCCTTCTTGCTGTTTCTATATCTGAGCAGCATCCAACACGAGAAGTACAGCCCCGCAGCGACGACGGTTAAGCCCGCAGAAATCGCATTGCCTTGTATATACCTTGGTCCTTGGTACGAGGGGTACAATTGTCCCGATACAAGAGCCGACAGATTGGCGATAGAATAAGCAAATGGCATGGCAATCGCACGCTTTCCGTCCGGTGACATGTTGGTGCCGACCCAAGCGACCACCAGAGTAGAAATACTGTAGAGCCCTGGTCAGAGTTAGATATCAAATTAACGCCATGGGGAGACTAAGACTGACCCAAAACAAGAATGAACATTCCAGCGTACCCAGCCTGAGAATTGGGTGTTCCAACGCATATGAGATAGCCTACCATGACTGGAAAACAGCACACGACCAAAAACGGGGCGCGCCTTTGCCACCTGTCGGAAAGATAACAATTCGTCACAAGACAAAAGGCACCAACAGTATAGACAGGAATAGTCATGTATTGGACCTGGAGAGACGTGTAGCTGCAGAGACGTCAGTTAGTCAGTTCAGCACGCAAACAAGGCAGATTTCACTTACCCCAAACCTTGGATGATAGTAGGCAGGAAGACTCCAAAGCCAGTGATAGCAACCGATGAGGTGAAAAAGGCGATTCCGACAAGGTAAACAAACGGGTCCGTGAAAGAAACTTTGATCCATTTGCGGTTGGCATTAGCCTCTCCTTCGCCTCTGTAGAGTGTATCTCGTTCTTTTCTCATCCTCATTGTTTCTTTTTCCTCTGCATTAAGGAACCAGGCATCCTCGGGCGAGCGTGGTAGGATAAACCAACAGACTCCACCGACAACCATTGTGAGGCAGAATTCGACGATAAAGAGCCATCTCCAAGGTGCGAGGCCACGGCGGGTTCCCATCGTCTGAACCGCGTATGCAAACAGGCCACCAAAAGCACCGGATGTACAATTAGCAAGATTCGTCATCATGATTCGCTTTCCAGCTGCCCGACGAGGATAAATTGTTGAAAATAGATACGCAAATCCGGGCGATATCCCAGCTTCGCAAGCACCCAACAAGATGCGGACTGCGATAGCCTGACCGTAGTTTCGAATAAAGGCGGTACCCAAAGTAACAGAACTCCAGAGAAGGAGAGCAGTTCCAAGTGCTTTATTGGGGCCGAACTTCTTGACCGCCATGACCCATGGGACCTCAAATCCAACAAAACCAACACTTAGAAGGGTAGTAATATTCCCAAATTCATTTCCTTTTAGTCCGAGATCCGCCTCGAAACCGAATGTTTTAGCATTTCCAATCTGCGTATACAGTTAGAAGTGCGGTTGTCATAGGTTTTCATTTCGCTTACATTGTTTCGGTCCAAAGAAGACAGAACCATGAAGATAAATGCCACTGGAACAAGCCATCGGTCAAATTTTCTAAGGGCGGCCCTTTCTCTTTCAGGTGAAATATAGATAATATCTTCGGATGAAGTTACGGCCTCGTTGGAAATGTCGATGGGACCCTTTTGATCCGGTACGTTGTACTCCATGGTGATGTCGAGGACAAGTGATCACTTAATGCAGTTGAAGAGAAAGATATGAAAGGAGAATTGAACAAGCATTGGTGCCTTTATGGCAAAATCAAAACACACAACCGATTCGGAGAACTACTGGACACAAGCGTTATCAATGTATGTTGAGAGATTTGAAAGGATCACCTGAGGATAGGCCACTATCGACGAGCCGCCCATGGCTTTCAAAGCGGCGAATGCGCAAACAGCCGATGGCGTAAGAGATGGAAACAGTGTGAAGTTCGGATCAAATGCCTCGCGCCCCCTCGTTACTAAGATAATCTGCGGCATGATAACCTCGCCGGTTGATCGGGAATTGGCCACGATCCCTATCTAGGACGCTCCACCCAGACGCTTGCATGACTCTGGATTATCTATTACCATTTGCAATAGATAAGTACAAACCCCACATTATTAGTTCGGCAATTGCTTCACGAATTGCCTATCGAGCCGGCTACCGTCACATTGCATTGGACATCGCTCCATGTATAGAAAATTGATTCGTGGCTCTCAAATCGCCGGAAGCTCCCCCAAGTTGTATCGGTCTTTTGTTAAATGTGCGAATGAAACACAGAGAGAGCAAGAAAGGTTTTTTGTCTACGTTGTAGCAATTTATTCACATATATCCTAAGCTCTGCAACCTTTGCATAGGCACTGATGTCTCTCCCACATTGACATATTTGCGTGCTACCTTCCTTATTCTTTTCATTTCTTGCAAGCTCAGTAGCTGTTCCTCATCCCCTTCCAAATACGAGGTACGTCTCAAAGGCAAATCTCAAAGTATGGAGCGCTTTCACGTTACCGCCACTGGCCACAGCCTCAACTATCTTCCCGAATACATAGCTCAGAGGCACGGATTCTTCAAAGAGCAAGGACTTAATGTCTCTGTGACAGTGCCTGCACCCTGGGACCTAGTGCTTGATGATCTTGCTGCTGGTAGGGCCGAAGCTGCGCTCGGGGGAATCTGGGTTCCTTCAATGTACCGTGGGAGGGGAACAAGTTACACAGCTTTTGCCCAAGTATCCAACAGGGCACCACTCGCTCTAGTCAAGCGAGGCAGCTCTGAGGGCTTCAAGGTCTCAGATATCATGGGGCGGACAGTGCTCCTGAAGTCTGGCAACGGAGCCAGCGTCGGGCTCTTTTTTAAGATGATGCTGCGCGATAACGGCATCAACCCAAACTCCGTGAATTTCGTGCAGGATCTCGACGGCGCCATGTTGGGAAAACTCTTCCAGGGCGGCATGGGTGACTACTTTTTCGTCGACAACGTTACAGCCCGTGTAATGGCTGCCCGAAATCCCAACGTGTCTGTGGCCATGGAGATGGTCACTGATGGGGGGGAGATCCCCTGGAGTGTATACTATCGTGAGACTGAGGCCACCACTCCTGGTGTTTTAGATGCACAGAAACGATTTTGTGTGGCCCTTGGCAAGGCCATAGACTGGATTCTCCACAACGATGCTGAATCGTTCCAAGACGAGCTCGCACAAATTTTCCCCAAAATTCCAGTCGATATTCTTATCGCTTTAACCAATCTATATCGCAGCAAGGATATGTGGACAACCCCCACGGTGTCGCGCAAGGGATTTGAGCGCTGGCAGAAAGGCATCGCAGACGGGCTTCTTGTCGAAAAGCCATTTTGTTACGAAGCGATTGTCAACAATGGGCCGGCCTCAGAAGCACGAAGCCGAGAGCTTTTGCAAGTTTAGCTAGCATCGACTATAAAAAGCGTATCGGCGACAAAGTCTAGAAGCAATAAGTATATAGGCCGCGCATCAGGTCAATACTATTAAGTGCATACGATATTGCCCATCAGGTTAACGTTTAACTTGGCCGTACGATAAATTCATAAGACAAGGACTTTCCTATTCACAATCATTCCTGATACTAAGCTTATGTACAATTCTGTAAACCACAGGAGCCTAGCATGTCCTCGCTCTCAAACAACTGTGTCACCCACTCTTCAATATCCCACTGATTTCCCTCATCAGGATCTACTCCTCCGCTTTCCGTTGCAATAGCGATTCCTAGGTCCTCGACCTCTTTTAACATGTTCAGATGTCCCTTTGCAGCCAAGCTTCCACATTTCATCATATAAGTAAGGACACCTTTACCCGACTGGTATGTTTTTATATCGTCCGGTGTCTCTTTGAAGCTTCCAGGTCGCCGGGCATTAACTGACATTGCTAGACAGAGGATCATTAGGCTTGTGAATAAATGCATGTTTTCCATGAATCCCAATCGTGCTTTATTTGTGACTTTCCGTTAACGTTGAATGAAGCGGTGTAGCCAATTTTCAGCATATAAATTAACTTACTGATTAGACCAGCAGACTGCACGTTGATCATGATGAGCACATTTAACCGCGCTGACTTAAGGCAGTTGTTATTGATATATTCTAGATCCTCCTGAGATGCATTTGATGTCTCGTTTGCGAATATACAAGCTACTTGTCTTAGAATAAGTGGCCGGAGCAAAAGTAATATGCACTAGGGTATATATTAGCAGTGCGAATCTCGTAAGGAAGCGGATACTTCGTTCAAATTTGCATCTCTTACATGGTTGAAGCGCAGGTGCATGTTAGCCAGGGAACGCTTGAAGGGTAGTGATCTTGTACGCTCATTTATATCATTTCCAGTCTCAGAAACCATATGGGCTGGCAGGCTTTCTCTCCAAGATTCAAGTCTTTGCAGACTGGGACGAAGGACGGTTTTGATATCTTGTGCATCGTCAAGGCCGATGTGAGACACACTCTTCAAGTTTCTTGTTTGAATTATAGTGAGCTGTATACGGGCAGTTAGAAAATCGGCATCGCTGAACTCCTCGGTCTCATCCGGTGAAAGTTCAGCTTGCTTAGGATATGCAAGGTCGGTTTGATCAACCTCGAGGGCAGGCGGCAAGCCAGTAAATGTGCTGGTCATTCTGTCCAGACAGTATGTCGACCACCATAGACGTTTCCTGTGCTCTCGCTCAGCCGGTGAACAATCAATCGATGCAGATACCTTATGCAACTGCAACGTGTTGCATAGTCTTGCACTCGCTCCTGTATAATTGTATGCAGCTTTTTGCCTGTTGAGTTGGTTTGAGTAGAGAGCCTATCATCGCGATTAGAATTGTATGGAAGCTTTGGAACCCATAACTCCTGGGCAGAACCTACTATCAAGTTCAAAATCTCAATGTGGTCAACCGTGGTATTTTCGTAAGAAATTTTCAGTATCATCAACGCCTGTTCGAAAAACTCTTGCCCGGGGATAGGGATGTATTCCGATGGCATATTTTGGCTTGGCCGTGATATAGGGTCATAAAGATCCAACTTTATCTCGGGCTGTCTACCAACATCGACTGACTCTGCGAGCGCGAGTACGACGAGGAGTTTGCATAACCAAGCGCGATCTTTCGATTCTGAGGAATCCACTGTCATATAGGTATGATGCAGCTTTTGATGAAAGGTTTGTGGACGGAACAAATGCCAGTCATGACCTAAATAGATCGAAAACTGCTCAAGTAGATGAACCACATATGGATATGGAGGGAGTCTAAAGGTACAAGTCGAATCTAGGCGGTATATGAGTAAGTAGACGTGAGAATAGTCCAAGTGAGACCTACAAGTTGTATCAAACTTCAATGCGGCATACTCATATCTGGCGGGATATGACACCCGCAGCTCGGATTCGTCAGTAATGCTGAGACTGTCTAATCGCGTGCCCTGACCACCCGGCGAAGTCTTCAAGTCTCGAATCTCCTTCAATTTGGACACAAAATGTTCTGCAGTTGAGTTTTCGCCCAAGAGCTCATAAGAGCGACGACCAAAGTTGTGGTCGGGTTCTTGGATGGGCTGTTTTCCAGGACTATCCACGGCGTCGGAAGAAATACGTCTCGAAGACCTCCCCGATGATTTTGCAGCGAGCAAACCGCCCTCGAGCTGCTTAAGATAGCTCTCCGTGACTGTCACCTTCCGATCGCGGATAGCATAAGTACATTGGCGATTTGACAAGGCACAATTCCGACAGGGTTTCTCTATGACTGTATGTAAGATCCTGCAATTTCGCATTATAGCTTAGACCGGCGCAATACCTCTATCACATTTGACTTTCTGTCTGTGACATCGATGGCAGGCGAGTCCTCGGTATTCGCGTTTGGTAATCCTAGGCGGCATCGTTACGTTTTTTCCTACGGCCCTCACGCGGGCTCGGCCTCGATTGGTATCAATGTACACTCTGCACGTGTCCAGTGCTTAAAGTGATAATGATTGCTTCTCTCGCCGCGGACAGAGTTGAGATGCAACGCCAGTATGTTATCGGTAACGACTTATCGGAGACTTGATCGGCGTTTACAAAATATGCCTATCAATTATGGGCCGGGCTAAGACAGAATCGAGAACCTCCGAGGTGGTTGGGACACTGGCAAGACCGGGAATAAGTCGGCATCTGTATAGCAGAGTTAGTACCTTCAAATATTTGAGACAGTTCAAAAGTGGGGTGGGAACAAGGGAGGATTTTATAGCAAATAAGGCGCTGGTATCTGGAGTTCGGGAAGTTGATAACACTCAAGACAATAACCAGTCGATGAATAAAATCAAAATAATATTGATAATATAATGTTTTTTCTCTCTCTTTGGTTTTGACTTTGGGCAGCGGATAATATAGAGCGCTTTGGTATTCCAACCCACCTGAATGCATGTTTGACTCTGGGGTAGGAACGTTAGGTTCTTACTCTAGCGACCACTTTCTTTCAGTTGCTTGTCTACAAATTATGAGGAGAGTATGATTGGATTGAATTGAATAAAGAGTAAGTTATCTAAGTAGTTACAGGAGAGGAGGAGAGAAGGGTATTATCTTGGAGTGGACAAGGTTTTATCCAGTCCAGTCGAGGTATAGGGTAAACTACACGTACTTGGCATGGGCTACGCTCCAACGGCTGTCCAATATGCCCAAGTACCAGCCTGAGTTACATAGTAGAGCCAGCAACCAAATCCAAAGTTAGCAATTATACATTGGTGATGGACCCGCTTGATAATGTTTATTTTCAACACCAGCACTGTGACTTATAGCTAGCGCCTGGACCGCATATACACTTAGGATCATCGTCTATTACACAGTAGTATGTCTTATTCTGTCTGACGCAAAAACTCTCCTAGAAACAGGTTAGTATAGATACAAGGGCTGGAATAGAGGAGACTAACAACACCTGGTGGGGTGTTCTTACGGCCCTGGAGCTGGAGGTAGATTTCTGGCTTCTCAATGAAATGATCGCGGGCAGCGAGATAGTATGCTCTAGTGTTATCAAGCTGAGTAGTAGCCATGCCAGCAACGGCAAACAGTGAAGCAATAGTCTTAATGAAATGCATTATAAAATCTCGGAAGAAGTAAAGGGTTGGCGATAATCTATTTGATATAGGTAGGCAAAAGATTAAGGAAGATGCTTTGTTGTCTTTGAATCCCAAACTGACCAAGGAAAGGAAGCTTTATATAACCTTTGGCTTCCTGGCTTGTCTTGTTTTTGTTCTCATATAGGGAAATTAAACTACTAGGACCCAGGCCTTTACGCTCGAGAATTTGGACATTTCGGCTTCGATTGGATGATGTCTGAACCAAAATAGATACCAGGGAGTTCAATGCAGCGTCTACGCGTCCACGTAAGTGCCGTCATCTCTGTTGATGATAAAGTCAAAATGATTTAGCCCCTTGGCTCCCCTCACTGTCCGTTGTTAGTAAATTACGAGCCTACAGGCCCTTGTGCGCTGAGTGAGACAATGCGTTAGGCAGCGGCACAGCCAGGGGACATTGGCAACAGAGACTGCTCACCCACGATACATACTCATCAAGTCCCACTTTGTGAATCTCAGTCTTAGCTACGGTAGTCTTATTCCCAGAGCTGCTATCAGTAACCCCCTCCTTTCACTCAAGGATAAGGAAGTATTGCTAAATGTACTGCCGGGAAGATCTGGGTCCGCTCTTGTAAAAGAGCGGGTGGTATCCATGGATGGTATTTGGGTTTCGCGCTAGAAAATCCTCATTGGATCAGCGAGCGTTCCGCGGGCCGAGGAGGCCCCCTCAAATATGGCCCACCTCCGCGGCCGATTGCTCACCCACGATACACACTTATCAGGTTCCATTCCTCGGCTACGTGAACCCAGTCTTATCACAGAGGAATTAATTAGTAACGACTGATTTCAATATCTCTTCGAACACTTCTCCCCAAATCATGCAGAGTGAAACGGGCAAAGGGCGTTCGTCCAAGTCGCAAGGGCACCCAGCGTGTCTGCCATGCAGACGCAGGAAATCACGTTGCAAGTTTGAGCCGGGGTCACAAGCATGCCTGATGTGCCGCGCTCATGAGTCCAACTGCGTGATGGCCTCGGGGCCAGAGCTGAACCCGCGGCCTCCGTCCACACAACAAGCTAGAGGCAAGGTTCCTACCCCTCGAAAGAGAGCTGCCCCGGACGCTGAAGCATCTCAGGAGCAGGATGCGCATGTCAGAGTCTCTTCGGAACGCAGGCTCTCTCTAGCAACTCCACACGCCCTCAGCTCGGAATCGCAACCCGCACTTACTGCTCTTGCGCCACAGTTTCCTGGTACACCTTCTTCGTTATTTTTTGCTTCAACACCAGCCGTCGGAAACCACCCGCTAGCCCTGGACGAGGCTGAAGATGATAGCCCTCATATCATGGGACCAGCTGTCGCCAGGGATAGGCACTTGCTGGAGGACTACTTGTCGATTGTCCAGGCCGGCAACAGAACAAGAACCATCCGGCCCGCCTTACCGGGTATTGCCACTGTGCCGGTGGTCTTCACCAAGGTCCAGAAAAGGCCAATTGGCGTTGCTATGGACCCAAGCCCGTCCCATGCCAAGTTGCAAGTGATTACAAAGCTTCTAGAGCCTTACCGAGAACAGGTGGTAAACATGTAAGTACCTTAGACATAGACCATGTTCGCCTGCTTCGAGTTGACAGGGTGTCATATCCTAGGTACCTGAACAAGGCCAACAGTTGTTTCCCCATCTTGGACGAATCCTTTTTTGTCGAACCTTCAATTATCACTCGCGGTCGCATCTCTCCAGCAGTCTTAGCGTGCCTATACGCACACTCTATTATCTATTGGCAACATGATCCCGAGCTATCCCGCCACCATCACCCGGACGGTAGGTTCATTTGGAACCTGGCTTTGGAGGCCTTATACTCTGAACTCCACTTGTCACCTGGCATGCCTTCCATTATTGCTATTCTGTTGAACGTCGGAGGCCGTCCAACTACCACGATGATCGGGAACGGAATGCTGCTCGGGAGCGCCATCTCTTTGGCCCACTGTCTCGGGCTGAATCGAAATCCGATAACATGGGATATACCAGACCAAGAGAAGAATCTACGCACGCAAATATGGTGGTGTCTTGTCATCCATGATCGTTGGTAAGCGCACTCGGTCCTGATTTTAGGTCAGATCCTGGTCGGTTTGCTTGGCATGGAATCTAACTGGCGTTACTTCTAGGTCAAGCCTGATGTATGGAACCCCGCCTCACATCCGACAAAACCACCACGACGTCCCCGTCCCAAACCTCATCCGACAGAAGGGAAGTCAAGGAAATGAAACTGCCGCAGACGAAAGAATCAAGGTCTTTGAAGCCTTGGCTAGCTTAACAGAGGCTTTGGGCCCATACCTCGAGCAATTGTACTCTGTCCGAACGAGGCCGCACAGCCGATTCGACCGAATAGGCTACACCTTGAATCTCAACTCATGGATTGACACACTCTCTGGAAAAGTTCGAACGATTATCATCCGTGGGACGGATCTTGACGTACCTGGCGCTGCCAACCTCCGCTTGTGCTTCCTGGCTGCGAAGTTCTTTAGTAGACGCGTCGATCTGAATACCGAAATGGGTGGCACAGTCATCGACCAGATTTCTGACGATAAGTTATTTGAGCTTCGAGGGATAGTGGAGGAGATTGTTGTCTTCTTACACGAGCTTACTCCCAAGCAACTGGGAGATTTCTGGCTACCCACTGTCGCTTTTGTCTTCTCCTCCACCATTACATTTCTTGTTCGTCTGGCGGTTCAGGTCGAGTGCAACACCTCTGGCCCTTCACAGGGCATCTCTCTGTCTTTGGCAAAAGATATGGTTGCATCGCTGCGATCATACAAAGAAGAATATGGATGGGAGCTGGGGGACATATGTGTGAATCAGTATGGCGAATTGGTTGAAAACCTGTTTGCACAGCAGAGTGCCGGACTGCCTGATGGAGGGTGGGTTGATGCGACTCCGGGAGCAATTTCTGATCCTGCTTTCTTGGAGTCCCTCTTTACAGATCAGTGGGATCCTATATTATGGGGCCAGCAGATTTGATGAACATTAATGTACCTTACTATGGATTTGATTTTCTCGAACGTGTGAGGGTGTGGTGAAAACATTAAACTGTGTAGATTTCATTACCAAATATCTAACACGGTTATTTTAGGGTGTTGAGACTAGTTGGGGAACAGACCAGTTGATATTTTCCGAGAAACTCCCTTGATCCGCCAACTGATATGTTATAAGAATGGGTAACTGGTCACTCCCTACCAGGGTTTTCGTAGATCTCCCTGCATCGTAGGAGCTAATCATGAGAAGGGGGGATGTATTGAAGTTGTTAACCTCGGAAATCATCAAGGCTCCTTGTCCCTGGTAATCCAAACGTAATCGTCAAGATAACAGATATCCAGCCTATCTTGGGACCTAGTATAGATAGCATAGTTCCCGATGAAGTTAATGATCGGACCCTGTTCCATTCCCTGTGACATCCAGAATATGAGCGCCGCGGGGCTCTCATCATGCCGCGGACGCCAAATCATCGTTCTAGGCCTTGACGCCACACAATCAAACTAACCCCAGAGATAACAATCACCCCACATAGTATGATACTGGGGAAATGGAGCCTCCCCTCGTTTCGTTGTAGATATAAAGCCCCTCGCTTTTGCTATCGATGCAGATACAAAGCACTTTATTCTCTTACTAACATACAAAATCGAACAGTCTCAAATTTGACAGTCCATAGACTATGGCCTCAGCACCATCCGAAATTGAAGCTGGAAAGGCTGGTCTCGAAAGCCCCAAACGGGTTGGAACCAACTACGATGAAGAGTTGAATAAGGAGCAAGCCTTGGAAGACACCGTTCCGAATGGTCGACTGAACCGAGGGCAAGTCGGCGATTCTACCCTACCCTTGCTTTTTCATATCTCCCAAGCTGACAGGATGCGAGAACAGGCTCAAGGCCCGTCATGTACAATTCATTGCCCTGGGAGGCTCCATCGGTACTGGGTTGTTCCTTGGTATTGGTGCCGCTCTGACCAAAGCCGGTCCACTCTCGCTCCTTCTCGGGTACACCCTTACCGGTTTTGCTATCTACGGCATGCTTCGATCCCTCGGTGAGATGGCCACCTGGCTTCCTTTGCCCGGCGCTATTCCTCAATTCTGCACGAGATACGTTGATCCTGCTCTCGGTTTCGCGGTCGGCTGGAATACCTGGTATCAAGCAGCAATCACCCTCTGTGCAGAACTCTCGGCTGCCTCCATCGTCATCGGGTACTGGGACGGTGCAAAGGATATAAATGTCGCTGTCTGGATAAGCATCATCTTAGTGCTCGTTGTTATCCTCAACATCTTTACGGTCTCGGTTTACGGGGAGGCAGAGTTCATCTTTGCATCAATCAAAGTCATCACCATTGTAGGCTTGCTCATAATGACTTTTGTGGTCATGCTCGGGGGAAACCCAGAGCATCGTCGCCTGGGTTTCACCTACTGGGTTGAGCCAGGGCCTATGAAGGAATATCTCGTGGCAGGTGCAACTGGGCGTTTTCTCGGCTTCTTCGCCACTCTAGTCAACGCCGCGTTCTCTTTTGGAGGAGTGGAAATGGTAGCTGTCGCAGGAGGCGAGGCTGAAAACCCGCGACGAAACATTCCCAAGGCTGTCCGGAGGGTTTTCTGGCGCATCCTGCTCTTCTATGTGTGCGGTTCCCTTGCTGTCGGAATCCTCGTTGCTTCGGATGATGAACGTCTATTGTCAGCTCAGAAAAGCAACGCTGCGGGAGCAGCGCAATCTCCATGGGTTGTTGGTATCCAAAACGTGGGCATCACTGTTTTGCCGTCTATTATCAATGCAGTCGTGTTGACATCGGCTTCTTCTGCTGCAAACGCCTTCGTCTATTCAGGTTCACGATACCTGTACGCGCTCGCACAAAATCATCAAGCTCCTGGGTTTTTGCTGCGCTGCAACAAAAAGGGCGTTCCTTACTTTGCCGTACTAGCAACTGGAGGATTTGGCGTTCTGACTTACCTGTCAGTGCAAAAGAACGGCGGCGCTGCACAGGCATTCCAGTGGTTCCAGAATTTGGTTACAATTTCGTCCCTGTTTACATGGGCGTCCGTCTGCCTGGCATACATTCACTTTAACAAGGCACTCAAGGCCCAGAAGGTTGATCGCAACTCATTGGTCTTCAAGACTCCAGGCCAACCATACTTGGCCATGGGTGCTCTTATCTTCTTTTGCATAGTAATTGTATTCAACGGCTTCTCAGTCTTTATTCATGGACAATGGGACGTGGGAGGTGAGTTGAGTCATTTCTTTCAGAGGTTGCAAGTCACGTCTTCCTTTGATTGACTTGTGATTATGAGAATCTAGTACTGACTGAGTATGTTTTAATCTTTAGCTTTCATCGCTGCCTACATCAATGTCCCCATTTTTGGCACACTTTTCATCGTGTGGAAGTTGGTGAAGAAGACCAAGTTTGTGGCTGCCCAAAACGCTGATATCATTACCGGAAAGGAGGAGATAGACGCCGAGGATGAGTTGTGGGAGGAGCCAAAGCCAAGGAACATTTTCGAGAAGATCTGGTTTTGGATTGCGTAGTTGCCATGGGCTTGCAAATCTAATATCGCTACCAGTCATACTGAATTAGTCAAGAGTACGCTGATAGATACTCTGTTGTATACGTGTTATATTCTGAAAGTGCAGTCTACAAAGTCACTTTCTAATCTGAACATTCAATAAATAGAAGAAGCATTGTTATCCAAACACAAGTAGATTATCTACGGCCCTAATAGATGTATCATAATTGGAGGCCTACCGTCTTGTTATATTGTTTCATGTTTTACCTTGGATTGGTCAGTAGATCACAATATGGAAATTATGTGAGGAAAATAAAAGCAGGTCTGTCCTTGAAAGTTTCAAGCTCAGAAATCGTTGCTCAAGGATATTGAAAGAGGTTCAATATGATTAGCTTGACTTCGGATTCACTTGTTAATGGTTTATTTTCTACAAAAAAAAAAACAGAAAACTATATTTCATACCCAGCCAACCCAACAAAGAACCGGGCAAGACCCCAAGCTCCAGGGTCTGGAACGTGCTCAAAGCCAGAATCGCCAAGATATACCGTCCTTCCCAACTTTGCTTTTAAGGCTTTAGTCGCCTCTGCTGCCTTCATTGACGCAGATGCAGCTTGTTCCAAGTTTCCAGTCTTTTCAAGAATTTCAATGAAAGGATATAATGCATCCACAAGGGTTCTGTCTCCAGGCCGAGCCGGTGTGTACTTGGCCAAAGCATCTCGACTCTTGCTTAGAGCGATGGCCCAGGACTTCGATGAGAGTTGTCCTGGTCCGAGAGATCTCAACGACCCTACAAGTGAATTGAGGAATATAGCGTAAAGAGCACCGGATGTACCATCCATAGAGTTCTCGACAATGAGAACTATATCGGCTAAATCGACAACGATATCTCCCGTCAGATGGTGAGAAGAGACATGATCAAGAACAGCTATTAGTTAGTAATTTGATTAGCGTCGTGAAGAAATTGCGTTGAGAATATCCTTTGACTTGCCTTGTGCGCCTCTTTTAAGTGTTGTGCCACAGTCGCCATCACCAACAATCACATCAAAGCGCGTTATTTCCGGCTCTGAGGCTATGACTGAGTTCAAGGCGGTTACTAGAGCTGTCTCTGTAATCTGGACATCTGACTTGAGCCCGCTAAGCTCTTTTTCACCCTTGCTCGCCACATTCTGCCCTTGTTTACCTAAGTCTCCTGCCTCCCAGGTCGCCTTGGGGATAGAGGATGGCCAGCCAAGCGCTTCGCAAGGGTAGTCTAATAAGTCAATAAGGCTGAGACCGTTGATACCGGTATTGACCAGACGAAGCAGAGTTATGCTGAAACCGCGGGCATCAAGGCTTGTCATATAGGTGCCACTGAGAACCCGCAATATGCGTATGCCGTATTTCTGTTTAAGCTGCAATGCTGCTTCAGACAAAATTCCTCCTAGCTCCAAGGGACTCAATCCTCCAAGGTTATTCACCAAAAGAACAACGTTCTCGGGATTTCCTGTAAAATCCACGAATGACCTCTCTGGGTCGTCTTGAGCCAGAAGGTACTGTAGCATGGTGGCAATGAGATCCGAAAACGTGGTATTGCTGGCACGACACCACCCCTGTTCATTATGAATCCCCATGCCAATTTCAGCCTCATCGGGTGCCAGCTTAGATGTATATTCCATAAATGATTCTTGAACCCCAGGAACATGCACTCGCTCCAGGCTGGCACCAATCGTGACCAAGTTATCAGCGACGAGCTGGGCTAGGGCAGCAACCTGAGTCAAGCCATAACCCATTGAAGCGAGGGCGCCGCTCAGCTTATGTACCAGCACAGTTCCAGCAATACCGCGGCGTCCAACTTTGCCGGCGTGAGAACGACCGACGGCAACATCGTCTCCCACAACAACCATCTGGACATTAGTTCCTTCAGCCCTTGCTGCTTCGATGGCGACACCGAAATTGAGCACGTCGCCGGTGTAGTTCATAACGATAACGAGAACACCGCTGTCGGGGTCCGACTTAGACTGATGAGGCACTCGTCCTATGATGGCAGTGCGAATCTGTTGTGCACTTGGGCTGGCAAATATGGTGCCCGCTACTGCAGCACTCAGTAGCCCTGGGCCAACCATACCGGCAAAGGACGGCTCATGTCCAGATCCACCTCCTGAGATCAGGTGCACCTTCTGCTGTTGAGGTATGAGCCCTGGCCGGGTGTACAGAATTTTGTTGGCGGCATCTAGACCAACTCCGGGGTTGGTCACTGTCACTGCCCGGAGTGCTGACTCAACCAGATATGCCGGGTCGTTGATGAAGTGCTTAGTCGACATTCCGGGAGAGCTTGATCAAGGTGTCACTTCTCTCAATGGCAAGGTCCAAGAAAGCTTGGGGCATGTCCTTCCCCATAGATAAGGCCATCTCGGCAACCCAGAGCCGGCAATATCTGTCAATGTCTTCAACCAATCTACGCCTCGGGGAGCTCCTGCATCCATTCATTAGTCTCAACTTCCGTGGAGTGGGCAGAACTTGCTGCCGCGCGGACTAACAAGGTATTTCTCGCCCGCGGCCACCTGCCCTCGTATCTCAATTGCGGGAACCGGTTAACGACTAGTCCCAACCATCTCATTACTGGTATAGGAAGCATGAATGGGTGTAGCCGCGGCCCCTCTGATGCAACGTTCTGTGGGGCCGCGGGATGGATCTCTTCGAGAATCGCGGCCTCGTCCAGCTCAGTACGCGCTCTACGGTTATGTAGATTATATGTGACCCTTTCTCTAAATTCTAGAATCAGGACAAAGTATTTAATAACAACTGATGGTTGATTCAGTGACAGGAAGATAAACATAAGCATCAGAACAATCGACTACAACATCATCTCTATCCTCAACAAATCCTAAACCACTAAAGAGATGTTGGCAAACGGCGCTTTGACCAAGTTCTGGTCTAATGCGGACAAGTACTTGATGTACACTGGTGTCCCATTTTCCCCGGCCGTCATCATCAAAGCCAAGGGTACCAAACTTTACGACGCCGATGGTCGCGAAATCCTCGACTTCACGTCGGGGCAGATGAGCTCGCTCCTTGGTCACTCTCATCCTGAGGTTGTCGAGGTGGTCAAGCGCTATGTCGGCGAGCTTGACCATCTTCTCAGCAACATGATCAGCCCCCCTGTGGTTGACGTTGCTCAACGCTTAGCTAGACTTCTCCCTGGCGACTTGGAGAAATCTTTTTTCCTAAACACTGGCTCTGAATCGACCGAAGCTGCCCTGAAAATGGCAAAGTGCTATACCGGAAAATTCGAAATTGTCGCTTTCTCTGCCAGTTACCACGGCCTCACTCAAGGATCAGGCTCTGCCACTTACTCTGCCGGTCGCAAGAACGGTGGGCCAGTGATGCCAGGCCAAATATCCTTCCCTGCGCCGTACCCTTATCGGTCCGTATTCCGCAAGGCGGATGGATCGTATGACTGGGAGACCGAGCTCGAATTTGGCTGGTCTATGGTGGACCGACAAAGCGTTGGATCTCTTGCCGCCTTCATTATGGAACCTATCTTATCTACCGGCGGTATCCTCGTGCCTCCCAAGGGCTACTTGAAGCGCATGGTCGAAGAGTGCAAGAAACGTGGAATGCTCGTGATCATGGATGAGGCCCAGACCGGTGTAGGCCGCACAGGACAGATGTTTGCCTTTGAGGAGGATGAGCTAGTGCCAGACATTCTATGCCTCTCTAAGACCCTGGGTTGTGGTCTTCCTCTGGCATCGGTCACCACAACGGCGGAAATCGAGAGGGGTTGCAGACAAGCTGGGCTTCTATGGCTTACCACTCACCTCAACGACCCATTGACTGCTGCGGTCGGTGACAAGGTGTTGGAGATTGTTGAGCGTGACAACATCCCGCAAAAGGCTGCTGAGCGTGGTACTCAGCTCCGCGATGGTCTTCTCAAGCTCCAGGAGAAATACTGGTGTATCGGAGAAGTCCGTGGTCGTGGTCTATTCCAGGCCATTGAGATCATTTCTGATGCTAAGACGAAGGCTCCAGGTCCAGAATTAGGGCAGGCTGTGTCTGATCACGCCTTGAAATTGGGGCTCTCTTGCAATGTCGTCAACTTACCTGGAATGGGAGGCGTGTTCCGTTTGGCTCCTCCTGTCACTGTCACCAAGGAGGAGATTGATGTGGGATTAGGTCTGCTCGACCAGTCATTCAAGGAAGTTTTGGAACAGCGTAATCTTGCAGGGAAGCTAAAGTAAAAGTATAGCTTATAGATAATCAGAGTTCCCGTCCTGCACCGTGCAGCGTGCAGCCGATCAAAGACTACGATATCAAATACAGAATTTCACTTGTTATTTAAAGATGACATGGCTTGGAAAGACTCTAACAGGGAGGAGCTCTCTACTACTTACGCAAAGACGGCTTTGGAAAGAGGAATTAAAGGGATCAGAATAGCTTAAATTTGACCAATTACCATTTGGACTAAATTTTGAAGCTTACAGCACGCATACAGATACCACCGCAAGAGAATCATAAGCGTAGTTGAGAATAGATATGCTCCCCGGAGAGAACGGTAATATACTAGTGACTTCTATCCCAACACACCTTTATCCGACCCACCAAGAGATCCGGAATCACTTCCAAGAGTATCGTCTCCCGATGTGAGACGAGGAGTACCGGATTAGTGTGCTTGCATCTGCACTAGCACATCATGTCTGGTGGGAGCGGCTCCAGAAGGTCGCTAATGGGCCGCTATAAGGGCTATCATCGGCATCAAAGGGCAGCAGTGCTTACAACAGACTATGTGCTACCCAGTCTATGCTCTATCATTATGCAAGTTAAACTAATTGTCCGACTGGTGTTGTGTTGGTTGGCTTATGACAGGGAGGGTGGAAGGTCTCGGGATAAAGAGCCAATAACAGGTTTTCAATGTGTCATGTCTTAGGAAAGAAGTGATTTTAATCACTCAGCTTGCGGTTGGACAAATCCTTATTGCAAGGTCAAGAACCCTATCAATTTTCGCATGTTTTTCACCTTGGAGCCTTCTATCTGATGTAGTCCAGTCTGTGCTATTGTCGTCCGCCTCGACATACCTTGCTACCCTGCGAACATCCAAGGCCGACACTATATACAGGGATATGTTCGTGGGATGCTGTATGAGCGGCCCGATCTTGATAAAACCCAGCCGATTGGCGGTACGTCAATGTGGTACGTCAGACCAGGTTCAATGCATTCAGTATCGGGATATTATTTTCCTACACTGTTATGCAGATCAGTTCCGAAGAAACTACACCGGGTCCAGGCCTGGCGATTCGTATATGAGATTGATGATCACTTGATCATTTCTGAGACAATGTCTTCAATTTGGGCTTGTTAGATATACGGACCTTTCACCTCCCCGGATACTAAACAGGGGAGAAGTTGCCAAATGGAGGAATATACCGCTCACCGGGATTATTGTGCAGATCAAGAACCTTGATCGGGGTTGAATTGGGCAAGAGATGGGTTTCAACAGTATCTTGTGAGCCGATGGCATTTGGAGGGGAAAAAGCATAAATTGTCAACATCTTGCAACAATCAAATTCTAACGACATCAGCAACCATCCTCCAACATCTTCATTACGGAAGTTGTAGCCGTCGAACTATAACTTTATCATTTATCCTTCACACTTCAGTATTTCCTGACTTCCCAGAGGAGATACAGAGTGCGAGAAATAACATCGTCTTTTTTCCTCTATCCATTAGCCCGCCCTCATGTCTAGCAAGACCTATGACTATGGGGATCTAAGAGTCACCATGACAGACTCTTATCAATGGTCCTGGGATGATCGTGGAAGTGGCGCCAGACGAGACATATGTGTTTGGACTCCAGTCTTCCAAGGAAGTCTCCGCCCCTTGGGCCACTACGCTGATCCAAACCGATACTCTGAGATCAATGGCAAGCGCGCATCACTTCTTGTTGGACAAAACCCGAACACGAACCCATCCAAGCCAGCAGTTGCCCAACCGGTTGATTATAACCTGGTTTGGACAGACAAGGGAAGTGGCGGCAAGTACGACGGAGCCTTCTGGCGCCCAATTCCGCCCAACGGATATATAGCCTTGGGAGATGTTTGTACAAGTTCGTGGAATAAACCTTCCACCGGGGACATCTGGTGTGTTCGAAAAGACTTCTTTGTCAATGGGTCATTCTCCACTACGAGTGTCTGGGATGACAAAGGCTCTGGGTCCAGGTCGGACGTCTCCGTTTGGGAGATTAAGCCTGCACCCATGGGCGTTCAAGGCTCTGCCTACTTGCCAATAGAGGGAGATACTTTCCGAGCTCAGGGAAACTATTCACACCCGGACAATGAGGCTGCGCCTGTCTTACAGCTTCCTGTTGGCAAAAACTACCATCGATTTGAAGCCGATGCCCCTTTGATGGAAGCAAATCAGCTTCCGGAGAAGGGAGAGCGATTTTATCATCAGCCGCAGTGCAGTATAACACTGCCTTTCCACTGCTTCTTCAGCCCAAATAGCAAGGCTAGCTTAGCAAACATCCGCAGTCCCTTTTTGACCATTACTAAGTCCATTGCCTGGTACGCAGAATGTGTGTGGGTGAATCGGACTGACGAGACAGTTTGGCATCAAGAGAACATCCGATATGGTGTCAATAAGGAGAAGCGGGAGGAGATCAAAGGCAACGTTGGTGTTGAATTCTCGTCTACAAAGGGCGTTGTTCTCTCCAATTCTGGCTTGACGCTCAACTATCAGTTCGCGGACAACAGTTCGAGATTCCTTCCAGAATATAGCGTAAGAGAATCCGCAGAAAGCTTTGAAATTCCACCATCTACTGCCTCGGCACTCTTTACACAGCGTACTTGGATCAAATGTTCTCCCACGGGCAGTGATATTGTGGTAGGAGAAGCGGAAATTCTCCAGAGCACTGATTATCGCTACAAAGGTTGCGTCCTATAATATGAAATACGGTCCGGTGTTAAGGAATCCGCGGTGATCTGCGCCAATTCAAGTGAGATTTTATGTTTGTTTCAACACCCAAACCTCAATTAGCTTAATCAGTATTCTTGCCTTTTCAACAAAGAGTGGATAAGGGATACAAGCTACCATGTATTACCGTTTGGCAACAGATGTTTTTAGTGAGCTCACATTTGAATATAAAATGAGGTGCATTAGCTACTGACTGCTTTACGCCCATCTATTACGAGTAAAAACGATGAATTGCAGGTCGTCCAACTCATATCGCACTGGCTATAACATAAAGCCCTTGTGACTGGATTGCTGCTTGCTTCCACATTCGTTGACCGTTTCTAGCAAGTCCTCTATTAGGGGAACAGTATAGAATACGCACTACTAGTAACTAGGCATGGTTAGATATCACCCTCTGTAACGGTACTGAGTCCTAATTGTCTCAATGAACCTATACTGAGACTCTCCTGAGATCCTAAATACCAATTTGTCGTTTTCCCTGTTTTCAGGCTTTCGGGATTTGGGAATGTGTTGAACAAAAGAGCAATACCATCGTATATAGGATTTATGTCACGATACTTCTTCATCCAGTCCTCGCATTCAAGACATTCCTGGGAAATATCAAATATTACTTCCTCTTGCGTCTATAGTTTCGTTCAAGCAGTTTCTAGCTGCCTCTTCACACTTTCAGAGCAGGAGGAATTGTTTTCGAATTGACTAGCGTGCTGAAGAAGCAGAATAATCAGTTCTAGAATCTCCTTAAGCCTCTCCCCAGTAGTTGGGATAATGAGTTCTAATGGTTCGGGGGGAGTTGGTGGAGATAACCGATCAGCTGTAGGAACCAGCTCCGGGCGAGTGAGATTCTCTGTTCTGTAGTTTGGAAATGGTTGAGATACACTCAAAATTTCGAGGACATCGCGATGGGATGACAATGTGGCGGTTTCTTCAGGAGGCGGGGCTGATCTCGGTTGGTGCTCTGATGGTCGGGTAGTAGCCAAAGCCCGAAAGATATATTCCAGTACTATCTGATCTGTGGTGCGATTGAAAACTTGATCTTGACACTCCCAATTCACGGACATCCTGTTGTGCCTGCCACAGAGGAAGGAGATGGCGCGAACAAAGGCGGGGAACGTGAGGCGAGTTATCACGCCGGATGAGGGACTGAAAGGCCATTGAGCGAAGTAGATAATTAAAGCCCAGAGGGACGGCATACAATCTCTTACTCAACTCCCTCTTGAGGGAGTTGAGTGAGAAGATACGTTTCCTGTGATTGTTGATCCCAGGCTACATTAACCAGTTAATAAAAGTATTCTTGATAACCCTCTGAGGCTAGAAGTAGTAGCGCGTAGGAAGAAGCTTACAATCGTCTGACTTAGAATAACTTGAAAATACTTTCCCCAAGGTCTCACTTTCTCTCCTGTTCAATACTCATCCTAGATCAGTATGGCCATGTTGTAGATTTTTAGTGAAGTCGGCCAGCACTAAGTCTATTAACCAACCAAAACGAGATTATTTCATTAGAGGGCCGGTTTCTGGTGTTCTACTAACCTTGGGTGCAGGTTTCTCGCCATTTTTCCCGGTCTGCTTTAAATTCGGGAGTATTTCCCTCGATGTAGGGACTGGTCAAAAACGCGACAAAACTTGCGCATTCTTAGAGGAAGCTTTTGATACGTTGCATTATGAGGGATAAGGGCGCAAGCAGCTTCGAGTCAGTTGATTGTGCTATAGAGGCGTCAACTGTGCTTGTGGTCGTATAATATTCAATGTTGGTCGATGAATGAAGGAGAATGTCTTTGGCGTGAAAAGTATTGGATGATGGTGACGTGGTAATTTGTCCCCACTTTAGGCTGCTATGAAGCCACTTGACCACTCAGGATATGCCAGTCATCCTGCTCAGTCTGACCAGGACTGCGTGGTAGCTCATGACCAGTATGTCTATGGTCTCTAGCGTTCAACTGTGCTCGGTAGTCTTGTTTGGTGGAGTGAAAGTGTATGTTTCGATGATGTTCGCGACGTGGCGCCATCCTGGTCGTAGCTCATCGTCGCATCGCCTGTCAACTTAGCCAGTCAGAATCGTGCTCAGCACACAGTTTCCATGGCACAACTCAGTGGAGTTGATATAGGCCTCGTGGCAGCCGACTCATACGGATGAATCTCCACGGGCGAGCTAAGAATCGCTATATATCTGAGAAGGCTCTCGTATTCATTGAGTTGAGATCTCGGGCCTGACATCTTTCATTGCTATTTTTAACTTTATATTCAAACTGCCTCATGCGTCATCCGCATGAGCTTGAGTCTATACACACTCAGTTTTCTCGTGGTAGGATACTCCGGTTCAGGGCTTGCGTGCAACAGTCTTATCTCATTCCATGGAAGAGCACTTTCGATTACTGGGTATGGAGAGCAACAGCCTTAGTGGCTCTGTGATCCCAACGCGCTTGAAACGTTGCAGCTATTCATTATTGTCGGCAGCCGTCTGGTTCCACGGGTCATCAATGTTCACAGTATTAGCATCGAAATAAGACCAGTCAATTTCTAGTGCGTCGGATTTGGTATCCCAGATACTGAGTCGGGGCCCACTTGTCAATTCGGCCGGGTTAGATAAATTAGCTATTTTTCGACATCCGTAGTAAGAGACATGCTTTTTACCCCTTCTTATGAAAGATGCGTCTTTTGCAACGTCACGGCGGCTACGATAGTTCAATTGACTAGCTGTAAACGTGATATATTTGATCAAATGAGAGTACACACAAAACTCAAAAACTCCTTTTTATAGCTGTTGTGGAAGGTTGTTAGATTTTGGTGTGGTTGGCAGTCTGCATTTCAAGCTCGCTAACAGCTGAGGTGTTGTTCGTTTTTCCCCCAACACAATACCGTTACAATAAAGACAATATGGTTTGGTACTGCCAGACCCGACATCTAAACACGATAACTTAGCATGTCGTTTTGCAACTTTGTATTTCGATTCCTCCTAGACAGGACCTCTTGTGAAGATCAAATCTTGTGCCTGAGATGCCTGATTCAAAGTTTGAGCGTGGGCGCCTTGCCATTCGTGCCCATATCTGGATCTGGGGTAATACGGCAGCAAACCAAAGTGGATAATCAGATAGGATTTGAACTTCCTCTTCGTTGTATGTTCAATATTTTTAGCAAAGTCTCGCTAACCAACGCTGCGACCTCGTCACTTTCTACCCCTAGAGTAGTTAGTGATTATCAAAAATGCCTCCGCCATCGCAGTTGGTGGACACGTTGGGTTAGGTTGATACCCGTATTATCTAAACCTGCTGCAGACTTCTGTAGACTGTCTTGCAAACTGCGTCTGTGATGCTGAAGCTCCGAACGGCTTAGCCTCGGTTCTGCTCTTCCTTTAAATGAGCGCTACTGGAAAACTCAAGATGGACTAGAGGCGGGGTCCTTGTCCGGTTCGAGTCGTATTTTCTGACTCGCTTCGGCTCGTTTCATTAACCCACTAGCTGAGCTTAGCCTCTGCTACAGGCCTAGCCTCAAAACATAAACAAAGAATCGTAGGCTACCTCTCGGTCAGTTTATAATTAATGAAGAGAAGATCCGTGAAACCAGAATCTCTTCTTAGCTTAACAACATAAAAAACACATATCCTCTACTAAGACTTGACACCATGTCGACCGATTCGGAAGCAATGAACCGTGCAGTGGTATATACAAACCCACCGGAGCTTACAACTCATGTGGAAGAACTACCGATTCCCAAGCCGGGCTCGGGTGAGGTGTTGGTCCGCCTGTAGGTTATCTTACTCATCACCCTAAAGCCCAAAGAAAGTACTGAATGTTCGTGTGCTAGGTTCTACTCCGGCGTTTGCCATACTGACTACGGGATATGTACAAATGGATTTTCAACACTTCCTTTACCAACCCCGCAGGGTGAGATTGTCCCGGTGTTTCTGACTAGGGCGAGTAGGTAGTCGCAATGCTAACCTCCAGAACTTATCTTTGTAGGGCAAATCGGCGGTCATGAAGGTGACGATGATCCACAAGCTCAATCTCGAGACCGAGTGTGCTGATTAATTGTTCAATAGGCGTTGGAAAAGTCGTCGCTCTAGGTGATGGCGTCTCATTCCCTCAGATTGGTTCCATGGTGGGCATCAAATGGGCAGCTAGTGCATGTCTCAGTTGCGGTAAGTCCCATCTGGTGGTTCATTATGTATCCGGAGGACTCCTCTATACTATCTGCTGTGCACTTTGATGTTACATCTCTAAAAAAACGTGCTTACTTTCATTTTTTAGACAATTGCCTCGAAGGAGGCGAAACAACATGCATCACGGGCACGGTATCCGGCTATCTCACGCCTGGTACATTCCAACAATACTGCTTGAGCCAAGCATCCAACGTGACGTTAATTCCAGATGGAATCGACCTTGCGGGCGCAGCACCACTTATGTGTGGCGGAGTCTCTGTATATTCAGCTCTCAAAAGAGCTCATCTCCGCCACGGGCAATGGATTGTGATTTCAGGCGCGGGTGGCGGCTTGGGCCACCTTGCCATTCAATACGCCAAAGCGATGGGGGCTCGCATAATATCCCTAGACATCGCAGCAAAAGAGCATCTCTGTCTCGAACTTGGTTCTGATAAATTCCTCGACTTTGCCAGTTTCACCACTGATAGCGCGCTTGCTAAAGAGATTCATAAACTGACTGGAGGTGGTGCTAAAGTGGTGCTTGTCTGCTCTTCGAGTCATCGAGCCTATGCACAAGCCGTCTCATTTCTCGGTTTCCGGGGTATTCTGGCATGCCTTGGCGTCCCAGAAGGTGATTCTTTACCAATAGCGGGAGCGAATGTTCCCGACATGATTACCAATGAGCTCACCATCTTCGGTAAGCCCACATATTCAAGGTCACATGGCAAGTAATCGGCAGAAGGGAGGCTAACACATATCTACCATGGCTATTGTAGCGTCCAAAAGCGGAAATCGTCTGGAGGCGAAGGAGTGTCTAGAAATTGCTGCAGTTGGAAAGATCAAAACTCATTATGAGTTGCGACCTATGGATAACCTAACCGAGGTACGACCTCCTGGCTCTCGATGCCTAATTATACTAATCATTTGCTAGGTTTTTCAGGATATGAAGACTGGAAAGATTAACGGCAGGATTGTTTTAGATCTTCGGTAAATGCTAGTATTTTACCTTTGATTATATATATTACCCTTGGTCTTCAGCAGTTTTGTTTGTAATTTTAAATTGTAATTAGAGGTTCACCACACTGATTTATATATTCTTTGCCATGCGCTTATAAAAATTTACCATGCAGTTCGACAATGTAACTTTCTTTTGCCAAATATAGTTGAATGAGAATATTGACTTGGCATTTTATACAAACCCCCCACACGTCTCATATCGTTCAAACATGTGTTCTATCTTGTTCACCATTTCTTATATAGTTATAGTTCAATGCTGTAATAGGTTCACGAAATTTCAATACGTGCCGAGTTTACATTTAATGAAGCCTATTTCTTTGCCAAGAACAAGGTCTGCGTGTTGCAATAGCTCTTTAGTCCCTCGGGGCCCCATTCAGCTCCGAGTCCACTTTGCTTATGACCACCAAAGGCAGCGTCAGGGCGAAGTTCAAGATGACTATTGACCCAGACTGTCCCAGCTTCGAGTTGGAGCGCGATGCGTTCTGCTCGAGCAGTGTCTCGAGTCCATACTGACGCGCTCAAGCCCATGTCGGAATCGTTCGCATAGCCGAGAACCTGTTCCTCCGTGTCCCATTTGAGTAACGGAATAACTGGGCCTGCGATAATTTGTTAGTTTCCTTTCGCGCATTGTGTAGACTTTATCGTTTGTTCGCTGGGTCTTACCAAATGGTTCCTCTCTGACGATGCGAGAGCTTTGAGGAGGGTTGTTCACGATTGTTGGTCGGATGAAGTAGCCCTTGCCTTTGGGATCCCCCGAAATTCGCTCTCCAATGGGTACATCTAGTCCTGAGGTCTTGATATCTTTCAAGAGGTCCATGACTCGGTCATATTGCATCACATTCTGAAGTGGCCCAAGAGAGAGATTGTCTGCGAGACCGTCCCCGACACCCATAGACGTCGTTATCTCTACTATATGCTTAAGAAATTCATCGTAAATCGATGAATGAACATAGGCTCGTTTAATAGCAACGCAAACCTAGGTCTCGTGGTGAGTCTGTGTGCTTGAGAAGTAGACTTTGGACTGCTCACCTGACCCGAGTT